TTAAGATAAGTCTATCCGTTTATGGGATGTTAAGACAGGATATTAAAAAACCAAATTAGATGGTCATTCAAGTTGTGTTAATTCAATTTGTTACTCTCCTGATGGTACTACATTAGCATCTGGTAGTGGAGATAAGTCTATCCGTTTCTGGGATGTTAAGACAGGATAATAAAAAGCCAAATTAGATGGTCATTTAGATTGGATTTATTCAATTTGTTACACTCCTGATGGTACTACATTAGCATCCAGTAGTGGAGATAAGTCTATCCGTTTCTGGGATGTAAAGACAGGATAATAAAAAGCCAAATTAGATGGTCATTCAAATGATGTTAATTCAGTTAATTTCTCTCCTGATGGTACTACATTAGCATCTGGTAGTTATGATAAGTCCATCCGTTTATGGAATGTTAAGACAGGATAGTCATAAGCCTAATTAGATGGTCATTCAAATTGTGTTAATACAATTTGTTACTCTCATGATGGTACTACATTAGCATCTGGTAGTTATGATAAGTCTATCCGTTTATGGGATGTTAAGACAGGATAATAAATCTAATAATCTGATAATCGTTTTCAAGATATTTTAGCCAAATTTACACCATCTTCCATTTAAAATAATTTTCTTCAAGAAAGTGGTATTTATTTTCAATATACTTTAGCTAACCCTTATATTACGATTTTAAAAATTTCCCATAATCCCAATTTAGAAGCTTAAGGAGCTTTAATCTTGAAAGGAGAGTTTGTAGATTATAAAGGATATGATTTACGATCACTATTTAACTCTAAAGGTAGTTTGATTTTAGAGAATAATCTAAAATTGAAGCAACATTGATGTTTATTCAAAATAAAATATGCCATATCAACCCAATTTTGTTAATTTTGGTGTTAATTGTTAATGTTTGCTTAGCTAAATAGTTATAATATTTATTGTATTATTTGTAAAAAGAATATTTATCATACATGCTTCGAAGTTCTTCAACCCAGAAAGTGATAAACACTTTAAATATATACATGAAGATATATTCAATTTCGTCTTGTAGAATTGATATTTATAATCAAAAAGTGAGAGTCGATTAAACATCAGTTTGTACTTTAACAAAATCGAATTTAGAAAAGTTTCACTATTAATACTAGTTATAGTCTTATGGTATATCACTTTGTAGATTAAAATAACCATTTCCAAATTGAGCTTTGCCTCTCAGTTAAAAATTTGTGATCTTTTTGATGATTAGATAAAGATGTAATGATTATTGACTAAAGGTTTGATCTTTTCAGTGTTCACAATAACACAATTTAGTAAGCCTTTTTATTATAAAATTTAATTTTTGTCAATAATAAGTGTATTGATTAAATTAAGTTAAATTAATTTAAGAGAAATATTTCCTCTATTTTGAATTAGAAGATTGCATTTTATTATAAATGGAATATATATAGTATCCAAAATCATTTGCCCGCAACAACCAAATTTACCTACAAAGAGCCAGCTACAAAAAAGGCATTTATAAATTTATCTAGTTAGCAAGCTATCAAAAAAAGGTATTTGGGGATTAAATTTTACCTAGATAGCAAGAAATCAAATAAAGGTATTTTGGGATCGAGGGTCCCTAGAGGTAGCTTCTAATCCAGTGCATTTCAAGTAAATAAAAATATAATCGGAATATTTTGGATTGAAAGATACCTCTAGAATCCATTTAAAACTCATTACATAAGTAGCATTTAATCCTCCTAGTCAACATCCAATAGGATTTTTATTGAGAAAAACTCCACCAGGACATAATTGTGTATACTTGTGTTAATCTGACATCACATTAATTCTAAGTTCTAATATTGAACCAAATGAAATATCATTTCAAACATGATTAAAAAATCTTCGAATCTTTGACAGTACAAGCTGTTCAATCACTAGGGCGATATAAAAAATATAACAAAATTGATCATAAGGTGAGGGCCTTCTAGTGAATTTCTTATAATAGAAATTTACACTTTTCCTGTTGGGTGGAGAGAAACATCATAAAATCTTCTTTTCATCTCTATTTGCACCGCATCCAACTATGATTCTGGAGTGAATTATATATCTACACCTGATAATTAAATATTGAGCAAATTGTAATGTGAAAATTCTGTTGAAAGGCTAGAATAAATTAACGAGTGTAGTATCTGGCAAGAGTTGCTAGCAGTTCCTATCATATATTATCAGGACCTTTAAGATAAGTAAAGGTAACGTTGGCGAAGTGGATGATTTCTGGACAAACATTACTGACTAATGCAACACAATTAGACAAAATTGAAGTTTAACATTTTGATGACCTCAGTGATTACGAATCTATGGAACTGTGATGACGATTTACAATGTTAAGCCATCAAGTGCAAACAGTATTATTTTCATTTGGAATTTCTTTTTCAACATACATTTTCATGTTCTAAAGCAGATTAAGAGAAAGGAGAGTTAGTTAAAGCGAAGATACCTATTTGTTTGAATCATAATCAGAACTTGAAATGCAAAAGATTAAATTACCCTTTCAGAATGCGTAGATTAGTTAGTGAAAAACCAATTTTAAGCCGAAGTTGATGTTCAATGTAAATAAACCAATAATAAGGAATAACATTTATCTCATCCAATATTAAAACATCTCTCCTATAAGATGGATGGCTTATAGTTGAGCAGTCTCTTCCTACAAGTATAAAAATGCTTAGAAGGCAGGTGTCATAAAATCCTTTCATTGTTTTTGGTTAGCATTACAGTTTTTAAAACTGTTAGCACTTATAAGTTTCTATAATGGGCTAGACTTGCTTAACATTAATTGTAACTATAAACAAAGAAGCAATAAAACAATAAATAAATTAAGTGATTGAATTTCAACTTTTCTAGTTGTTGCAATTATTTGAAATGCATTGCTGTGGAATCTGAATCATAGGAATCCTTTTTCTTAAACTAATAGGTTTGTAATCTTCATTCCAATAATTGCCTCCAGTGACAATAAAAAAACAATTCCAATTGTTATAAGCAAGAAAAGAATCGGTAAAACTGAGTAGGATAAGGATTGTGACGCTTATAGGACTCATATTGACTTTACTCGCCGACATCTTCACAAGTTTCTGTGTATAGTTCTTTAAAGTGATTACAAATATAATTAATAAGAAATAAGAGCATTTAGTGTCGGATCATTTTGTGCATATATCAATAAATTAATTTCAGGTTCCAGTATTGTTAAATTTAGAGATGACTCAAAATAATGTATACTTCTATTTTCATTAATCCAAAATTTGAATAACTTCTGAAGTGTTGAAACTTTAACAGTAATCACTGAGTTATTAATAATATTAATGTTGCATTGCAAGTCCACATTTAGCAATGTAATTTGAACATACCTATATAAGCAAGGATTGTTTAGACTTGTTTATATAAGACTAAGGTTTACAGAAAATACGGTAGTTATAGAATGCAGATGCTAAAATAAAAAAAAGGCATTTTGTACAATAAGTAGTATCAACGCTGCAAGATTCTTAAGAACTAGTAAATTTAAGCACTTTTAGATGAATGGTTGTCTGATCTATACTTATTGTTAATCAAAAACTGGATACATTAAAACACTTGTAACCAACATTATAATCTAATTTTATTTTTTTATAAATGAACATCGAATAGTTAATATTGAAATTAAAAATAGAACTAACAAATAGATAAATCGAGAAGTACAATATCAACCCAAAAATAAAAAAAATTGAAATCAAAATATTTAGCGTAATAATTGTTTTAACTTTAAAAGAAAATGCTAATCAAAAACTTATAGGTTATTTTAAAATTATATAATTTGGGATTGACCATAATGAGGCGTTTCAGGCCATTGAAACATAGAGAATGATATAATTTGAAGAGGCAAGGAACTGCACCTGTAATAACAATGTTGGACCCCTTATCTCTGAAGTTTGTAAGAGTTTTTATCTATGCTTATGTAGCCTATCATGAAAATTTCTAGACGCACTACCACAATCAATAAAGTTACTGTTCAATATTCTTGATGAATCATATATTTTGTGTGGTATAAGAATATAAAAATTTTTGGACCAGTATTAGTTGTAGATTTACGTTTGGTAAATCAATTAATTCACAATTCAAAAATTACTTGCAAGTCTGAAAGTTCGTTGAGTGCGCCATTTATTTATCATGCACATCTTCCAATTGCATTAAAATGTGAATTAGGAAAACCTCTAAACTAGATTTTCGATAATGGAAAAATAAATTTTAATTTGAATATTATATCTTGATTGAAACTTGATTGATTAATTTATCATTCTTGTTTCAACGAAGCAATTTCATTCAACCCTTAAAGACGTTTTGCATGGTCTAACAAGGGTAAATAATTAAAAGTAAATCCATCTGAAATTGATTTTTAGCTAATACAATANGGATTGTGACGCTTATAGGACTCATATTGACTTTACTCGCCGACATCTTCACAAGTTTCTGTGTATAGTTCTTTAAAGTGATTACAAATATAATTAATAAGAAATAAGAGCATTTAGTGTCGGATCATTTTGTGCATATATCAATAAATTAATTTCAGGTTCCAGTATTGTTAAATTTAGAGATGACTCAAAATAATGTATACTTCTATTTTCATTAATCCAAAATTTGAATAACTTCTGAAGTGTTGAAACTTTAACAGTAATCACTGAGTTATTAATAATATTAATGTTGCATTGCAAGTCCACATTTAGCAATGTAATTTGAACATACCTATATAAGCAAGGATTGTTTAGACTTGTTTATATAAGACTAAGGTTTACAGAAAATACGGTAGTTATAGAATGCAGATGCTAAAATAAAAAAAAGGCATTTTGTACAATAAGTAGTATCAACGCTGCAAGATTCTTAAGAACTAGTAAATTTAAGCACTTTTAGATGAATGGTTGTCTGATCTATACTTATTGTTAATCAAAAACTGGATACATTAAAACACTTGTAACCAACATTATAATCTAATTTTATTTTTTTATAAATGAACATCGAATAGTTAATATTGAAATTAAAAATAGAACTAACAAATAGATAAATCGAGAAGTACAATATCAACCCAAAAATAAAAAAAATTGAAATCAAAATATTTAGCGTAATAATTGTTTTAACTTTAAAAGAAAATGCTAATCAAAAACTTATAGGTTATTTTAAAATTATATAATTTGGGATTGACCATAATGAGGCGTTTCAGGCCATTGAAACATAGAGAATGATATAATTTGAAGAGGCAAGGAACTGCACCTGTAATAACAATGTTGGACCCCTTATCTCTGAAGTTTGTAAGAGTTTTTATCTATGCTTATGTAGCCTATCATGAAAATTTCTAGACGCACTACCACAATCAATAAAGTTACTGTTCAATATTCTTGATGAATCATATATTTTGTGTGGTATAAGAATATAAAAATTTTTGGACCAGTATTAGTTGTAGATTTACGTTTGGTAAATCAATTAATTCACAATTCAAAAATTACTTGCAAGTCTGAAAGTTCGTTGAGTGCGCCATTTATTTATCATGCACATCTTCCAATTGCATTAAAATGTGAATTAGGAAAACCTCTAAACTAGATTTTCGATAATGGAAAAATAAATTTTAATTTGAATATTATATCTTGATTGAAACTTGATTGATTAATTTATCATTCTTGTTTCAACGAAGCAATTTCATTCAACCCTTAAAGACGTTTTGCATGGTCTAACAAGGGTAAATAATTAAAAGTAAATCCATCTGAAATTGATTTTTAGCTAATACAATATATGAATTAGATAGAAAATTAGAAGCAATTTCCCCCAAAATTTGGTTGTGGGGAACTGGGATTGTGATTTGTTCAAAATGCATATTTACAATGCTAATTGTCAAAGATATGAAGCATTATTATATTTGTTTTTTAAATATTTTTATTCTTATACATATATACTAAATCAAAAGCTTGTATCAATTTATTTAAAAGATGTCCTAAAAATAAGATATGTTCAAGCAAAGTTTCCATACTCTAAACGTGAATATTTTGTAAATATCATGATTCAAGTAAATTAATCTCTTTTGCTCATTTTCTCTTTATGTAATTTTTTATCATCACCTTTCCTGGATTCTATCTGTATATACCATTATTTAGTAAAGTAAAGGTAAATTGTTATATTTGTTTCTTATTGTGATCGCTTTCTACTAAATTCATCCTTAAACTTCATTTATTGCATTATTGTTCCCATCATACAACTTTAATAGGGTTATCTAAATAAAGCTGTGAATAATACAGAATAATTACTAATCTTTATTACTATTTGTATTCCTGAAATAGGATGGATTAAATTTAACTTTCAATTCGAATTTAAATAGATGAGTAAAGTGAGATGGCATTTGTAAAATTAACTCAGGATAACAGCTTTCATTTGCATTGAGTATAAGGACTATCATATTTTAAAGAATCTAAAAAGTTCTGTCAAATATGATTTCTAGAGACACAAAATTTAAGATAAAATTTTAAAATAGAGAGTAGTTATTTAAAAACAAAAATGGTATATTTCTATTATAAAAATCAAATAATTCAAGTCTATGGTAAATAGGTGAATAGTGGAGAAGGGATGGTTAACACTCCTATAATCATCCATTCCTTCAGAAATAAAAGCAATAAGTTTAAAAGAGCTTTTCTTTAAATCTACAGCTTGAATTTGAAATGGATTTTCCTTACTATCCCTGCTGTCTGAATTGCTAGTGACCATCACCCATCTCAACAGCTGAAATAGGAGTGATGGTCTATCTTATATCAGAATTAGAGTATTTTCGAATATTGCTACAGGTATTTGAGTGGTTTAGCCTATTCCTACTGCCTGAATTCGAGTAATTACCTTACCCCTAAAGACTGAATTCTAGTGATGTCGGTCCCCTACTTCTCGTCCGTAAATCTAGTAGTAGTTTCCAAATTTAGCAAGAAAAATAAACAATAGTGTTTATTTATCCGTAATGCCCAATCATATTGTTAGCTTCATTAGGTGTCAGCCTTATGCCAGTCCTGACCGACTATATTACTGGTGTCTTTTGGCCATAAAAAATTATAAAGACTTACTATGATATCAGTTATTAATATAATTCTTCAAAGCTAAGTTCCATTTTTATAGAATTTTAATTGATTTTCATTATTTCTAAATTTATAAAAATCTTGATAATTCCCTAATTTGATTACCACTGTAAAAATGTGACTAATTATTCTTAAAGATTATTTCTATTTAATTTTAAGAATAAATAAGAGTCTCCTTTACAATTCAAATGATGCTTTAAAAATCTCTTGTTCATAAAATATTTCTATTTTATAAATTATTAGGTTCAAATTATTTTGAAGTTCTATAAACTAAAAGATGATTGGTGTCATTATTCAAATTTGTTGGCTCTACAAAAACCCCATATTAATTTTAAAATTTTTAACTTAAATAGTTGTAGATAAGTTCTAAAAAGTTAATCTGATCATACAAAAAAAATTATCATATAATCATAAAATTATTCATTATAAGAAAAAGAATTATAAGAGCTTGATTTTAATTTATGAAAAGACATAATGTTTTTAATTATAAATCAAATAAATAGCATTCTAGAAATTTTTGGTTTTCTTTGATTGATCTTTAGGCAAATCTTGATCTTAGCTATCACATGTTAAGTATATTATAACAATTATTGGTATATATCAATGGCTAAGGTTGTTAGAAGTATTAATGTGAAACCACCTATATTTATCCAACCTAAACGTTCAGCTGATTCTTTGTCTTGATTTTATTTCAGAATTTCGTATAAAGAAAAAATTGAAACATTCAGAGCAATCAAGACTTCGGTTATTATTATTTTGATATTCTCAAAGTTGTTCTTAAAAGGTCTAAAGATACAGAAATAGCAGGAGAATACTCCAGATAACAAGGCTGTAATTAAGCTTTAAGCCCCCATAAGACCTTACATCATGACTAAATTTATAATGAATAAAGTCTTTTTTATCAACATAATTGTAAAATATTATTTAACTCCTTAATTTTGTTAGTTCTTAATCCCCTCCACCAATACAGATAAATTCCTAGCAACGGCATTCTTTGAGTTTAAATAAAAAAAAAAGATGCTTAATAGGAAGATATTGCATAAAAATGTAAAAAGAGCTACCAAAGAGATAGTTGTATTTAAAGTGGTTTCTATATTTAAATTTACCAATTGCAAAAGAGATGCATATGTCAATTCATAAAAGTTAGATGTAAAAATTCTGATGAATCCAGAAAAAATAAAATACTAATAATATTTTCTTGCAAAACTCTAAAGGAAATAAAAAACCTTAACGATATGGTAAAGATAAGCTTTTTGATAAATTGCTGGCCAATTTTCATACTTGATTAAAATAAGAAATCTTACTAACAAATAAGAAACTATAAAATTTGTAAATCCCATTATTAACATCATTAAAAGTGTTTAGAAGTTTTACAAAAAATAACAATTAATTTGATATTATTCAAACTTCCATTTAGCTTAAATAACTGGAATTTCGAAATTAAATATATCTCTTAGAGACTGATCAATTTACAATCTATCAACAATAGGTGTAAACGAGCCAATAGTAAAGATGTCAAAATAGCTTTCCAAGTTTTATGGGAATTCAATATTGTGAAATTTTATATATGATAATTATTACAGCATATCAAGAAGATTCCATAAAATTTCTAAATTCCCACATAAAAAGGAAATACCACTTATAACTACGATGAAATACAGCACAATTCTACTCAGCATGGAAGTCTTAGACATAAGCGATAATTAATCATCTGAAATCTTGTAGGGAGACCTAAATTCTAATTTTGCTTCCTTTGAGAATAAGATATTTCCTTAGCTATTCACTATATTATCACTATTAACTTTAACTTTTAAAGCAGGATTTTTAACATTTGTTTTAAAATTGATTTAGATTTTATAGGCTACATCTGCCAACTCAGTTTTGATGGAGGTCATTGAATTGATTTGAATATCATATTCATCGTATTTGGCATTTATTATCTCAATAACAATCAACTGTATAAATTGTTCTTCACTAATTCCTTTTTCATTTAAACACACAGGTTCAGAAAATGATAATTTGAACTCTTGAGAACTTGCATCACTTTTAGATAGCTTGGTCAATATAATTTTAGGTAGAATTGCATAGATGCAAACACTAATATTATTTTCTATTGAGCATTTCCAATCCTTTTCAACCTTACATAGCTCGCTGCATCCATCATTATTATTCAAGTTTCCATCGTCACATTATTCTAATTGTTATGCCAATTACCCATCTCCGCAAATATTATAACATTGATATACATCTTCTACAAATCCAACTTAGCATTAAATACATGTTCCTTGAAAACAATCGACACACATCTTGTCACATTAATAAGAACATTAATAACAACCATCATATTATAAATTATTTCCGTCATCGCATTATTCATTCCCTACTGCAAAACCATCACCGCATTTTGTAGTACAAACCCCTTCAGCCAAATACCATCCATTCTTATCACATTCTTAACACTACTTGCCGTTACATTTATTGCATCCTTAAGGGCATTGAACTTGACATTTATAACAACCATCATATGGTAAGTAATTACCATCATCACAATATTCATCCATGCCTGTAACAATGCCATCTCCACAGAAATTAACACATTGGCTGGAGAAACATTTACTTAAATTGCTATCCCAAATACATTCAAAATTCTCAAAATCCATATAGCAGGCTTCTTTAATTTGATAATTCTAACAACTCTGCCTACTAGTGCATCCCCCATCTTACTTAACTGTACAATGGGGCAAATATGAATTGCATTCCTCATATTTAGTGAATGTAACTTACGCAGTCTAGCAGCTTTTAGTATAGCATTTTTCATCAATCCAAACACAGCGATTTTAATTACTATCAAATGTACAGCCCTCAGCTAGTGTTACGCTTTCGCATTGCTTTCTTTTAACACATCGAGTACCATTTGAAATACACCTTTTATCTTCAAACATATTTGAACAGGCTGAATCTATAGCATAATAGTAATCAAAGCATCCTTTTATATGACAACCTTCCAACTGACAAGATGATAAGAAAACGCTACATTCAAAATGAGATGAGGCATCTTAAGGTCCATTAGTGCATATCCGTTCTTAACAACTCCTCTTCCCTTCATTCCAGAAACATTCTACTCCACTTAAGTTTATTTATCCATCACTGATACATTGTTGATAATTATAATTCAAACAAACTGGTTAACCAATTTCGCATCCATCTAAGTTGTTATTTACAGTGCACGAATCCCCAAAATATTAACGGCAACCATGTGCTGTATAATATTTTAGTTAGGCTGATGAGCATTCCTTAATAATACAAACATTTTGACTAATGTCCCATTCACATTCGATATCATTTTAATCAAAAAAGCATTATTCTTTTACCAAATAAGTATTGCAATTATCTAATTGTTAACATCCGTTCAATGTAGTGTTTACTGTACACAATTTTAATTTTTAGTTACATTGTTCATGACTTTTAAAATTTGTGTCTAAATTTGAACATGTTAAAGGTAAACAGGTTTGTGTTAATATTGAATAGTAGCATGAGTTACCACTTCTATCCAAATAACATTGTTCCTATGTTGCCAATCCACATGAAATAGGGAGGTCTACACATTAAATAATATCAGGTTTGACAGTGCAGCTTTTGTTAAAATAGTAAGTTTCACATTAATCATGTGTTTTATGTAAATCATCAGCAGAAGTGCAATCTTCTACACATGAATTACCATTGGTATTTAATTAACAATTAGCAAGCCAATTATTGCAATCTAAGATAGTTGATGGGACAGTAGATATATTCTAACAAGTTTTTTCTATGCATGAGGTACCATTCCAGAAGCAAGGAATTCCTTTTGAATTATTATTATTAGAACATAAAATACTTGTAGAATACTCACTACAAGCACCAATAGTTTTGCAGTTTGAACCATCCCAAAAACACTTTGTAGTATATATATTACAATCTGACTAAACTATTAATAACGAGCAACTTAAGAGTTAGCACTAGGAAGTAGTTTATAACATACAGTCAGAATCCCAATCATAGCACTATTAGTTTGTAGAAGGATTAGTAGTTGCTGCTTCGCATTTATTATTACAAAGATTAGCACTCCAATAACAGCTTACACCATTTATTGTGCTAACACAAGCCTCCTAGTAGGAGTAATCTGAGCATTATTATTATTTTATAATGCATATCACACTTGTATAAAATTCGATTGTTTATAAGCTATTGTTATCGTTGCAATCTTGATGGGATTTAGGCGAAATCATATTACTTAAACTGCAAAATTTATAATTGGAGCATTTGATATCATAATCTTAACACCAATAGCATTTAACGATTCCGTAGTTATTTTTGACGTAACTACTCTCACACTGAGATTATACTGTATATTGTGAACAAGGACGATATTAACAGCGACTATTTATCCATTAACAATGTTATCCATCAACAAGACTTGTTTAATTACATAGAGAAGAATAATAGATATCATTACAATTAAAAAAAGCACATCCTACACCTTTTGTATAATTAAATCTGCAATATTTAGCGTTTACTAAAAGGCATTCACGATTTGTAACAGCAGTTGTATTAATCTAACATTAAACATAATCTACACACATACCATCTTACCAATAGCATCCATTTTAGTAACATTGAGAAATTAATTTAACCAAATTGCAATAATAATAGAAAGTGGTACAACCAGAAGTACCAAGAACACAATCATATTTCCAATCAAAACAAATTTAATCTGTTAAAATAGGATAATCTATAAATTTTAAATGCTCGCATTATCTATACTGACAAGAATTTGTCATAAAATTATATCCACATCTTTTATTTGAACCTGAATTTACAGTTGAAGAATTGCATAATTATTATCCTCCTAGTTGTTGGCTACAACTATCCATGCTTAAACAGCACTAACAACTAGTATCATAGATGTAATTTGAAGAATAGTCAAAACATTGCTTGTTCCTATCAAAAAATGTTGCAGATGACTGAAATTGCAAGTACTATTTAGCGGTTTATAACAAACACTTTCTGGTACAATAATATTAATCACATTCTTTCTAAAAATAACATAATTATCCTAAGGGTGTTTTTCTACCATCACAATCACTGATTAAGAGAGTTTTATCACCGCAATAATTATCCTAATGACAACTTCCATAATAGTTGCACTTGTAATTGTATTTCATTATAGCACCCTTACAAACCTTACTAGATAAATCTGAACAACTGTAAATAGAGTAGCATCCTTATCCTTTTATTTATAGAACACAGTATCGATTGTATAATTAACATTCTTCATTGCTTTTACTATCTGTAATCGCTTCACATTAATAAGATTGTACAACCTAACATCTAGAATTAAAAAAATAGCATATTTCGTTTTAAGATGTTAGAGTTAATTTGCATATTACAGGGTGTGTAACCTCATCACATCGAACTGGTCTAATCTCACACCCTTCTCCATAAGTCCCGTTAGGTTAAATCTTTAATTGACACTAACTAAATTGTCTAAATTTTAAGCACTCCTCCTCAGTTTTAGCAGTTGTATTATCGCTACACATTACATCTTTACAGACTCTATTTTTTACATCCCATTTGCAGGGCTACTAATCTCTTGTGATTACACAATTTTATTATAATTTATAATCACACTAAGTTGAAAGAGATACACATTATGCAATAATTTAATTTATTGTACATTTTTATAGAAAGTTCTCACAATTTTAATGGGATATATCATCATAAAGTCTTTTGCTACAATCACCAGCATCATTCTCTTGATAACATTTTTGCTCATAATCATCCCAATAACAATTTTAGCCAGCCAAATTAGTTTTACAATTCCTTTGCCTGATGTATTCAGAGCAATTTGCTTTTTTTTATTAACAACCTTATAAACTTATAGAGGGAATCACTGTGCATTTAGGATTCCATGATTAACATTCGACATGCGAGTCATACATTTCATCATTTGGAGAGGCTGGGCAATCTGCAGTACTAGGCCTATTCATACATCCTCCTAAAATAGGATTAAAAATGCAATAGTCAATCCAAGAATTGCATTTAATATTATTCGTATAATTTTCTACAGAAGCATCTGAACACTCTAACGTTTTACATAAACTACCTGTCCAAAAACAATGGGTTCCATCCTAAAGATTTAACTAACATTATTATTAATTCATCAAATTATTACACGTCGTTGGCCATAGTTAGCATCCAGAACCAGAGAATCTTAATATACAACTACCCTACAACACTTTATAAGAGTTGCAATCTTCATTTGTTTAGTATATGTTAGGATTTGCATCTGTGCAAATTTGATCAATGCAGATTTTACTTACATTATCCCATTTACAATTAGTTCCTGAAAATGTAGAATAGCATTGTTCTTCAAGGGCAAATTGACATTCATTCTTTTTATCAACACATCCAAATAATAATTTTAAATTTGATAATTCTTGTACATTAACTGTGCAATATGGCAACCACTTCTCACATTAAGAGTTACTCTCAAAATGTGATGGAGCATTAATGCACTTTTTTTCTACACATCCTTAATTGTTTGTTTAGCCTGTTTCTTATGAATTAAAAGAACAAAACTCAATTTCTTAAATAAGTTTGCATAAATAGTCTTTACAGCCTAAAATTTCTAGATTAATTGCACAATTTGAACTTACTTCTTAACAAATTTTAGGATTCTTGTAATTTGGCAATTTTAGTTTTTTACATTCAAACAACGTCCATATCCCTTCTAACGAAATACATTTTGTATTAGTATAATTAAATTCACAAAATTATTCTTTTAATTTCTCATTACAAATATCTGGCATCTATTAACACCCACCACCTGCTTTGGCCATACAATTTCCATATTGCTTACAATCTGCAGGAGTGTAATAAAGTGGAGCATGATAACATGCTCTTTTTTCACATTTATTGTTATACCATACACAATCTTATTTTTCAATCGAATAGCAATCTGCTGCATCCACATAACCTTGGCATGTTTAAGGTCTTTATTTACACCCTCCATTAGCATTAGTAACACAGTCTAACAAATTGTCATAATCTTAGCATTATTGATAACTTTTAAGAGAAGACAAAGCTGTATCGCATCCTTTGATTTTACATTTATTGTTATAATACTCACATTTATTTCCCTAAGCATCTGTAACACAACCAACTTTATTCTTGGCATCACTGCATTACTTTCTTTATACACAATGAATGCCATTTGATGTACATTCACTTAAAATTTATTTACACTCATAATCTTAAGAATAAGGTAGATTTTAGCATACTTTTTCAATACATTTGCTATTTTTTGAATCCCAAAAGCATTTTTAACTTTTTTAATAAATTTCAAAGCATTAAAACTCATTGAAGTATTAGGTGCATTCATCTTTTTATTTAATACATCCATAACCTTAATCGTTTACAGTACAACCAGCTAGAGCTTATTTACACAAAATATGACTCTCTAAATAAATTGGCAGTTCCTCGCATAGAACAACATCTCTGCACATTTTTACAGTATCCTAAACCCAAAAGCAGTACCCACCTTTTTAATTTTAATATGCACATCCTACCTCTGTTTTAAAATCCTTACATTCAAAAACTTCAACACACTTTGTGCCATCAGAAACGCATCTATAGGAAGATTGGTAACATTAATCTTTTTTGAATACTAAACAGTCAACGAAGCTAACACATTAACCCAAATGAAAGCCACATTACTTCTATAATCTACAATCTTCTTCAGCATAAATTTTGCATGTAAATTCACCTTAATTCTTTTACATGTATGTTCTCGCTAAATGTAAAACGCAAACCTCATTCTACCAAATGCATACACCTGAGTTTTAACATTAGGTTTAAAGACGAACATGCCCGCAAACGCATTATTCCGAGGTCTCTTGAGTACTTATTAATAGAAAGAAGCAAAACAATAAGTTATAGAAATTTTTAAATATCATTTGTAAATCCATATAATATTTCTTGCTTAATACTTAAAATTCAAAAAATTTCGTAAAAAGTTTGTCGATTAAAATTTGTAAAACAGACGAAAAACAATTATTGAGCTTATTCATAAACTGTTTTATTAGGACAAAATTTTACCCATTCATTTATCACTTCAAGTGATTTTGTTTTTCTGAAAAGATAACCTATTTCTATTACTATCAAGAATATCATCTGAAAAGATACTTTTTCTGTCCTTTGGAGAAATAATATGAAAATTATCAGTCCAATCCATAAACTTTTGAAAGATTATTAATGTATATTGATTATTAAAAAATTCGATTACTCCCTCCATTACTTTTATTAGATATTAGATTTATTTGAATTAGTAATAAAAATATCATTACCTGATTAAAAGAATATGTAATAAAAAAACTTATTCAGCATCTTAAGTTTAGCAAAGAAACGCTCAGCTATGTAGGCTGTTTGTTTAAAAATTTTTAATTTTGTTCATCTGCATTTATATAAACTAAGTTGATGCTGTTTATTATCTTTTATTGGATAGAGGTGGAGATTAGTAATGATCAACTAGTAAGATGAATTATAGAGCAGAAGAAAGTGCTAATTTTGCTAAATTATTGATATCTATTGATGATTTCAAATACTTGTAAAAGATGAGTTACAATATGATAAGGTTTTGTTTGGTAGTGACATTGCTTTTAAGTTTGCACAATTGAGTGGCACTCTTAATTGATACCTTTTAATCAAAATTTTGAAATTAAATCGCACATTTTCTTACAGGTGTCTAATCTATACAACTGTAATTTCTCAAAATATTTTTCTTTAGTTCATATTCCTAATTGCTTTTGCCCATTTAGCTCATTTACCTACAAAATCTTGAATTCTGCCTTTTCTCCAATCTTTATTTATGATACAATTCTCATTCAATTAGTTGGTGTACTATCTAGTTTCTATAACTTTTTATCCAATCCTACTATTTCTATTCCCTAATAATAATAGTTCTCATATCCTTCCATTTAAACCTCCAATTATATACTTATTTATGTTTTCCTTAATTTGAGAGAGCTATTGCATTCTCATTCCAAAAATTTCTTTTATTTTTACAACTTCACTAATAGTTTAACTTTTTTTCATAACGGTTTATAAACTATGGCTCCAAATCATGAATTATTCGATCTATAAAGGATCTTGTAGTTTAATATTTTAGTAACTTTAAATTCTTGAGATTACTCTCTATTCTTTTATTCACTCATGTTATCAATAGTTGCAATAAAGATTCAGGGAAATACTACTATTTTCATCATCACTTCTCTTTTTAAGTGCTATGCTTGTGTTATTTGATTAAAGAAGAAGTATTAATTAATAATGATTTTGATGGTGGTTGACATTTTTCATTCGACAAAATAAAATATAGATCTAAATAGAAATTTGGATTAAAAAGTATCTATTTAGTTTTCTATTAATAAATAAAATATAATGAAAAATCTCCTTTTCATTTTTTATTTTGTTGCTTTAACCTACGGATGGACAGTTGACTATAAATATCAATGCGCTTGTGAATACTACATTAATATGTTTGATTGTGCACTTGCTTCTTAATTTGGATGTTAAATTTCTAATTCAAAGTAGTGCTAAAATATTTATTGCTCTACATTAGATATAATTGATTGCTCTTTATATCATAACTATTGCTATAGAGATTTTAGAGATGCTACGCTAACTTGTAGAACATTTTCAACATGTAGTTAGTTACTTGGATCCAATAATGAAGATTGCATGCTTTTAAATAAAAATTGCAGAAAACTAAAGGACAAAAAAGGACCTTATTGTGATGATATAATATGTTAATAATTTTCTCCATAAAACTGCCCAGACAATTGCTATTTAAACAATTATGTATGCTCAGATTTTGCAAATTGTTTAGAATAAAAAGAATTTACTTGTAATATTCCCTTTTAATGCTATCATGATGGAATGAAATGCTTATGGCATAAATGTTCGCATTATTAAAATGAATCAGAATGCATATATGTTATTACCTAGGAAAGAAGAATTCAACCATGTTTTTGGGATGAAAAAAGCAACAGTTGCACCGAAGCTACAGACCCTGAAGTTTTTGATTACAAGACTTGCGCTTAACATACTTTTGGTACTTATCATTGGTCATCAGAAAAATACGACTCTGGAAGTTGCATACCATGTTATGAAATGTTATTATCTGTATTTATTGCCGTATTTCTCTTCTTGGTTTGAGATTGAGTAGAAATTTAAATTTGCAATAATATTTTTAAGTTATCCTTTATAAGATTTATTTATAGTTAAATTATTAATTAATTAAACTACTCACAACATAAGGACATTTATTAGAATTTTAGGTAAAATTTTTGCATATTTTGTGAAGCGAAGAGGGTAGTTATATTATTTCAGCATCACTGAAGTGAAAATATTTATTATAGAAATAACAAAGAATTTATAAGAAACAGACCAAAAGATCACAATTCCATATTCTAAGATTTACAATTCTCTATACTCAAATAATTTAGATAAAGTCCTAAGATTTATATTGACCTGTAAAAAAATAACAATAATTTAAAAAGCTAATTGAATAAGGTAGATTATAATAGTCATACATTTAATCATGATGGGAGAATATTTGGATTTTTTATAAAATTATTCAAGTATTAAAAATGGCTAAAATTTGCAATAATAATAATACTCTAACTCACCATAATTACACTTTGGAAAATGAAATTGTATTCAATAATTAAAGCTAAGGATATGTAAATATGAAAAGCAGATAAATGAGATAATTATAAAAATAAAATACGATATCAAATTCAGCACTCTATTGCTATAGTTTATGATAATACAAATTTAATTTTTTGATTCTATTCATTTTCCATTATCTCCGATTATCGATTTCGTAAAATAATGATAATGAAAATTTAATCTTAATCCCTTTCAAAAATTTCCTACATTTCTGAACTGTAGTAATAAACTAATAACAGTTGTAAATTGCACTAATTTGTGTATTCAATAATGCGTGATATTATCGATTATCTAGATAAGAAATCAAACTGATGAGTGTGTTAGTATTGATTCATAATTTTATGAACTATTCATACTAAAAAGTAAAATAATATTATCTGTTATTTATTATAATTGATATTTCCTAACCAAATAATAGAATATAACTCAGTAAAAATTGCACTAACTCTTTACAACAATAATAGGAATTTTATCAAAACAATAATTCGATAATCTTGAGAACACTGATATGTGAAGCTTTATGCAATCATTCTAAATAATAGTTACTAAGTTTATTAGACATGAGTTCCTCAATAATGAAATTTTTGAAATTGAAAACTTTATGAAAATGATTGAAAAAATTAATTGTTTTTTTCTACAAATTTAATTTGTTTATTGGTTAGAATAATGATTTTTAATAGAAATACATATTCATTTAGATTATATCATAAGAAATTCTTATAAAATTAATTTTCTTATTAAAATGAACTATAATGCATAATTTATATTGTTTCCAACTTTAAAGTAATATAGTCAGACTAATGAAACAATTACTATTGATGGAACAACATACAAAAAATTTAAATCTCCAATAAATTAAGGAGAAGAAGGTATTGTATATAAGGGGTAAAATGTATAAACCAACGAGATTGTGGCTATTAAAGAATGTAAAACAATACAGTTAAAATCAATTCAAGCAATTTAAAAAAATAACTAACCTCATATTATTAGAATAATAGGAGTAGTTAAATAATAAAATGGTTAACTAATTGCTGTTTTTGAATTTGCTCATGGAGAGTTCTAACAATTTATGATTACCAAAAATGAAAAAAATTTGAGTGATGAAGAAAAAAATGACTGTTTTTTTTAAGTATTTAAATAGGATAATATTTCAGATGATGGGTGGTGTTGATCAACTCCATTAGTTAGGGTTCTTTCATAGAGATGTGAAACCTGAAAATTTTGTATACATTAAAGGTCCAAATAATAAAATGACTATTAAACTGATAGACTTTGGATTAGTTTAAGATAATAAAGAAAATATTACTTATACTAATGTGATTGGAACACCATACTATCTGGCTCCAGAGGTGTTTGAAGACGGGAATAGTTCCTCTAATAACCAAACGCGCGTAGAAAAAATACTTCTTATGATAGATAAATGAAATGATTTATGGTCTTTGAGAGCTATTTGGTATGAGTTACTTACTGGAGATACAATCTTTTAAGGTAATTAAGTTTAAAAACTAAGGTATTTCTATGTAGGATGTTTTCGACAAAATTCAAACCATTGAATAAGAAGATATTAACAGATAAATCGAGGACAACAATAAAAATAAAGCAAAAGAAAAGCATTTAATGAAATATATGCTTTCGTTAATTCCATCATAAAGAATATCATTATAAGAAATATTCAATTTTTATGAACCTTAATAAATTATGGAATAAAAGGAGTAGGAATAGATATATGTTGAGATGAAACAATATAAAGATGAGGAGTTAAAATAAAAATTGAATGAATTTCAATTTAAGAAGTAGGAGAAAATGGCATAAATGAAGAGAGATGTAGAAAGGATCATGGAGGAAGATAATTTAGAAGAGTTAAAATTCTTATTAGATAAACTAATTTAAGAAAAAACAAATGAAACTTAAAGAAAAAATTAACAAACCAAGAATAATTAAATTGCTTAATTGAATGATTAAAAAAGAAAAGATATATAAGAATTAACAGCTAAAAAATAATTTTTGCTTGATTAATTAAAATATATCAAATGTACTAATAAACTTATATTTGAAAAATTTTCCGAAAAATAACAAATACTTAATGAAATAAATTCATAAGATAGAAAAAAATAAGAATTGTTAAATTACATTAATGATTAGATACAGAAATATAAAGGAATAATCTTAAAAACTAAATAAAGAAAAAATTTTATATAATAGGCACAGACAAAAGAGGAACTTAAGGAATATAATGAACTAACTCAAGAATATGAATAATATTAAAAAAATTAAATGATTATATTTGAAAAAATTGTATAAGAATAAGAGTTACTCGAAGACTAAGTAAGAGATAAAGAAAAGACTGATGACTACAGAAAATAATAAGAGCTCTTAACTAAAATGGAATTAGAGTAGAAATTGGAAAAAGAAAAATAATAATATCAATCTTTATTAAAAATAGTTAAATAATAATTAAATGAATAATCTTCTTAGATTTATTAAATGTAACACCGAATTCCCTTTTATCAAAGAACATAAATTTAAATTGAAATTGAAGAGAAGATTCAAGATACGATTAAATATTATTACAAAATACCATAAGATATCTAAACTGTAGAATTTTAAGAAAAAATAATTTAGTAATATGAATCTATACAGCAATCAATTGCTACTTATTAATTATGCAATAGCAAGCTTGAAGAAATTATCTAGGCTTAAGATAGACTCAAAACTTAGATTGAAGAGCCATATAAATGCTTGTAATAAATTGATAAAGAATTTTTGGATAAACATTAGTTAGAATTTGAGGAGTTAAACAAAAAATTAATTGATTATTAGGAAAAATATCATCCTCTCCAAAAATTAAAAATATGCAAATTAAATAACTTAAATAATTACTCAGATAGGATAAGCCTTTGATTGCTTAAATAATCTAAAATAATTGATTTCTTAAAGAACATTGCTATCTTATATACAATACACTCAGTTGTATTCATAGTTTTAAAAATCATTAAAAAGTTTTGAAAAACATCACAGTTTATTGCATTAGCAAATTTACAATGATTAACAAATTGAGTTAAAAAATCAAGAAAGAATTAAAGCATTAAAGATTACCAAATATTAATTGGACTAATTCAATTAAAAAATGAATCAATTAAAAGACTAATTGACAAATCTAATCAAAATTGAATATTAAAATAATGAAAAAACTTAGAATTTAATAAATACAAGATTAACAAAAATTGATTAAAATACAATATAATAATATGAACTATATGTTAAATTTACTTAATTTAATTAATTAGAATCCTGTGATATTGTTTAAAATTAAATAAAATAATTAGAAGATTTTTAGGGAAAATTAAAGGAAGTAGAAGCAAATGAATAAGAATATATAAACTAAGTAGAGTTAATAGTTAAAAATATAGGGGAAGAGAAAAAAAGGGAATAAGAAAAAGAAATTCTATAATTAAATAATCAATTATAAACTAGATATATAGAATATACAAAACATCTTTAAACTATCAAATTTTAAATTCCAAGTGTTGAATTTCAATAATAAATGAATCAAAACAAAGAAAATCTATAAAAAGAATTGAAATATGAAATAACCATATTGAATGAGCTTTCATAGCTTTATTATGAAAATATGTAAGTATTAGAAATAATGGATAAAGGGATATAAAATAACGAATTCAAGCTTATTTCGATAATTTCTAAAACGTTTATCATTAAAATAAATAGTGGTTAGAGAATATAATAAAAAATGTAACTCAAAAATCACAAGAACTAAATTTTTGCTTTATAAATGATAATTTAATTAAGAATTATGAATATTTAAAAAATTAAGAAGTACAATTTTTTTAAGTATTAACTTCGATAAACTAAAAGATAACGAATTAATAATTCAACCAGCAATAATTAAATGAATTTAAAGAATATATTCTAAAGGTCTATAATGAAATTGATGAATTAACAAAGAAAATTCTAGTTGAGGATGAGATTAAAGTGTTCAATAAAGCTTATCAATAAAATTTAGAATCATATGAGAAATTGTATGCTTTAATTAATTATATAAAATAATATCACTTAACAAAATATTATCAAAGAATGAAATAAAACGCAAATAATTTAAAGGCAATTTAATAGAATAAAGAAGAAAGTGACTACTAAAAACTATTCTAATCTAAATAAATTGAAGAAAATGAAGAAAACTCAAAAAAAGAGAAAGAAGCTTAAGATATATTATTAAGATATGAAAATGTGTTATTGAAAAATTACAATAAGATCCCGATTGATGCAATGTAAAAGGATAAAGAATAAATAGAAAAGCAAATTGTAGAAATAGAAAATTAAATTAAATATAAAAATTTAGTGGAATTAAGATCTAGGATTAGTGATTAAACCATAGTAAGAGACATCATTAATGCAAATTATTTAGATAAAATATTTGTTCTAACAACATTAAGAAAATACAATTTTGAGCATAAAATATGATTAATAATACAATTTTATAATGATTTTAAATCATCCATTAAATTACAATTATTTTAGTTATTTTATTTGTTCTGTTGTATCTATTTTATCAGCAATTTTAACATTAATTATTTATTCTAGTATTATTTAGGATAGATATAGGTCTTATATCCCAACCAAAATATTTTAAATTCAAAACCAATTTTATTAAAAATCTATAAATAGTTATATATATTATTTATCTCTAATGCATGGATTTTAAAGTTAAACTTAATTTTCTTAAAAATTCTACTAAATATTCGCATTTATTTTAGAATTGGCATTTTTATTTTCTTGATTATTGGAGATTAGTCGATTATTCATTACGGTGGCATGATTGAAAATTAATTTAATATTTGGATTTTAATTAGGGGTATGTCTATTCTTAAATTTCTTTAAAGTGTTCAACTCTTAACCAAGACCCAACTGGACTTTTGATTGTATTCATACTTTATGATTTACTCATTGTTGCATTGGGAATATTTGCTCTAAATTAAAAGTTAAGAATGAATCCAAACCAATTTAGAATGTATTGTGACATATAATATTAATTATTAAATTAAGTATATAATGTTCTATGTAAATAAATATTATAATTATTAGATTTATTAAATATTATTTTTATAAATGAAAGAAAAAACAAATAGAAAATTTTAAGCTTAAAATTGTGATGCCTTAATAGTTCAGGGACTTCAAAGAAGTTATACCTTAAAGGCCCCAATTCTATCTGCGTATTTTTTGTATTTGGAGGAGGAAAGATGGAAAGCTTTAAGAGATTAATCTAACTTAGCAATGCATGAAATAGTGAAATAAGCATAGTACCTTTCTAACTATAATTAGTACAAATTGGCATTAGAATCTCACAAATGAATAGAGAGATGTTTATTAAGAAAAGGCAAAATAGATAAAAAATGAATCTGATGCAAAAGAATATATGAAAATGTTAGAACAAAGCTACACAATTAAAAAAAAAATAACGAAACCCAAAGAAAAGCCTAAACCAAAAGGCAGAAAATGAATTTTGATATGTTTTTAAACTATTTATTCTGATTCAATTCTGATTAGCATTTATATGTTTGACTTACGAAACAAAATTTTAGAATGCAACTTCTATATATTGTTATTACAAGATACTAAATATGGTTCTAACAATTTTGAGGAAATTAAACTTAAGAAGGTTTGGCAAATAAATTGGATACTTAATATAGATGTAGGCTGTTTGACGGAGAAATTAACTACTTCAGGTAATTTGAAAAGTCATAGGATCTTGGATAAAATTCGTAATGCCACAATAATTGATTCAAATTTAGAAATTCATTGTTGGTGATGACATAATATTCAATTAAAGATTTATAGCAAAAAAATTATCATTATAATGTTTAAGTGAATTTCTGAGGTTTACGAAATAGTTTTTTCCTTTAGACGTATTTGTCATTAATAAAATCTTTGTGGTTGATATATGGATTTCGTGGATGTGATAATTATTCTAGGCTAGGCTTTAATTTATTTTCTTCTATAATAGATTTCAGATATTCATTCATAAAGGATAGCTTATGTAATTTTTATTATGATTTGTAAGTGTACATCCAAGCAATATTTGCAGGTTGGGCTAATTTACGTTTATGATTAATGACCTAAGACATTTTGAGATCGGAAATAGTTTTGAGACGATCAGGCTTCTCATTTATGAAATCATCCAGTTTTGATCTGGAATAGGTGTTATGTTATTTTTTGCATTTTTGTTCATCTGAAAATTCTGATTACCAGATGCTCACTTTAGTGGGGATGGAAAGAGTGTGGAACTTAGTTCGCATAATTATGAAATAGTAATTAAATAATTAAAACCTTAATTCAATTCAGATCCAAATATTTATTGATATAGGAATCGCTAAAATTGCTGTCATCTTGTTCATAATCGTCCATAATATTTCTTATGTATAATCTATGCTAGAATATTTTGAACCCAGAACCATGTTGTTCTAATTNATATTATTTTTATAAATGAAAGAAAAAACAAATAGAAAATTTTAAGCTTAAAATTGTGATGCCTTAATAGTTCAGGGACTTCAAAGAAGTTATACCTTAAAGGCCCCAATTCTATCTGCGTATTTTTTGTATTTGGAGGAGGAAAGATGGAAAGCTTTAAGAGATTAATCTAACTTAGCAATGCATGAAATAGTGAAATAAGCATAGTACCTTTCTAACTATAATTAGTACAAATTGGCATTAGAATCTCACAAATGAATAGAGAGATGTTTATTAAGAAAAGGCAAAATAGATAAAAAATGAATCTGATGCAAAAGAATATATGAAAATGTTAGAACAAAGCTACACAATTAAAAAAAAAATAACGAAACCCAAAGAAAAGCCTAAACCAAAAGGCAGAAAATGAATTTTGATATGTTTTTAAACTATTTATTCTGATTCAATTCTGATTAGCATTTATATGTTTGACTTACGAAACAAAATTTTAGAATGCAACTTCTATATATTGTTATTACAAGATACTAAATATGGTTCTAACAATTTTGAGGAAATTAAACTTAAGAAGGTTTGGCAAATAAATTGGATACTTAATATAGATGTAGGCTGTTTGACGGAGAAATTAACTACTTCAGGTAATTTGAAAAGTCATAGGATCTTGGATAAAATTCGTAATGCCACAATAATTGATTCAAATTTAGAAATTCATTGTTGGTGATGACATAATATTCAATTAAAGATTTATAGCAAAAAAATTATCATTATAATGTTTAAGTGAATTTCTGAGGTTTACGAAATAGTTTTTTCCTTTAGACGTATTTGTCATTAATAAAATCTTTGTGGTTGATATATGGATTTCGTGGATGTGATAATTATTCTAGGCTAGGCTTTAATTTATTTTCTTCTATAATAGATTTCAGATATTCATTCATAAAGGATAGCTTATGTAATTTTTATTATGATTTGTAAGTGTACATCCAAGCAATATTTGCAGGTTGGGCTAATTTACGTTTATGATTAATGACCTAAGACATTTTGAGATCGGAAATAGTTTTGAGACGATCAGGCTTCTCATTTATGAAATCATCCAGTTTTGATCTGGAATAGGTGTTATGTTATTTTTTGCATTTTTGTTCATCTGAAAATTCTGATTACCAGATGCTCACTTTAGTGGGGATGGAAAGAGTGTGGAACTTAGTTCGCATAATTATGAAATAGTAATTAAATAATTAAAACCTTAATTCAATTCAGATCCAAATATTTATTGATATAGGAATCGCTAAAATTGCTGTCATCTTGTTCATAATCGTCCATAATATTTCTTATGTATAATCTATGCTAGAATATTTTGAACCCAGAACCATGTTGTTCTAATTGTTGTTATTATTATTATGTATATTTATTATAACTATTATCTGATAGCACTTCTTTATGATTCTCGTGTTATTGTTATTTACATTCAACTTAAATATTAGCAATATATCATACCATATTTAATAGTAAGCAATTCGTACGGAATCAGTTTTAATTCATGATGCAACATAGGATTGACTTTATTGATTTCATGCATTAAATTCACCCTCCTCGTTTTTTATATGTTTTAATATATCTTCTGCTCTTACTCTTGTCGAAGTTTATGAATAGATTTTAGAATTGGAATCTTTTAGGTGATCTAGTCTAAACTTTGTTTAAACGACTTTTTATGACTATAATTCAAGTGTTGTAAAGGTGGACAATTTTCTTTGATTTCATGCAGGCACTATTTCAATTCACCTCCGGGAATCATGTTAATTTTAATTAATATTCGTTAAAAAAATCATTAATTTCCTTATTTTTTATCCTCCTCAATCATTTCAAAATATTGATTTATTAGGTTTGTAATTGTTTTCGCACAGATATATTATCAACTCATAAAAGAAAGAATGAATGATAAAATAAATAATATTCCTTAAGTTTTCTGTAATTATAATACATATCTCATCCAGTTAGTTTATGTGATGATATATATATATATTTGATATTACAAATCTCATTTTATACTAAATTTATACAAAATAAACAACTTATCAATCCTTCTTTTTTTCTTTTCTGCTCTTCTCTTATTTTGATTTTATTTCTCGTGAATTTGGCTGTATTTAATTATTTGATTATATCAATTGCAATTTAACCCACCAAAGGAAGGATAGTAAACCAACAATAAGCCAAGGAAGCCATACATATATTGGAGTATCTTCATTTTATAGATTTCCACAATCAGGTAAAAATTTAATCGATATTAAAGTTTCTATAGCAATAGTGAAATAGGTGAGGTATCTCAATTGATATGGTTGGTTTTAATCAGTAATTGAATTATGAAGTTCTCTGAATGCTGAATGGCCTAACATAAACCAAATCAGAAGTCTATAGACAACCATCCAACATTTTGGAGGAACCCATAATTCGTTCATCAAGAAGAAATTATTTAGAAAGTTGCCTATGATTACAATGATAACAATAAGAACAGCTTCAAATTTCTTTGGATTTGTAAAGGTGTCTTTAGCAAACCAACTGTATTATTCAAATTTGAATTTCTTAATGATGATCATTCCAATAATAATGGCAACAGTGTTACTTAATAATACATCCAATAATACATGATCCCACCAACATTCTCTAAAATGAGGGAGTTTGTGTTGCCAAGATAATTCAATAATTTCATCTAAGACAGACCAAAAGTTGAGAAACCAAAAGTCCCTGACAAGAAATGTCGCCAATAGCCAATTGATTACGTGACTCCAATAATAGTGATCCAGATTGTCAACAATGTTAATCCATTCGAATTCACAATTATCATCATAAGTATGCATATCCTTTGTGACAGGCTTACCTAATCTATCATCTCCCAAACTCATAAGCTAAAGTTATTTGAGTGATGTACATATCGACCATCTTTCTCATTTTGAAATGATAAAAAGACCAAGATGGCAATGAATGTGGCAGATAACCAGAATTATATTCTAAAAATGGCTCCGTATTTATCACCAAAAGGATCACTTGGTTTCAATGAACCTATCGTTGCAATGAATAGCATGGCTGCCAGCACACCTCTTTTTGAATTCACTTCGAATCCTTCATCATTGTTATAGGCGAAGTATAGAAGAACAGTTGTAAATGTCCAAAACGCAAGTTTATGAAAACTCATTATTAAATTAAATATTCAATTTTAATGTCATTTGATCATCTTAACGATACCAACATCACTAATCAATCAGAAAAAGAACATGTTAATGAATTTTATGATTATTAAATCCGTAATATGTATGATAAAGAAAAATACATTAATCCTCATGACATTGCTGGATAACCAGGCTTGGTGACAAGTCAAGCAGTTGAATTAGAAAAGAAGAAAGTGTAATTCAGAATGGCAAATGAAATATATTTAAGAAAACATCCTGAATTATCTGTTATGCTAAGCATTTTCCTATTCAGAGTATTGGAGGAGAAACCAGATGATGTTTTGATGTATGCAGGCAAATTCTTTGATTAGTATTACATTTATATTTATAATAGAGAACATTTAGAATAAGTAATATTGATTTAGAAAAAACATTATTTAGAAAATGGAAATGCAACTGCTTGAACCTATTAAACATTCAAAATTTATATTTTAATTATTGCAATTTATATAACATTTTGTAATCCCTATAATCCTTTTTATTCTTAACTTATTTAGTTTAACTTATATTTTATAAGATTAATTTACTTATTTCTTTTTCCTTGTATAGTGAAAAATTCGAAATTGTTGAAATCTTGCATTAATTTAATTAAGGATGCTTAATTTAACTCAAGAATAATTGAATGTGATTAAGATGATGATCGAAACCAACTTAAAATGCTTGAATAGACTTTCTTTCTCTAATTATAGAGTTATCCAATCTTTTAATAATTATTTGTAAATCTTAACAATCTTCAATTTAATCTATTATAAATATAAGTTTTATTGCATAAATAAATTTATAAAATAACTATGTTATTTATTGTAAAGAGAATTCAATAATGATAGCTTTTCTTAGAATATTCAAATAGAAGAATAAAGTATAGGTCTTTGATAGTTGATTATTTTGGATAGCCAAAATACTAAATAAATTATTGGGATGAATATTAAGATAGAGAATTTTATTTTGTTCAATTTATTTTAATATTACACATACAATATAAATAATTTTATAATAGAACTTATTTGGTAATGATTTTACAATTAATTAATTATCCAGTCGAAGGAACTGTCGAATAAGAATATTCAAAGTCTCCCCAAAAAAGAGCAATTATAATAAAACATTTTCGTCATCCTATGAAGATTTAAACTAATAATCTGATATTTCCGCTACGATCTCCGAAAATAATCACAAGTAAAAGTAGTACCAGACAAAATGAAATTACCTGGTTTAGTGATAGTAATCAAATAAGGGAGCATAATTAAACATTTAGTTAATCAAATAACTTCAAATCCTTTTTTAAATTAGGCAGTGAATAAAAAAATAGGTTTGCCATTATAAAAAAGGTTTTCAAAAAGGAAGATGAAAAGGATTGTCTATTTATAGAGAGAAAGTTGAGTTTGTTGAAATTTAATTTTAAGGAAAAGGAGAAGGAAAAAGAAAAGGAAAAAGAGGAGAGCTAAAAGATTTCTATAGATTATTCACCAGTTAAGATTCCTTAAACAGCACAATCAACAAGAAAGAAACAAAGTTTCAATAATAACAATAGATATTAATCATTCTAGAATAAGATCAACAGAAGATTTAATAGCGATACGGATTTATCTGATCAAAAACCAAATCGAAAACAAATAATTTCTTATTCAATACGACCTAATACACATAATTATGATCGTGATCATTAAGAATTTGCTCAAAGCATCTTAAATCAATATTTGAAAAAAAGTTTGTAAGATTAATGATAGTGTAAAATTCTTTAACTAAATATTTTTCAATCAGCTTTAGTCTCATATTTGGTTGCATTTGGATCAAAATAATATTTAATGTGAGCATGTGGCGAAGTCCCATTTGCATTTTCAAGAAATATATGTAAATTGCCTTCAGTATCAAGAAGTACTTCACTTTCAACGATTCCGCCTAAATGTTTTACATAAATATAATACCTTTCTCTAAGGGTTCACACTCTATGATTTCTTTCTTTTCCCAATCTACTTTTAAGACTTTTTAACTTTCCTTCGCATACATAGTTAAACCTCCTATCAATAAAGCTAAATTCTTTTTAACTCTGACTGCCATAAACCTCCTTAATGGTAATGGTAGCTTTAAAGTACATTTTTCCCACCTATTCTCGTTGATGAAGTATCTTTCTATAGTATCTAGAGTGCCTTCTTCCTTGTTATAACCTCCAAATAAAACTATTTCATTATCATTAATTCTACAAGCAGCAGCTTGACTTTTTGGTTATTTTAAATCAGCTAATTGAACCCATTTCTCTGAAATAAGATCATAATATAACACTGATGATAATTACACTTTATGTTGTTCGTCATATCCTCCAATGCAATAGATTTTTTGATTATAATAGAGGCAAGAACAGAAGAACCTATTCATAGGAATTTGATGTTTCATTAACTCCAATCTATCATTTTAATAGACTCGAAAGTTAGTTTCTTGAAATCCACCAATTAGATAAAATGCTTTTTTATCAGGAACAAAAAGAGTTGTAAATTATCTATCTAATTCCACATCCAATTTTGCAATCTAACGCCATTTTTGTTTAGACGTTGAAAATTTACTGATAGTCTTACCACCAAATTCAAACCATAAACAGGAATCATTCAATATTAAAGTAGAATCTCTATAAAAAGCTGATTAAGATACGACAGGCTATTTAATAACTTGAACTTATTATGACTATTATTATTATTAAGTAATCTATTGCTATTTCTAAGAGGATGGTTATTCTCTTAGTGGTTATTTTGACTTTTAAGATTGTTCAATTACCTAAGATGACCCTGCATTTTTCATATGTTAAGTAATCACATTTTTAAATTAAACTTCAGCTTCTTGGGATGTCCTGTAAGGAGGTCCTCGCTTTAACATCGTATTATAGTGTTAATTGTACAACAAAATGTATTCATTTATAGCCACATTCTCAGATATCTTTCCTGAATGATATTTCTCCTCATGCTCTATGAACAATTGTTCAATCTCAACGTATGATGGCCTTTAAGCCTCCTCAAAAATCAACATCAATTTTATTATCGACACATAGGCAGGACTATACTTTTATTCTAGCGATGCCAAACTCTATAAAATCAATTGCTCCCCCTCATTTTATTAGGTATTATTGAATCCAGTTACTTCTTGCATAGCACTCATCTAATACATAACTAAGCCAGTTGAAAAAACATCCGACTTATAAATGTTATGTTCTACATATCTACTATTTCCATCAATTACATGAGCCTTCCATAAAATAGGAGATAAATATTGAGGTGTGCCTCTAATTGTTGCCATTGTATAGGTATTTTTGGCTTCATTGTCTAAATCAAAGAAATAATCCTTGCTTTCACCAAAATCAATTAATTTCAATTCCCCATTCGTTATCATAAATAAGTTAGCTGGTTTTATATCTCTGTGGCAAATCCCTTTTTATTGCAAATATGAGCATGTTGATATTATACTAAACAACATAGTTACTAATTCATTCTCTTTCCAGAACTAATTAGGTTTCTTTCTTTTTCTATACAGGTTTTCCAAATTAGTGTTATGATCCATGTACCTATATAAATAAATCTCATAAGTACTCTGTAATTATTCCTAAACGAAATGTATTGTACAGAGTTTCAGCAAAGTAGTATCCATAAAATCGAATTACGTTGCCACAATTTTAAACTTTGCTAAGTTGAACTGCTTCTTCTTTGTATTCATTTAGTTTCTCTAAATTAGTTGCTTCAATCTCTTTTAAAGCATATACTTTATTTGTTTGTATATGCTACACTCTATATATCTTCGTATGCTTCTTGCCCGAACCTAACAATTCCAATTTTTTGAAATCCTGCTTCCTAAACATTATCTGTTTATTTAATTTATAATTATAATAAAGAATTTCCAATAACTAAATTGCTTAACTTCAGCAGTCAGAAATAAATTATATATTCAAATCCATGCTAGCTTCACTCTGAACAAACTTGAAATAATATTTCAATATGCATTCTCATCAATATTCATATATTATTTATATAACAAATTTAATATCTTGTAACAAGCCACAATTTATCAAATCAACTTGAAAAAAGTAGTGTTTAGACTAATATTTAAGTTGTAAATAAGAATATTTTTAACTCTTCTTATTTTTTAATTCAAATCTTATACAATATTATTAATATTTGTTCAGAATCTGCTATATAGAAGTCTAACAAGAAATCTAAGAATACAATTTGATTACGGGAATTAAAAATTTTTAATAATAAATGAAATCTAATGGAGGAGGAGACCGCAATAAAAATGTTTAAATATCTGGAACTCTGAAGAGAATAAAAAGAATGAGGTTGAGATCAAAGAATTAGTAGGGTTAAAATGATGTGGAAAGGTATTAGTTATTATGTATTCAATAGTAAAAAAATGGCTGGTAATAATTCAACTTTATCATTACATATTATTAAAACCAAATCACTTTGTTAACGCAAAAAACCAATTAAATAAAACACTCAAAGTAGAGAGAGTCTATTTCAAGACCCCCTCCAGAAGGATCAAAAAAATGTCAAATTAGCACAAGAGCCAAAAGTTAAATAGAAATCAACAAAAAATAAATAGACTACTTCATAAAGAAAATTGAGAAGAAATGAAAAGCTTTAAGAATTGATAGATGCTTAAATAAAAGCATAAATTAATCAAAAGATCAAATATCATGATGCAAAATTTAAAGCCCTAACAGAAATTGGAATTCCAACAATAAATTTAAATTAGGATACAATAATATAATTTATTGAGTAATTTCAAAATGAGATTAAGTAGAATGATGAAAGCATAATATAGAAGTTAGTTGGTGCAATCGGAGAAGGATATGTTGAAAGAGGAGATGAGGTTAATTTAAATGTAGAAGCAAAAGAGCTCATGATTCAAAAATAGGTTGAGTTCTATTTAGAAAAATGTGGAATCAAACTTGAATGGACATTAGAGAGGTGGAGGAAGTTGATGAGAAGAACATTACTTGTGATACCTTATTGCCATATGCCTAACGTCAAGATAAAGGAGTATCTAAATGGAAGAGAGAGATACTAAATAATGTTCGAAACTTTAAATCTCTTTACTTTAATGAATAGATGGAGTAACACTCAAATGTTCCATCAATTTAGTTAGAATTTCCCATTTTAAGTAAAGGATGATATCGAAATTAAGGAGTTGGTCAATCAAAATGAATTGCAAAACATTAGATAAATAAGAGAATATTTAAGTAGAATTATGACTGCGTTGAATAACATATATTAATTGAAATTTCAAAAGGATTTTTAAGTTGATCTGTATTAGACAAATAATCAATTCTAAGATTTATAAGTTGAATATTATTTTAGAAAGATGAGGGTACTTAAACTAAAGCCAGTGAGTTTACCATAGGCCATGAAAGAATAAATAGAATAGTTTTCATAAAAGGCGCAAATTGAAAAAGATCCGATTATAGATGAGTCATCAAAAAAATAAATGGATTAAGAAAGATAAATAAGGCTATAGAATTAGGTTTAATAAAAGAAAAAGATACAAATAAATGTAATTAAATCGAAGACTTTACTAGAATATTTTAAACCTGTAAAGAATTAGAATAGTATAAATGCGGATGTAAATTCTCAAGGTTTGATTTAAAATAAGGACAAGTATGAGAAATAGACACCCGAAAATAAATCTTAATTCTCCTATTTTGAGATCTTGGATGACCTTTTTAGTAATAAATTTGGTAAATCAATGCAAAAGGAAGGATAAAAAAAATGATATATAATTATAGTTTAAAAAATATAGTGAATTTTTTATAATTGGAGAGATATATCAGGCCAATTAATATTAAAAAAATAATTTGCCTTTATGATAATGATTATTTTAAAGGAAACTGGATGAGAATTTATGAATAAATTTTTATTATTAAATTAGATTTACATAAAATTAACAAATTATTAGATAATAATAGGATAAAAAAGATTAAATATAGAACTAAATATGAATTTACAAAATTTGGATTATAGATTCTTGTCATTTCAATCATGAATCGATAGAAAAAATATGTGAGAGACAGGCCAACTGTGAAATCATATTCAAAATGAAGAACTGATATCAGGTTGCTTGTAACAGTGTCTCTTATTGATGTGATGTTAGAATTATTAATATAATTTATAAACTTAATAATGTCTGAATAGGAGAATTTGTTCGATTCATTTAATCAACATAATTGGAATTATTATGATTTTGATTTTGAATGCTAAGACACTGAGAGATAACAAATAGATAGAATAAAAGAAAAGTGTAATATGAACTTATTAAAACGACAACTTGTTTGTTTGTTTGGTTTTCCTTCCATATAGATAGAGAGTGGATAAATAATCGCTTATCTGAATGGAATCATGGATTAAAATGAGAATGAATAGAAACGAATGATTAGAGTGTTGATTAGCTTCATTGGTGAAGTTACTAGTATAGAAGATCCTGAAACCAGATTGGAGACCATAAGGTCAAGAGTTGAATAATTCCTGACCATAAAAGGAATTAAAATTGAATGGAGTAATAAGGCATGGGAGTACGAAATAGAATCACTTTTTGAATCCAGATATTGCAATCCCTATTATAGTAAAATTCCTTATTCTTAGTTTGAATATGCTAACTTCTTTGCTTTATTAGAAAGTCCCATGCCCATGTTTCTGAGGAATCTGAAGCACCCGTGTTGTTGTCAGGTATATGATGCAAAATCTACAGAAGATTTTAAATAATTATGTAACATCACTGATTTGAAAAATGTGAGGAGGATAAGAAAATACATCTAGTCAATAATAGATAAATTGGAGGAATTCCGAAATTTGCTTATTGATATAGAAACAAGGAATTATAATTGTGGAACTGATATAATTAATAGTTTTAATCATCTATCTGGCGAACTTGATAAAATAATAAATATTGATTTGTAATTAATAGACAGATGCAGCTTAAAGTAAGAGGAGAAATTGAAATTTAATAATGATATAGATAATTAAACTGAAAAGAATTCGATAGCTTTATTGGAAACTAAAACTTCAGCTAACACTTTTACGACGATCAATCAAGGTAGCCTAGATTGTCGAGCTAAGAAATAGAAGAAGAAACAAAAGCAATAGGAAAAATATTATTTCTCATCAGCCTTCCTAAATTATATTGATTCAGAAACTAACCTTAGTTAAGAAAACAGTCGAAATTCTGAGCCCAAACTTGAAGATCAACGAATAAAATTTACAATGAACCCAGATGTTCATAATTAATTACATATAGCTTGCACTTCAGTGGAGGATATCCTCAAGAAAATTGAAATTTACGAAATGCAACTCCAAAGTTTATAATTAATTGGATTTCCATGTCCAAAATTAGATAAATCTCATTTAAAATATACTCTATCTAATTTTCGTGAATACTATACAAATAAATAAATTTTAATTGAATGGGTTGTTTCCAACATTTGGGAATCATAGACAATTAGAGAAGATGAAACTCATTGTATTGATGATGTGAGATAACAAGCTTTAGAATATTTCTCATCCATTAAAGTAGATAAGGGTGAATTCGAATAAATCTTAAATAATTGCTATGAAAAATAAGCCTCTTTGCCATTTAATAAGAACTTTGAAATAAGACCATTTTCTCTTCAAAAGTTGTCTCAAATAGTAAATCGTTAATTTCCAGAATCCTTCGAACTTAATAATTGTCTAACAAGTAGAGTAGTGTTTAAATCTAAAATATTTTAACCTTTGGAAAAACCAAGTAAAATAAAGGAAATCAAAAACATCAGAACAATCAGGAATTATATTAAAGATATATATCAAAGTCTAGAGAAGTTAATTGAATTCAAAAATAAGATAAATAAAAATATCAATTGTAAATCACAGCATCAATAATTAATTAGAGAATTTAAAATACTGTATTCCCATCATCATTGCAAGATAGTGAATAAATAACTGAAATAAAAAGACTGTTCTACTCTGCAGTAAGTTGGCAAGGAATAGGAGGGCAAAAATTGCATCATCATTGAAGACAAAGACTAACTTGATAGATATTTTAACTGTTAAGAGAAAAAGAACTCAGATGTCATCGAAATAGAAGTTGATTCCACAGGACAAAAGGCTGAGTTACCAAAGTTAGTGGAACATGTAATTTAAGAGGACTTAAGTTGTGTAAAGAAGAAAAGTGAGATAAATTTAAAATTAGAAGCGGTGATTGAGGTTGAATAACCTAAATTAGAATATGGAAAAGAATTAGAATATGAAAAGGAATTAGAGTATGGAAAAGAATTAGAATATGGAAAAGAGTTAGTAAATGAAAAAGAATAGTATATTTTATGTAACGAAATCATTTCTCCTGTTTAAAGAAATTTTTTTCAAGACAATCAATCGCCGAATATTTTTCATTCTCCTCGTTTTGATTATTGCTCCCCTTTGGCAAAATAATTTTTTGGTCAATTAGAATTTGATTAATACGAAAATGAATCGCCTGATCGATAGTGTTTATAATTTCAACCTCCTCATAACTTCAATTGATTTTAGTATTTTTATATAATTAGTAATTGCTACATATACATAAAATTAATTGATATCAATAAAATGTACACAAAAATATTATTCATATTTTAAAAATCTGAGAAAAGTTTCTTATGCTCTTTCGATATTCATTAATTTAATTACAACTAGCCATGTTAACTTGATTAGCTAAATTCTAGTATTTTTCTTGAGTACTAACAAACCAGGACTTTTTGGCCTCATGCAATAATCTTTGCTTTTCATTTTTCGACTTTATGCATTAATTATCCAAATCAACCAAATACTCTCTATCAATCTCTGCTTCGTAATTCCTTTTGAACAACTCATCCTTCCTCAGATATTCATCTCTGGCAAAGAACTTCTGGCCCAAAATCTAATTAATCAAAACCATAAGTACTTCTGTTTCTAACATATTTCGGTATGTGCTATCTTTTACCAACTAGTGATATGGTGTTTCAGAAAAAACGTAGTTCAGGAATTGAGCTATCGAACTTCCAAAGAAGATGTAGATAAAAATCAAATAGCATGAAATTTGTATCCAATTGGTTCCTCTCTAAATCGTTCTTCTTTAATTCTAAAATTCTTATTAACCAAATTCTTATTCTCTATGATTCTGTTGATGATGACCACGATTTCTTCGAGGACCAGTTGAGTAATAAAACATTCCAGGACTTGATTGTACAAATTAAAATCCTCCAAAACCATTTCCAAATCCAGCACCAAATCCATTCTCAAATAAATCATCAAACCCACCGTTTTATGAAAAGAAAGTTCGGAATATTTATTCAGCTGGACTCTCTCCCCATTGTTGCCTGTAATGCTGGTAATGTTATTCGGGTTCTTCAGTCCCATATTGATCATAAGTTCTTCTCTTATCTTGATTTGATAGACAATCATAAGCCTAGGTAATGCAATCAATTTACTTGAGCAACTTTCTTAAAGGCCTCATTAGCACTAGGATTTTTATTTTTATCTGGATGATAGAGCAAGGCCAATTTTCTATAAGCCTTTTTTAATTCCTCATCTGTAGCAGTCTTAGAAACACCTAAAATCTCATAGAAGTCCTTCTTTTTAAGAAATTCCTTTATATCTGCTTCTGTCGACATATATTAAATATATTTATTAGTAATTCAATGTCATTGAAATGGAATTTTTGATTTTTTGGCAGAATCACTCCGTTTCAGTAGGAAGTATTTCTATTTATGGAATGAGAATATTACATTGGATTGCCGATTTAAACTAGCAACCTAGGTAGAAATCTATTAAGCAATTTATTTTGAAGATTCATCTCCTGGTAGAGTGTTGATCTAAGTTCGATATCTCAATTAAGCAGTCTTTGCACTGTTGTTATTCTGGCTTTTCAAATGGGTTTGACTTGCTTTACGAGAGTTCGACAATGATCTGCTAACAGGAATTGCAGTTTTTAATTGCTATGAAGTTGCGAGATTAAGCAATTTAGGTTCTTCGTAAACCTTATTGCTAATATGATACTTCTATTTGAGAGTGGTAATAGGTGTGTGTTTCTATTTTAACTTTTCTTAAGTGAGTTTAGCTTGTTAATTTAAAATTTGGTTCATTAATATTTCTACTCTTTACTTGATATCAAATTGTGGTTAGAGAATTCTATTTTTCTTTATAAATAGTTGTTATTGTTGTTTTGGTGAGATTTCAGGTTCCTCTTATTAGGTTTCGACTTTCTTTTCAGTTTCATATTGAGTGACAGAATGTTTTTATGGAAATAGAATTTGTTTTTTTGCAGTTAGAGATTGTTGGAGTTTCGTGATAGTTGAATTGGGTTGATTCGGTTTTCTTAGTGGTTCTTTTGTTTACTTATTTAAGATAGGGACTTTGACGATGATTACAACTTTATTCGAGAGTGTGGCTTTATTATTAAAGGCATGAGGTTTTAGCAATTTGGTATGGTATTCTACTTCTTCATCTTCAGGCTAATATATTGATAAAACTAAATTACAATTGATTGCTTATCCACTCCATACAATTTTTGATAAACCTAATAGATCTGAGTGAAGATTAAACTTGAATGTGGAATAAATGTGTAAAACATTTCCAACGCCTTTCCTAACCAGATTTCAATGTTCATTTTATTTTGTTGATTATTCAGGAATCGTAATTCTGTTGAGATACTGTAAAAACTTAATCCAGTGAGCATCATCTAAAAGGTAAAATAGAATGAAGTACCAACTCTAAGATTACTTCTTCGGCTAAAACCATGTCATGATTATTGATTGGAAATAGTTCCTCTAAATCTACATAAGTCAATTGCATTAGTCCTAATATTTGCATTTACAACATAGGATGGTTGTCTTCAATAATTGTGAATAGTTTATTTTATTAATTGCTATTTTGAGTCTGAAAGATCTGTTCTGTTGTAAATAAAGATTAACTTCTATTTTAATGATTGCGAACTAAAAGATTATTTTAACTCCCATTCTCATTCTACTTTTCATCATAAGGCATAACACTCCTAATTGAATTTAATATTTCTTTAAACACTATTTCCACTATCTGTGGATAGCTCAATGCCGATGGTTATTACTATGGTTAGCAAACAGACTGTGATTGTGAATTTTTTTAAATTGGAGAATTGATTTCTGAATTTGCTCTTTATTTTTTATTAATATTGTTAAATAGAGTTATTTGTTAGCATAATTTAATTGTTAATTAAATAATGTTCCTTAATACTTTTAAGGCATCTTTTGCTAATTCTAAGGCCTATTTATTTCTTATCTAAAAATTGGAATGAATACCTTTTGGTTTCTGAAAATAGCAAGGTGATTTGAAAGAGTATTCTCAATCTAAGTAATTTATTCTATATCATCCTAGCTATTTGGAGAACATCAAAGGTGCCTTTTTTTAAGGTTTTTCCTTTAATTTTGAGAATCTACTCACAATCTAACAGTAAATTTAAGGATTCATCGTATGCTGCATATCTCTTCAGTATGATGGCGTAATTGATTTTGGAGAATAGGACAGATGTGTATTAAACTTATATTCTATGTGATGAGAAGTAATTACTAATTTAAAGTATAAAATTCTAATAATTTTGTAGCTCGGTTGTGGAACTCCAAGGCTTGGAAATCTGAGATGTCCTCCTGAATAGCAATTTTAGTGAAGTCATTCATAATGAAATCTGGATTGTCTGGTTTGATTAGAATGATTTCTTATGAATCTTCAGTCTGTTGGATTAGATTGTTTAATATACTTGAATGAAGAAGTTGGAATCATTATTGATCTATTCTATCCTGAAAGTAATTTTCTTTTGCCTTACTTAAAAAATAGGAGATTTCTCTTAAATCAACACAGGCTGAGATACATTTTTGTTGTGAAATGTATGTGCTTCCAATTTAATCATTTTATTATTTAATATATATATTTTGTGTTATGTGAGAGGATATCAAAATGCCCTCTTAACCATGATGTTGTAGAAGTCCTCTCTTGTAATTTCTCTGCCATTCGAAGCTGCACGTTCCAACATTTCAGCCAATTCTTCAGCTGTCATAGTCTCACCCAATTCTTTGGATACCTAACTTATCAATTCTCATAATACTCTTTTCAAATTATTCAAGTTGATGCTATTGCTGCCATCATCATCAAATAAATCAAATATTTTATTGATGCCATCTTTGCTCTCTCTATTGCCCAACTTCGATGTTATTGCATCCAAGAATTAATCAAAATCAATATCAGTTCTATTTACTATCTTACACTTAATACCCTTCATTTTCTAGTTCTGCAATCATGTTGAAAATTGTTGGATTTTTTTAATCAAATCCCAAACTCTACATAGCTGCCTTCAATTCTCTTGGATCTACTCTTCCAGTCCCTTCAGTGTCAAAAAGATTGAATGCTTCTTTGATTTCATCAATTTCATCATCAGTCAATCCCGGCCTATTTTTCACACTAAATCATCATCAATACCTTTCCTGAGGTTTACGCACATTGCCTTGCTTTTAAGGTTACTGTTTCTGAGCAACTTAAGCTTAGGGTTTGGCTCTCATATCTTTTTATTTAAAATATATATATATATAAATAAATAGTATATCAAGCAAATAACTTTCACAACATTCCCTTCATAATTGTGATGAATGTTTTTCCTCCTCATCCCCAAAAGGACTATTATTCCCAAATTGATCATAACCTATCTGATCTAAATAAAGTAGGATATATATATATATTACCATTCAAAGGCTTATCAAAGTCTACGTTTCTTTGATCCTAATCCAGATTACTAGAACTGTTAAATCTCTGATATTGTCTATCCTCTCCAAACTGTATTTTCACATAAGTAGAAGCCTTCTTCGTTTTCCTTGTATCTACCTCGATGCTCTCCTCATCTTCATCATCTTGTCCTTCCCAAATAGTCTCTGGAATCAAACTTTGAATAGATTTGGCTTTTGAGAATTATTACTGTGCCGCTGTCTTCTTTGGTTTCTACTGTTATTAGGGAGGCAACGGTATTTTGGCCTTGTACTATAGGGTTTTTCCCGTGGCATTCAAAAAGTCCAACAACAATTCATTATTGCCAAATGAATTCACTAATCCTTTCAAAAAAGAGTCCAATTGTATTCTGCGATTATCAATATCCTATTAGGTTAAGTATTTGGTCATTTTTGGAAAGCCAGGGAGATCGATTTATGGATATGTTAAAGTGAAATCCCTGTGAAAAGTGAGAAAATCACTAAAGGATCGAAATACTATTTTATGTTTCCCTTAATACTTGAAAGTAATTTCATAAATAATGTATTTTCTCTATGTATTTATGTCTTTGTTGTCCTAATAAGAATTCACTTCGACATCTGTAATGTGTTGTTGCAATTAATCACTTGGTTGACAAAATGTGAAATTGGATTCGTTCGCTATTAGTTATTACCTCACCTAGACCTCCTCGTCATTGCCAAGCATTTGTAGTTTGTATTGGTATTCCGATACCACAGTCTGGAGAAGCTTTTTGTCTTGGGGGATGAAGAACACAAAGACTGATAGTAGCAAGAGTGCTATTCCTCTGAGAATGAACATGAGCCAACAACTGATGTCCTCGTGTCTTATTACAAATTTATCTTTGTTATTTATCTGCCAAGCAAAGAGGACTATAGCGAATCCACAAAAACATAGAAATTACAACTAAATAGCATATTGCATTAAATACTATGAGGTTGAGTTGAGTAGCAAATGTTGTTTATCCATATTTGTTTGCATCTTCAAAGATTTGCAATCCTGCCAACAAATAATTTATTATCTAACAAAACTCGATAATTGTTATCAAAACGTAACTAATCTATTAGCAAAGTATACTCTGAATGGAATTAAACATTGATGATTATTTGCAATATTGACAAAAGTGTAAACATACTCAAGATCGCTATTTTTGTGTAAATGGAACATAAATTCAGAATGAATAATTTTCTTTTCTCCTTGAATTATTACCTGGCAGCATTGTAACCTACTGATAGATTCGTGAGTCTTACCCTTATTTTACTTCTTCCACACCAGACTTGCCAAATTTTAAACCAGAGGCAAAATTCCCAATGCTATTACAACTATATTTTCCCAAATATTATCAAAAACCTTTGCCATAATATATAATTAAATCAATAAAAAAGTGATATATCATGTTAATATTTTTGTTATCCTTCGGAACCCCTTCAACATTAGCCATTAAGTATTCGTTCTCAATAACAATAATTATTAGTTCATTCAATCAAACTATTTTGCCATAAATTTTAAATTGCACTATAACTCTAAACATTAAATAAATATTTCAAATTCAAAATATAAAAATGCAACATCTCAGCTACCCTCCAGATAAAAAAATTTAGAATTATCAATTCAGCTTTAGAGCAAAATTAGGAAAGGGTGCTTACGGTACAGTTTATGCTGGTAGAAACACTTTAGATAGTAAATATACATTACTATTTATTAGATAAAATTGTTGCTCTCAAAGTGATTGACAAAAAATTGCTTCTGACAGATTATGCCAATCAATTAATTGCATCAGAGATCGAAATAATGAAGAAGATTAATGATTCTCATGTTGTTAAATTGTTGGATGTATTATAAAGCGCTAATAATACATATATCATAACTGAGTTTTGTAATTAAGGAGACCTAAGGGAGTTTATCAAAAATAGAAAGTACTATATACATATATTTAGAGTTATTCCAGAAGACGAAGCACTCAAGATCTTGAATGATTTATTATTAGGAATCAAGGCTCTACTTAAAATCGGAATAATCCATCGAGACATCAAACCAGCCAACATCTTAATGCATGACAACCAATTCAAAATAACTGATTTTGGTTTTGCAAAACAAATAGATGCCAATTTGGATACCATCATGAATTCTTTGGTTGGCACTCCTTTATACATGAGTCCTCAGATCTTGAAACGAACTAAATATTCATCCAAATGCGATGTTTGGTCACTCGGTTTGATCTTGTACGAGATGCTCTATGGAGTAACTCCTTGGCATTCCCAAAACCTTGTTGAATTAATGAATAAATTGGATTCTAAAGTAAAAAATTAATTTAATAAATTAGCCATTGTCATTTCCAGTACATCCGCAAGTCTCAGAAAACACTAAAAAGTTAATCAAAGGTTGTCTTTAGATTAGTGAGGAAAAAAGATGGAGTTGGGAAGACCTATTCAATTCTGTTAATATCAATCTAAATGCAAGTGATAATAAATAGGAATCTCCTACTTCTACAGTGAAGGAGGATACTTAAATAGGAACTCAAAGGGAGAATCAAAATTACAATTAGTCAAAGTACTCAATACAAATGCTTAGAATAAAATAGAGAACTGAGTCATTGTGTCAATAAATCAATAAACATAACAGAAGTTTCAGCAACACAGCGTTTCTTACAAATGATATTGCTAAAAAATATGAAAATAAAACCCCTATCAATGAGAAATAAAAATAGGCAACTAGTTATCTAGATTTGAAGGATAAACTAAAATAAAATTTGGAGAAAACTGAGAGAGAAAGAAGCAACTCATAAAACTCGAAATTTCACACACAAAGATCAGAACTAAACAATTATTTGGAGAAGATCCACAATGTTCAATAAAAGCTAAATAGTAATAATGACTCATGCAGAACACCTAGTGCCTTATAATCGCATTCAACAAATACATCTAATAAATAAAACTACGACCTAGATTTAGTCAAGGTGTCTGAATTTTAACTAGAGGACAATAAGGGGTCTGACAACTTTATCTTGTTCAGAAATCCAAAGACTGAAAGAGTGAAAAGAACCAATAGTTTAAGTGGGAATTTTGGTTATTAGCAGCAACACTCTCCATTTTAGGGGAAGTCCTCTATACAGTAACTGATTAAAACTATGAGTAATTAATTAGAACTCATCCCTAATCATGTAAATTGCAAAGTTGAGATCTACACTATGGTTATTTTACATAAGGATTTAATCAATCACACTCAAAATAAACAAATCTACACAAATCAAGATCTTAGAGATCTAAAGTTACTAATCAATAATCTAATTACCTATTTGAATTCGAATTCGGGAGAATACTCTAGTAAATAATCACAAGTGCTGTTGTTGTTACTGTTAACATACCATAAGGTGGTGATTTCCAATATTAAAAACAAATCTTTGAACATAGATGCAAATCTGATAGAATCAATAAAAAAGAATATCTAAATTCAGTAGAATCAGATGAATATTGAGTCTAAAGTGGTTAGAGAACAAATACATTAATTAATGTGATTTCATAATTTTTATTTTATTTTTTTTTGGTTTATAGATCAAATGATGTCATATAAATCTCTATTTAACTAAATAGTGTTTTCTGATAATTATTAATATATATTAGACAATGAAAGCATCCTGCTTAGTTGCATTGGTTATATTGGCCTCAATATCTACAACATTGGCCACTAAAGGTATCGATTTGAGTGCCTCATTCAACAACTTCTCTTGTGTGAAAAGTGCTGGCTATTCATTTGCTATCGTCAGAGGATACAAGAGCTTTGGTGAAGTAGACTCAGTAGGTCACTAAAATCTTAAGAATGCCAAGGCTGCAGGTTTGATTGGTGACGCCTACTTTTTCCCATGCAAAGGAAGTAATACCTTAATTTATCATTAATAGAAAAGACTGCTTCTGCTTAAGTAACTGAGTTCGATAATGTATTTGGTTCAGAATACGGAACAGTTTGGATTGATGTTGAATCCAACCCAAGCACTGGATGTGGATGGAGTAGTTCTGATCATACAGGAAATTGCCAATTTTTATAAGATCTTGTGAATGCCTTTACTGCCAAGAAGAGATTAGTAGGAATCTATGCTTCTTAATATTAATGGTCAACCATTATGGGATCAGCTTCAGCTTGTGCTAAATTTACCTCTCATCCTCTTTGGTATGCTCATTACGACAACAGTCCATCCTTCAGTGATTATTCCAAATACGCTTTGGGTGGATGGACTACGCCATCAATCAAATAATATGTTGGTGACACAACCTTATGTTCAGTTGGAGTCGATTTGAATTTCTATTGAATAACATATTTAATAAGATATATCTTAATATAAAATTATCCTCTTCTTCCAGAATATTTTTACTATTTTTTGTCACAATCTCTGGCAGTATTTCCACTCATCATATAACCAAAAATAACGTTGTAAATCCATTTGAGATGATTAAAATTTGAGTAATTATAAAATAGAAATAATAATTGTCATAATTGTGAATCTAAATTTGTTTATGCTAAGTATTTTAAAGACAAATTAAATGAACAGGCAGCTAATATGAAGTTTATAGGCAAGTAAATAATTGTACTATAATATGAGATATAATTTAAAATTGAACTTCCAATTAACTACTAGGCAAGCATAAGGTTTCTTGTCCACCAATCTTCCTAAAATTGTATAGTTATCAATTTACATAATTGATTATCAACCAAATAGTATCAAAGATACATTGAATTAGTATTATCAACGATATTTAGGCTAAAATCTTTGTTGTCTTAATGTAATTGACTCTGTATGCCCAGACTAACATACCTATAGACATTGTTGATGTTAGTTATTAAAAGCAAGGTCTAGCCAAACATACAAAAATCAAAGTGAATATAGATGTGATTGAACTTAGAATCATCACCACTCTTTACCATTCCTCTATTGTGTCTTGATGTTCTCCTTTTTTGTATATATAAATTTAATACTTTTGAATTGTTTTGCCATTGTATACATGGTGTCCTAGTAATTGATTTTCCAATCGTATTCTTCGCTTTGCTACACTGCTGGCTATTAGAATTGCTATTGCACATTGGTTATTTGAGGCACTCTCTAGATTCTGGATCTATTAAAGGTGAATGTTAAAGCATCCAATAGGTAATTAGCCTTATTAACAATCACTTATTGTTCCTCAATTTCTTTTCTGAATTGATTCACACTTGTTATATGATCCTCCAACAAGGCCACTTTGCTATGAACCCATAAAATAGTTAAATTCAATTTTAGTTTTGAATTTATTAATACACCATATTCATTCTCCAAGATGTAATCCTACGTATGCTGTTATTAATCTTTGTATTGGTAGAGGGGTAGTTACAATTATCCAATCTAATGTTGCTCTGTGTCGAACAATCCAACAAAGATCTAACCATGAGGAGATGGAACATGACTATTCTACTTAGTTGAATAAGATTTACATCTAGAATTCCTCATTCCAAATTGGATGTATAGTCATGTCTGATATTTTAGTTTGTTGCTAAATATTAAATAGCGTTATCAAAATCTAGTACTTCGCCATTTTCAAACATTCGCCATGTGAAACTGTAATAAATAGAGTGCTATCATTATCTATTTCATATTCATTCTGTCTTTCATCCTTCCTTGCTTATTATAATTCATCCTATAATTTTTTGTACTCACTCCTATAAACAAGAATTTAATTGTTAGACTCCTGTTTAATTTAAAGCTAATTCTAATATTCCTTAAAGGTCATCTCGACAAGATCGTTAATTGTAAAATAATACCCTTAAGCATGAGTTGGATGATTTGATCTAATTTTTTCTATTAACTCATTTGGAAACTCTCTTCCAATCTTAAAACCTAATCTCACTAAATACCAATTGGTTAATATATTGAAACACATCTGGAAGGGAGTACTCTTGATCGCCATCAAACTTTCCTTATTTGAATATTTGATAAATAACATCTGTTTATAATTAATTCATAATATATATATTGTAATAATTATCTATTGAATTAACAAACACTCTTTTCTCATGAACTATCATTTGTTAGTTCAACGCTCTCCTTACATATCCAATATTCACCACTCAAAATTTGACTCCTCGAATGATATACAACTTACAGTAGAATTCCTCAATAGTTTATCTAAGGCATTATCCTTTATTAGGAAAAATCTATTAAATATTAGCATTCATTCTTACTATAAAATTCCTATTCTCCCTGATCTTAATTCTAATTCCTGAAAAAAAAATTGTCGATTTTATTTTTTCTAACCTAACTTGAAAAGTAAAAGTGGAAATATATTCACCCTTATTATTCTCTTCTCTATCGCTATTATATTGGTATGAATTGTTATAACTTATATCAAAATCTTTAACTCTAATAATTCTAATAAAATCTTACTCCATAAAAGAAGCTTATTATAAATAACAATAAATACCAGGATTATATTTTTTAATTATACATCATTTTTAATACAACTATTCACATATAAGTAGCTCTCTTTGGATGGGATATTATAAAAGTAAAATGATATATTAGAAGATAAAGCGATTAAGATATTAAATAATTGTTGATGTGTTTTGGTTGATATCAAAGAAGTTATTATTTTGATTTTTTGAGAGTACGAAGAAGATTATCTAATAGACTAGCACTTTTATGGAAGTATAATTAACGGTTTGGCGAAGACTTATGCTCCAGTTATGATCATTTTTATTTCAGATAAGAAGAATATAAGAAAGGATTTAAATGTATATTATATTATAAATTATTTCAAATCTTTTACATCATTAAACCAAAGAACCCATTTGAACTTATTTTGAATTTATCCATATTAAACCAGTTTACTCTAGATCTAAATACAGGATTTGGTTAGGTTAAAAATTCATATATAATGAGAAGGACCAATTTTTGTACTCATTAAAATTAAAAAGGATATATAATTTTAAATTAAAAAAAAAGTACCATCCCGAAGACTTGAACTCGGAACTTCAACTTAAAAGGTTGACGCTTTACCTCTAAGCTAGATGATATATCTATTCAATTAGTAAAATAAAGGTTTATCTGAAATTTTAGGTATATATACGATCTGTTGTTGGATTTCTTATTATCGAAGCGATTTTAATTATTAGCTGTTTATTTATTTAAGATCTATATTAAAGTAAACGCATTCTTTTATTCAATAACAGTATAAATCAAAAGGAGATAAGAATCAATTATATTTATTTGTTTAACATTTTATTTTGAATTTCATTATATTTTTTTAGTCAATGTATAAATCAAAACTTAATATAGAGCAGAATATATCACAGAGGAGTATACATTCTTTAGAGTTAAATTTTTAAAAATAGTTTTAAAAGGAATCATTTAAAAATATAGAAATTATAAGAATGATACCAATGGAATAGATGAAGAATTTAATTTAACATTTAAAATGTTCAATGAATACCTTTTATCTTATTTCTATACTACATAAGTCTATTTAACTAATTCAAATTTTATTAATCTTATCTATTAAATAAGTATTAAGAAACTCGCATTAAAAAGATGGAGTCGATAAGTATTAGAAACTTTATAATTTGAATTGTCATACTGTCATAATAAAACTGTTGATTTACGCAATATTTAATAATTATAAATCATTTTATATTTCTAATATAATTTAGAAATATTTAATCCTTTTTATTTGCTTATCTAAACTTCTTCTCTTCAGTAACGCTACTTTAACTACTAATAAAGGAATCCCTTAATGAATTGGAACTAGATAAGGAAAATACGATTCCCTTATTTGCTTACAATTCTTCAGGAATAGAAACATTTAGATTAGCCTCTTATCCAACTGATTGTATTCTTTTGGATTTTTTAAATTTGATTGTTCTCTTTTTACTGGATGTGCTTGAAAAGCTCACATTGCTCAAATTAACTAAGCTATTTCTTAAGGAATTAACATCTGGTTCTTTGTCTAATTCATCGACCATCAAGATTCTTTTGTTATCACTAGTTAATATTTTCGTATCCTCTTTGTTTGTCTTGAGAATTTTGAATTCCTCACTCTAAACCTAATCCAATTGTTTAAGTCTTAATGAAGACTCCATGGACTTCTTCCTTGTCAACGATAAATTGTCAGTCTACTTGTTGTTTCCCATGTTGGCTTGTCCAAATGTGACAGACTTGGACATATTGGAGTACTTTTTGATGACATCCTATACTTTAGTATTGGGACTAGCTAGCTTATCATTCTGTTATGATTCTTTTTTACTGTCACTTGAGAATTTCACTCTATCGATAGGTCTAACAAAATCTTGTAAGCTAATGGACATCATTTCAGTCTTTTTCTCGTTTTAGTTTTATTTTTTTTCAGGAGTGGTGTCATTGTTATCTGATGGATTGGGTTATTCTTATGAAACCTGTTATTCTTACTGTTAGACTTTTGTTGGGGAGGTAGGTTGCAAATAAACGCCTTCAACAAATTTGTAGTCAGTTCCTTTGACTTGTTCTTAGTTGTAAGGGACAATGATTGAAGGTGGGTTTGCAGGTACTTCAGCAAATTCATCTTGTTTTGCTTCAGGAGAATTCTTGATATTGAATTTTTCTGGTGATTTCTTAGTTTCATATTGATATTCATCGGATTAGGAATTCTATGCTTTTTCTTCATGTTTTTCAGGACTTTCAAATTCAGGTGGTTCATCACCAGAGATGCTTGCTATATTTGATTGGTTATTTTTCACTTTATTAAACAAACATTGAGCATTGGTATTATTCAATTGTTAGTCATTGCCATTGTGTATTACTGGTTCTGATGACACAGGGATGTTTGAAGCACTGCCTGGTTGAGATACTCCAAGTTGAACGGAATTCTTTTGAAATGTGATATTGAATATGGGACTGGCTCTTCTCCATTGGTCATTGAGGAGTATAGCTTCTTCAATTTTTTTGAGTTGCTAAAAGTATTTGGCAAGAGAGCCGTCAATAAGTAATTTCTCATTCAATTCTTTTTAAAACCATGTGAGATGATTGGCTAGCAAATAGATATAACCAGGTATGGTGTTTTTGGATGTTATGTTTTCTGAAACCAGTGTGTAAATGTTGATATCTTCTATAAGTACGGTGCACCAATAGGGATGAAAATCACTAATGGCTCTATTGAGGATGTATAGCAATAGTTTCTCAAAGATTGAGTGAAAGATATCAGAATTTTTATATTTAAAGTAGATTTAGACAATTTGATTGAATAACTTTAATTAATTCATTTGTTTCCACAGTTTAATATTTGAAATTCTTGTTAAATTATCAAAGATTTCTAGTAATTTAAGTCGTAGAGTTCTGAGTCGTTTATTATCATTTTCTAAGATTTGATTGAATGACTCTACAAGTAGGTTCATTTCTTGAATAAAGGTATTCATAAAGTCTGTTTTTTCAAAATCAACAGTTAATTGATGATGATAAGCAATTTCTGGATTCTCGTCTATAATTTTTTTGGTGGGAGTTTCCTCATAGATATTGATGTTCTGCATGGTGTAGGAGTAATAATTAGAAATGAGTGATAGGATATGAGCTGAACTTTTAGCCAGGAATAATTTGTCATGATTTGCTCGTAGACATTTAAACATTTGCAGAATGATTTATTTGCTGACAATGAATTGAACGAGTTTGTGACAGAATTCACTTGAAAAGTATCTGGTCATGATCTCATGAATCAAGTAGGTGAAGTTGAGGACACTCATTTCCTCCATCACATCAAAGCCATGGAAACCCAATTCAAGGACTTCCAATTTGGCATCTTCGTAATCACCATTCTCAGGATTGAATAACTGAATGAGTATACTGTTGACTGTGGCTGATTCAAGATGGTTCAGGAACAATTTGAGCAAATCAAATTTGAATATGGTTTAGCATACCTATTTAGGTTCTTTGGATAATATAAGAGCGAACAATCTTTAGATGTTGGACCATTGTGGTTCGTGGATTTGATCCGGGGTTTTCTGTAATCCCCCGAAGAGAGTTTGAATGGCAGTCTAATAAGTATAAGAATTAATACTATACTGACTAGAGAATCATTTAAGTTAGGGGTGGAAGATCAAGTTCAAAAAACTCAATCGATAGAATTGGAAATATGACTACTTGGTCATGATTTGTTTCTGTAACTTGGTCAATCTATTGCACTATTAAATCTAGGAGCTAATCTGCTATGCTTTTTTGATGCAATCTAATGAAGTCTATCACTTTTGTATTCAGGTTTTTTGCTTGTATAAAAAATTCATCCTCTGCCAAGAGTGGTATGATATTTGTTGGATTCGCATGGTATTCATCCATCATGGTTTCCATGGGATGTTTAATAGATGGATTTGTCATTCCATTCAACCACAATAACATTTGATAAAATAAATATTAATCATAATTATTCCACTTTGCAAGTGTCAACTATCCTAAATCTGAATAGGAAGATCAAAAACTCTCTCCCAATAATCCAAATTATTATGAACACTGAAAAATATTGCAGCCATGCCAATTTCATTATTGCAAGCAAACTCACCCATCTCTGAATCAATTGCATTTTAATATTGTCCAATTTTATACTAACTCTCAATTGCTTCTCAGAGTTCCCTCCAATCTTTCTACTGATATACCTCGGTCGAATTGAATATGTTCTAGTATAAATCTATGAAAGCATTTCACTCATCCATTGATTACTCAGATTATCATCAACTATGATATCCGAATAATAATCAATATCAAAGTTGCTATCATAATATAAGTTGGATTGAATACCTTGACGGTAGAGGTTCCTATTGATAGAATTGTACTTCTCCCGCTATTTACAATTACGATAACCCTTGACCACTGATTATTTCAGACTCTTGGAAGTACAAATAACAATCAAATTTGAAATGCAAACTCGCAAAGTAACATTTCAAAGGCAATAATATTGTAACCTATTTGATCTTATCTGCATCTGTGAATAACTAGAAATCAAAATTAAGCATTTCAGGAACATTGTCCGCATTTGTGTCATCCATCAACGACTATTCAATTATTAATCATTATTTACTGATATTTTTGATCCTTGCAAAGTCAGATATTAATATGATAACAATTATTCTGAACCGTCGATCTTCTGATATTTTTGATTTGTGAAATGGTACACTAAATCATCTGATGTGACGACATTTACAAAATGAAATCCCTCATATTCAATGTCTAATTATTCCTCCAATGTGGATACCATGATCCAGAAGTCTTATTAGTCAGTTGAATACTTTCAGAAGCAAAAACTAGTACAAATGGGATCACTATGATACCAAAGTATACTATTATGCAAGTGCATGTGGGAATCGATATCAATTTGCTGGTGTATGTAATTTCAAATTTTTCTCTTGATAAAGTAAACATATATTAATCATTATTATTCATATATAAACTAATCCAATTAGATGAAATCGTTCTCTATCAAGTCTTCAATGTCTTCATTGACAGTGTAAATCCTAATGCTATTCAACTGCACCAAATAGTTACACAATTACAAAGAGATGTCCTCCAATTGTTGTTGTCCATCCACTTTGATTTACTTAATTATTATTTCTCTCTTCTAAGGATCAGTCACATTGGTCTACTCCACCTTACTGTAATCCACTGAATATTGCTAAAATAAGAAGTTCGAACAATAAGGTTAATACAAAAACGGAGTGATAGGCACTCCTATTCCCTGGTTCTCTTGAATCTTAATTCCAAAGTAATCGTAAATGAAAATCCATTGATGCAGGAAGAATTCATCCTGTTGCATGAATGAGATCATTTCCACCAATTTAAGGGCTGCCAATACCAAATTTTGGTTAGATTGTTTATTTTTGAAAATGCTAATCAGCAAAGTTAGAAGTGTTGGCCACATGTTCCTAAATAGTTCATTCAACTAAATTGGTGATAATCTTAGAATCAGAATTCTTACACAAAATAGGATAAGCATAACAAGTCCAGGATTGGCTGAATCTGATTTTATGACTTCAGAAATCTTTTCAATGAGCAAATCTAATTTCTTCGTGTACCGATCTCTCTCTCCACTGAATATCAGAAAACAGATCCTCTCAAAAGTCTTAATCCTCCTTTTGTTCTCCTCACTTTCTCTACTAAAGAAAAACGAGGATTGTTGAGCAACCTACTCCAAATACTGAGTGAATAAGTCACTTCTTCCATATTACACAACCCAATTGATAATCTTGGTCCAATACTTTAATGTATGTTTCGATTATATGAAGAAGTCCTCCTTGTTGAAAATATTTAGTATTGACTCCTTGTAAACCTTCAATAGCACTTGTCTTGCTTTATCTAACTAGAAATACAACATTTCTGAAATGATCTAAACATAAATCTAATTGAATTGACTTCTGTTCTCTAAAAGAGGATACAAAATGTCCATCATCTCCTTGCATCTCAAAACCACTCGTTCTGTCTTTTCCACGGCATAAGAGTTCTGAAGCAATTCCAAAGCCACATTTTTAAGTGTCTTTATGCACATCAACCTGTATTTCGTCTAAATGTAATCCTCAGCCACACTATTAAACTGACTAAATATCAGCTTATCGATGTCAGTCACCTCATATTGGAGTTCTTTGTTCAGAGACTTTATGACATTCAAGTAGATGTCATACAGAGTTGGAGTCAAAGGAATCACTACCTTAAATTTGATAGAGTATTGTTGAAACAAATCATCTCCTTCAGGTTTCACTCCTGGATCATTCCAAAAGATATTTAATTTTCCTCCAAATTAGGCTACATATTTCAATTTATCATTGATAAATTCATGATGTTGATTTCTAAATCTTTGATCTCCAATTATCTCCTTTGGCGAGTATTTACGAGTCAATAACAATTACAATTCCAATAGCCACATATTGGTACTTGGAGATTTTGATAAAGCCAATATCTAGAGAATCTTCATTATCTGCATCCAAAACGGAAGCAGATTCTCCTTCTTTAATTAATGTGAGTCTATTTAAGCAAAGGTGAAATAACAATATAAAAAGTATAAGATGTTTGTCTCTTATTGGGCAATCTAAAAATTCAACATAGTTGTTGTTAATTTCTTCCTTCTATAGATATCATAGTATTTTTGTAACTCTTACAATTATTAAGATTCTAATAAGCTATCTAGAAATAGTTCAATTGGACATTGCATCATAATCATTATTTCAATAGTCTTCAATAGGAATGTGTTCTAATGCAGAGAAAATGGATCTATCAAGATTTACTCATTTTCAAAGAATAATCTTTGTAATAGATTGATTTAATTGCTCCATACTGATAGTAATGCTGTCATGAAATATTTGGAATAACTCATGAATAAGGGTTTCATCATTTATAAGATTTATGGTTTGACAATGTTAGTATCCTTTGTGTGTTATTCTTATAGAATTTTATTGAATGAGTTGAACTTTTCAAATGAATAAGATTCTATTCCCATAGCCGTCAGAGTGTCAGAATACTTAATGAAATCTTATCCTAATGACCAGCAATTGATATACAATTCCAGAATGGAGGGTAATGTTGACATGATCACTTCACATGTATTCTGAAACTTCTGGAATACCAACTTGGTTGTTTTATTTTGATCTTAAACATTAAGCAATCCAAAGGTGATCACAGATTTTACAGTATTGAATACAGTATTATCATCTTTCAACTTCTCATAAATCATGTCATCTCTTTCTTACAACCCAAGGATGTGTTTTAAAATAGTCTTGACTCCAATTAGGATGGATTATATTTCATGTTGAGATGATCCTTAAAGAAAATCAAATTAGTTCATTTTCTGATCTGATTTCTATTATTCATATTGTCTATTTGCAATGTCTTGAATCATTTTAAAATATGCAGTTAGAATTTATTAGACACAATCAGTTAAAGTCTACTACCTCAAATGTTCAGCCAACAAAGGGATGCATGTACTAATGAAATGAATGTATTAGGCTCTGACATAAAGTACATGAGTGTGCATGCCTCTCAGAAGGGTAGGAATAAAGATGCTATTACTTACAGATCTACTCATGGTGTCTTCGATTAATTCCCTTTGTTCTGGTTGGAATTTAGTTCTGAAGGAGGAATTGAAGAAGATGACTTTGAACAAGTTGAGAATTTGCACTTGCATTACCAGATCTTCATTTTCGATTGCATGATACAAGACAATCTACAAGGGTTGCATGATATACTCAGCGAATTTCAAGGAGACAATGGGATTTTCAACATTGACAATCAATAATTCGATGTATTCACATGCAGATGCATTGACAGCAGCATTTTCCTTGTAGAATTTTAGAGACATACTCTCTATTGCTTAGCCTTGTACATATTTCAGACAAATGATGACCAATAAATCTAAGTACATCATGGTGTCCTTTTACATGATCACACTACTTTCATTGGTGAAATGCATACGGATATCCTTGATGTATGTTGAGATCTCTGTTTCTTGGACATATTCCATGAACCTAGCACTGAATGAGATGAGAATGGATTTTAGTTTTTTGATGGTTTCATTGATTCTTTTGGTTTCATATACTTTGGCAAAGAATATCTATTGGTTGTCAGTCAAATACCAAGATGAGCTACTTTAAATTAGAACTTCGAATAGAGGATCTAAGATTCTTTCTAACATTCCTGTTGATTCTAATAACCAATTTTTAGCATTATGCCTGATGATCGGATTTTCATGATCCAAAAAGTCAAGCATTAAAAAGAGTCCCACTTTATTCAAATCCTATAATTCTTTATAATGAGTGGCACTCAATTTCCAAAACAGAGCAAATCTTCTGATGGCTGCCTCTTGCATATTTTTGAATTGATGAATTACAACTTCAGTGAAAAATGTTGGGAATACCTTAGATAGATTGACAATCATTTCTATGATTCTTTCATGGAAGAAAGGATAATCAAGGAGATTCCATAGCTTCTCTAAAGTCAACTTTGTATAGTCTTATCCTTCAATAATCTAATTCTTCTACATTTTAGTTCTGCTTTCTTCGATGATCAACTTTTTCAGATTCTCATAAATGATATCCACCTTCTCTGATATGAGAATCTCAATCATACTCTGAATAGCCAATAGAGAGATTGAGGGATTCTCCTCCTTGATGATTTTCGTTATGGAAGTAAACCATTACGGAAGCTATGGTACTTCCTTATTCTATTTAAATCTTTATCCCTTGATTAAGGATTTACTGATGGATTCGAACTCAACTCTTAATTGCTCGTCACCTTCAAGAATTACATCAGCCAACTTTTAATATAACTTCCCAAATTCCTCTATGCTCTCATCATAATCAGCCATCTATGGAGGTCTCACCAATTGATTATCTATTTATTATGGCAATTGTTCCATCCTGACCAACAATTTGTTTAAGGTGGAACCAGGTGATTGTTTCCTTAGCTCTTCTGGAGAAAAGTTCGATAGACAAGTCATTAAATTAGCTGCAGCAATTCTTAATAATGTGAATTCAACTGATTTTTCGAAATTATCCTCTTTGGTGATGAGAGTAGTAAATAAGAAATTGATATATTTGTTAAACTTTTCGCTAACCTCATGAACAACAATCAATAAAAATGAGGTAATTGATTCCAACAATCTTTTGCAAGACTTAATAATCTCTGGGTATTTTTTATGATTAATCTCAACATACTTAATCAAATTAAATGAGACTTCTCCAATCAACAATTCAACCATATGATCGTGTTCCATAAAGAAATTCTACAACAATTTTATGGGAAAAACTGCATTCTAATCATTAGCCTCTTACTGTAAAAACTTATTAAATGAATTCACAACATATTGAAGGATGTCCTTATTTTGTTCAGTTATTTAGTACTTATTGTCCATGTCTGGCTTACCAAATAACCATTGATTGACTCTTCTGGTCACAGACAAATCTTTTCTTATTAACAATTTCAATGAGGCTTCAACCAAAATCTCCTTATTTTCTTAAATGATGTTGGATTTCAAATGCGTGTACATCATGTCAAGTGCTTATCTCTTAATCAATTAACTATGTAGAATTAGATGTCATACTTTTCATCCTCCAAACAAGATATGAGAGCAGAGACATAAAGCGGAGGGAAATTGTTCTCGTGAGTCTCCTCATTGATACCATCCTCAATCATCATCAGAGCCTACTTACGCTTCAACTCCATGCTCTATTCAACCACTATAGTTCTCTTCCTAATCTCATTCTAAGCATTATTATCCATAACCTACTCGATAGAATCATCCTTAATATCATCGATATCCTGATTATTTTGAGTCACTTTCTATTGCTATTGCTATTATTCTAATGCAACTGATTACGATTTCTATTACTCTTCCTCATCATATTCGTCACTCATGTAATCTGATTGCTCATCCTCCTATTCCTATTACATTTTCGGTATCTTCTGAGACAAATACTTCAAAGATGAACTATAATGATTTCTACATGTGTTACCTTCTGCATTTTGGACTCCTTAACATTGACATCCACACTGATCCAATAAGGAACTTTCTACCAGCTGAATGACTCAATTCATCTAGGACTGTCATGCATTTCTTCTGATTCGCCTCCTACTGATCATCCAAACCTGGCAATATGCTAGCAACCAATCCAGGCAACATTGGGATCAACTCTCTTCCCAAAGGAACGTAATGTTGAATGATTAATTCCAAGAATTAAGGTCTCACTTTCGAAGATGCATTCGAAAAAAAGGGAAGCAATCCTATTGAATATAGAGCAAGATCTTCCAAATACAATTTCACTACTCCTGATGGATCACCTTCAACACTGAAGCTTGCCATATTTTTGAATAATTGGTCATAGATCTTTAACACTGACATGTGAATTGGTGCCGATAGCTAACTAATCTACTAAATTCATACATGAGGATTTAGACATTAAGCCAATCTCTTGCTTAACTGAATCTTTTCGATTATGTATGGAGACGGGTGTTGTTTCAATAATCCTTCAATTTTCATCAACAACGGAGCAATATCAGCCCATTCCTGGTTCTTCTCGAACTTATTTAGATAATATTGCAGATTAGTATTCAAAGATGATGTGTGCTAAACCAATTTTGATTTATCCATTAACTATTTAAATATATTATATAAGTATAATTAATATACATATGTATTTCTTATTATGAAATCTATTTACAAATTCACCTAATTTAAACTCTAAAGATACTCTCATTCTGTTTATAGCATTTTATCTACTAGTTCATTTCTCAGAGATAGTGATAAATCATCATTTTACGTATGTGAGTTTTGTTGAATAGTCATTAGGAATCTCAGTCCATTTTGATTTGTCTTATTAATCAAAAATAAGTTTAACCAAATTGCTAAGCCCTGCCATTCATCTTTCAATTAGTTTATGTATCAAGAATAGTGAGTTCTAATCTCCTACAAATTTCAAAAAGTGATGACCTTGAAATACTATATGAGTTAGGTATCAAACTTCATAAAAGATTTTAGGAAGTAAATTAAGTTAAATAACAATAATATATAGTTCTGTCTTAATAATCAATTGCAGCGTTAAGTAATCTTGCTACTTAGGTATTGAGAATCAATAAATGTATCAGTAAAAAAGAGATGCTTATATTTAAAATTTGAGTAATATGACATAGTTTTCAAATATTATTTATGAAAGAATGTATTTAAATGCGATCTAATTAAAAGTAATGATAAAACTCTGTTGAAAATTGATTTATATATTAAAGAATAAAATCTAGAAGGATAATACTCTTAAAAATCAACTTATAAGCAACAAAGGAATTTAAATAAAATATTTTAATTTCTCAAGCAATAACTTTAAAATCAAAGGAAAAAAGTATTAAAGGAAAATTCAATAATAAACAGCAATGTATAGAACCTTGAAAAATGACAATGTATCAAAATTTAAATAGGAAAATCTTGTTAAAAATATTAGGGGAAATTATAGATAAGTTTCTCAAGTTTTTCAAATAATGTTTAGATGACTTACGTAAATATTGATCAGTTGGATTTTTCATTATAATAATATTATTGTTTGATTGTTCAATTGAATATATTAATGAAATTTTGTATGGTATTTTCAATTTATGATCATTCCAATTAATAAAATAGTTAAATAATTGATGTTTTGATGCTTCATAGTAAAAATAGATTTAATCAAAATAATTTTTGGGCTTAGATTTCCAATAAAGGCTTCAATTCTGGTTATGGTTTCCTGAGTAATTGACTGAAGGAGGAATTGTGTAGGGATTTCACAAATAACTATGAGACTTTACTTTTATTTGGGACTCCCCTAATCTATAATGTAAGATCAATGTCGTTACTGATTAACTTTAAAGACAGGTCTGTAATTCGTCTTACCAATCCTTTCTTGATTATCTAAATTATTAGCTGGTTTTGCTCAAATAGAGTGCGTTGGTGCTATTTAATTCTGGAAAGAGAGTCTTGTGTTTATATGGTCGATAGAATCTTCTTTGACTAGTCCTTGAGCCAAGCTTGCTAGTCTATGGAATTTCGAATTTGTCTTGTTTAGGTGGCAGGTGATATGGATTTTTTAGGTATTCAAGAACATTGAACTTTCTCTTATTTTATGAATTCATTTAATAAATATTATGAAACTTCAATTCTTAAAATATTATTATCTATCCAAAAACTCTTACTTAACATCCTCAACATCATGTTAATAATGGAATACTAGATATTAATTGAATAACATTACTATGTGATTGAATAACACCTTCATGTGATTCTGGGAAGACTACTAGTTCTACTTATCCATTGTTTAATTTAACATCTGGTTATAACTCAATCTTTCTTGGTTATTTGTGAGCCCTAACAATAAACGAACAGTAATTACAAAACGATTTCTCTGAGTTAAAGGAATTATTGATCGACTTGAGTGAATTTATTGAAGAATTTCATGCCATTCTCTCCATCAGCCACTGACTTATAGACTTATAAGCCTTTTAAGAGGTCAGCAATAGCTTCTTTGCCAACAGTCCAGATTTTACTGTAATCCACTTAAACAGTAAAGTAAGGTTTATTGTTAAATTCTGAATGGACAAATTGGACAAAGGATGGGTCCTTTTATATGATTGATTGGAGAATCACATAGGAAGCCAAGATGTGTGGTTATCCCCATTTTGATTATTCTGCTGAATAATATTGAAGTCCTTTCAAAGCTCCCATGATGATGTCTAGCCAAGCAGCCTTGACGATTTCATCTCTTTCTTCTTTGGTTTTTCCAGGCACTAGAATTTACACTACATCATCATAGGTACTAAGATACAAGGCTACACTATCAGCTCTGCATTCTTCATAGGCACCTGATAATTCTCCAAATTTAGCATGCCAATGTTCATTTGGTTTGTAAAATGTTGTCACTTTTTCATTGGTGAATGGATTGATAACATTCTCAAAATTCAATTTTCCATCTTTGTCTTCCATAAAGATCTTGCCACTTCCATGTCCAATCAACTCATGTAATGCAACCACTACAAACAAGGATTCTTTGTAATAGTTAATGAATAAGTCGATGTCTGTTCCTTATAAGAATCTAACTGAATCTCTATTTGGTTTTCCATAGACATTCCCTAAGTTGACATTCTTGAATCCTAAATTCTATCTGATGTCATCATAATTAGGAATGTTGATGCCAACTGGTGTACCAGAACAAGCAAATGCCAATATTTCTAATGAGGTAAAGTCAGGTCTGCTGAACTTTTCAATTTCAAACTCTTTGGGCCAAGGTAAATCTTTGATTATATCTTCTGCCTTTTCAACTAAGTTTCCTAGCAATTTGGATTCCTCCTGATTCACAATCGATACAAATCCTTCATATTCTGCTCTCACCTTCATTGGGTCCAAGTAGGTTTCAATAAAACCAATATTTGTTTCAATAATTGGTCCCTTGTCTTGAATCCAAAGTTTCTAACTTTCCTTGTGTTATTCAATGTCTCCACTCTAGAAATGTTTAATGTATTCCTCCAACATCTTAATTTGAGTCTCATTGGCAGCATACTTCTGAGCCTCTCTTAAATTAGTGGCCACTCCATTCAAGAAAGATTTAAAATCACCATAAACAGCGAATACTTTCTTTCCTTACACTTCACCCAATTCAACAACATCTGATCTCTCTGATGAAGCTACCAATAATTCCACTCTGTCCTCTTTCAAAATCACTCTAGTATTCAATTCACTCAAGTTTTGTTTATGCAAGAATTAATCCAATTCCTCTATTTACTCCTTACTTAAATTTGGAGAATAATAAGAATTTGATCCTCCCTTCTCAAGTAAATCCAACAATCCGTATGGTTTCTCATATGAATAAATATACTTTTCTATTAAATTCCATATTTTTGTAAATTCCTCCTATTGTTCTTAATATGCCTTTGTTAATTACAAGAATTATTGGAATTTTTCTACTGGTAATTCAGGAACGAACTTTGAATCTCCAAAACTTAGGTAATTTCCACAATTCTAGAAAAATGCAGAGACATAGGTATATAATTATTGAACCTGATTTTCTGTGAATTCATTGGCCAACAACTTATCCCTCACTTCTGTTGTCTTTATAATATAAATTTATTCATACCGATTCCTTCTAAAATACCTTTTACAACAAATAAAATAATCCTGGCGCCTCATATGATCTTTAAAAGTAACAAATCTTTGCACCTGCCCAACAAGCCCTTGTGAAGTAGTAGGCATAATGCTTGCTTTTTTCATCTAGTAAATTGAACGCTGGGCATTCAATTGCAGATACCTTAGCCTCTAAAGATATTATTGGTGCTTTTTATTAATCCATAATTATTTTAATTATTATTCAATATTCCAGTTTATGTATATCATTGCTTAATTAATCATATACCAATATGATTAAATTACTTACAAATGAGTGTTGAACAATTCTTCAAGCTATTATATGATAGATTAAATTTAAATTGAATTGATGTTCATTTGAAGAAACAATTTAAATCTATCATTGAAAACTGAAATACTAATTCAAGAATGCTCTTGATTAATTTATTTTAATCTATTACTACTTAATTATTATATATTTTCTCAAAGTTTCAAATGTATAATCAATTCCATTTTTGTTTTTGATATAAGAATACGATCTACCTTAATATTTTAATATAAACAATATTTCCTAAGAATAATGGTCTCGATAGAAAGTATGAAATCGCTTAAGTGGTAGATAATTATTGATAAATGGGGCATAATTTTTAAATCACTCCAATTATTAAATATAGGTATAATTTATAATTTTTTATTGAGTAATGTTAATTATACTAAGATAAAAGTAATTCATACATAAGTATTGATATCTCTCTTATTTAATATATGAAGTGCATGTAATTAAGTACATTATAGTATATATATTAAAAATTATTTAAGATACAGAACACCTGACATAAATATTAATGATTTCCATAATGATGAACCAAAATATTAAAACAATCTGTTAATTGTAATAATAATTTTATTAAATTTTAAATCATGTCTTAGGTTTAGCAATTCTGTCAATAGCTTTCGAATGTAGATTTGAAAGATCCTAAAGCTAAGGAATTATTGATGGAAAAAATAAAACAATATGATGAAAAGTAATTATATTAAAAATAATTGAAATTAGTTTCGCTTAATCAAATTTTTATCCAACTCCTTCGCAATTATCACAAAATTACAAGCGAGATGCTTCAAAGATCTAACTACCCTCAAATGGTTCAGAATTAGAAAAGCAATTAAAAACATAATTTATTGCTGATGGATCCATCTTTGGGGAATATCAATCTATTTTAAGATAGGCTCGTGTTCCTGCTTATGTCACACCTCCTCCTCCTCCACCAAAACCAGAAGAATAAGCAGCATAGATCTTTTTAAGATTACCATATAATTATCTAGATTAAAATGCGAATACAAAACACGAATCCAATATCATTTAGAAACCCTAAAACTAACCACTTAGTTAAATGTCTCACTTATTATCAACAATTCAAAATTAAAATTAACAAAATCAATTGCAGTAACAATAAATTTAGAATCCAGCAGCAATTTAAGCAAGCGTTCTCAATAATCAATAATAAATGGACTTATAAATGTAAATGAATCAAACTCCTCATGGTTTGGATAACGATTTCATCACCAACATCAAAAAAACAGTGAATGTATTGGGAGGAATAGAGGACACCGTTTAAAGTATATATATAAATGACCCTATAAAGTCATGAAATAGTCATTATAAGATTACGAATTGCAGCATTCGATTGAGAAAAAGATTGAAAAGCAGCCAATTTTCAAAAACTCAACTTTGATGAATCCACAAAAGCCAAACCCACAGTAAATTACATAATAGCAGTACCATCCCTTTGAAAGATATATGGCAACAGAACCTTTATTGGTAGTGTAAAAGTCGCAAAAACTAAGGGAATAAAAACTATAGCAAAATATCCATAAATGAAATATATATATATGACAATTTTGTTGATCATTTATGGATTAAATAATTATATTTAATACAGATGTTAATATTTAAAATGGGATGAAATCAACTTTAATTACTGTTGTTCAAACAGGAATAGTTTGATTAAAATTTATTATTAAATATCTTTAAAATTACACAAAAATAAGTCAATACAAAAAACTATAGACTCCCAAATACTCTCTATAAGGTTTAAGCAACATACTGTACTCTTAATTTTCTGCTATCATTTTATTAATAGAATAGAAATGATCAAAATCAACGCAATAAATTTTCCTGTTTTACGTTGTTTTCAAAAGGAACTTAAAAATATAATGTTTTAAATCTTCTGATGATTTTTCATCTTTTTTTATTAACAATCTTGTCTTAAATAAAAATTATAAGTCATTGATTTTTAAGTAATCTACTTATGGATCAAATTTTGTTAGATCTGTTTCTTGATCAAGTAATTTTTAAAGCAAGGAGAATTGAAACTTATTTGATAATGTGTTGTTTTAGGAGAATAGTTATTATAATTTGTTGATGATTTCATTTAATTCAGTCTTGCTGTAAGATGGATTATTGAACAAAGTATTTTGAATAATAGTTAACATGTGTTTCATTTATTATGATGTTAATTAATAGTTTTACCCTTTCAAACCTTCTTTAATAATTGATAAATTCTCTAAGGGATGAATAAGAAAGAAATTAGTATTCTCCATTATTCTTGCTTATGCTTCGGTTTCCTTAATCTTTGATGAAATGTTGTTTTAGAGGTCTAAGAATAATGGGTCATTTTTCAATAGAGTGGATTATTTTTCAATGATTTACAGACAATGGTAAAGGATATCCACTTCCTGTTGATACTTCTATTAGTTTTTATGGATTATTTTGAGCATTTCATACAGAGTCCTATCTGATATGTATAAATTGAATTTCTCATAAAACGTGAGGACAGCATATATTTGTTTGATGTTCAAATATAACACATTTTTGTACCAAACTGATTCCAAGTTTCGTAAGGGCAACATGTAATCCTTTTCTTCCATTATGATATATGATAACCAAATCATGTGACTGTTTATCAAATTCTCACTAAATTGATTAGCTACGACACGATCATATGATTGCCTATCAACAAAATGATTGATATGAGATCTCTATACATAAGTCATAAGATTTCTGTAATCGCTAATCATTTCATATTTACAAAAGTTTAATCGATCTCTAAGACTATTAAATAATTCAAGTGAGTTTTTTCTTAATCCCATTTTAATCAAGGTTGCTGGGTCAATGCTTGCAAAATCCTAGATTTGAGAGCCATTTTGAATCGCTGTAGAAAATAATACTTTTCTTAAATGTTTTGTATTTTAGAACATATTAAAATCTTTAATTTTCATTTTTCAAATTATGGCTGAATAAACCCAAGACAAACAATTCAAGGGAGTTAAGAAGTTTACTTATAGAGGCCTCTAACTCGAAGAGCTCGTGAAACTCCCTATGGATAAATTGGTGGAATAATTCAGAGCCAGATAGAGAAGAAGAATCTCAAATCAAGGAGAAAAGGTGCATGCATTCTAAAACTTGATGAAGAAGGTATACAATATAAGTAATATATTTAGATCAGAAAGTCCAAGAAAGAAACATTACCAGGAGAAAAGCCAAAACCCGTGAAGACTCATTAAAGAAATACAATTGTTGTACCTGAGATGGTTGGTTCAATTGTTGGAGTCTACAATGGAAGATAATTCAGTAACGTTGAAATCAAGTTTGATATGATTGGCAGGTATTGATTTGTAAAAGCATGTATTAGATATTTGGGTGAATTCTCATTAACATATAAGCCAACCAGACATGGTAAGCCAGGAGTTGGTGCAACAAAAGGATCACAACACACAGATTGATGTTATGGATTTAAAAGTACATTAAGTTATTTCTACAATAATATATTACGCTTCCAATTGCTATAAAAAACATATATTATGTAAAAGCAACAATCATTTTTAACCTTATCATGTTATTGTTTCTCAAAAAGATAAATATATCATCTATATTTTCATATACTAAACTTCATTGTTGAATAATATGCATTTAGCTTATTATTTTTATGATCATATCATGTTTCTTAAAAATATTAATATTTATCCAAAATAATTATAGTAAAACCTTTTGATGAACTTAAGTCAATATTGGTTATATTAATTTAACAAAGGATTAAAATAATTTATTACTTCATTTTCTACTTCAAATAAATATGCAGTATATTGTAAAAATGATTTTGTTATATTTGTTATTTCTATTGAAATATTTATTTATATCAATAGAACCAAATAATTTAAATAACATGAATAATTTTTGTTTTTATCATGATGGCTTATTAGAAGATCGAGAAAAGTACTTCAAATAAGATATCATAAATTTTATAGGAAATGTCTTAGCTTATATGAGAGAAAAAAATATAGAGATTCTAAGTTATTAGCATTTTAATAAATGTTGGATGGAAAATGACATTCATTTTATCCATTAATGTCAATTAGAATGGGAATCTCAAGATGACTATTACAATCTGTTATATGGTATTATACTTAATAAATTGATTGAATCCCCTTTATACTTTGAATAGCTGTCATTATTCTACTTAATTTATACTATCTATGTTACTTTAGATTAAAAGATACTTATCTCCTTAGATCAAGAAACAATGAATCAATTGTACTTCTTCTTTTAGGAATGCAAAGAAAAAGGCAATCATGATGTTTTTCTACTTTTTCTTGAGTTAAACAAATAAAATGCTTTTTTATTGAGTTCTCGCGTTGGATGTAAACGGTTGTCCATACATCCTTGTGGATTACCATATATTATCACAAAAAGAAAGTAATATCATTTATAATGTAGTAAAGCACAATTAAAGTAGATTACAGAAGAAAGAGAAGATGAGTAAGAAAAAGTAGAAAGAGCAGAGTTGACTAAATAACTATTGAATGCAAGTGAGAAATACCATAAAGCCAAGCAAAAATAAAATATTAAGTTAAAAAGTACTGATCCACATTTTGCTTAGAGATGCATACACACTTTTAGTAATATCAATTAGAAATAATGAACATGAACATGAACAATTATTGTATATAGTATGATCAATTAATACGCTTGTTAACGGTCAATAAGTTATTTGCTGTTATTATATTATCTATTAAAATGATGGATATTCCATTAAATTAAGCATTATTTTTATTAACTTCTCTTCATAATTTTGAATATAATTTATTTAATTGCTATTAATAGTATATATTTTTAGAAACTATAATTCAATAATAATAATTTCAGTGTGACAAAGTTGGAGTCTTAATTGATTTTTTGAAGAGGGTATCTTAATTATACTATAATATTATTGTAATGATTTTCCTGAAAATCCAAAAAAAATTAATAAATACTTATTTCATAAATGAATAAATAGGATGAGATAAAAATTCATTTGGATAGAATCAACACAGGAAGTACTATGGCCTAGACTGGACAGCAATCTCAATTTTGGTAATAATTCTAATGTGATTTTAGCTAAAACACTTTTGGTAAAAAAAAAAAAGAGCATTTATATAAGGTCAATAATAGGTATTAAAAACAGGATATGGATGATAATCCTATTGATGAAGAAGAGTAGATTAGAGAAGACCAGAGCTAAAAGGAAAAATAATAATTTTAATAAATAGTCTTGTATCCGAAGCAAAATAAATAAAAAGAAGATGAGTGCGAGAAATTAATTAAATTTAATGAATATAATTCCGATAATGGCAATCAAAATGAAGAACCTGATTTAGACTCTCCCGTTATGAAACCAAAGAAAGTCAAAGGCGATCATCTTTATTACATTGCTTGGTATGATATATTTGAATTTTAGTTAGAGAAAGCCTTTAGGGGAATTCTTAAAGAAGTATCATTTACAAGATATTGCTCACCCTTACATTAAAAAGGCAACAAAAACGAAATGTTGCTTCTTTGCTGTGAATACTGAATAATCTCATTATTAGACTTAAAAATAAAATATTATTAAAGTAGGCAAAGATTTATATGATGATGCAAATGAAGATCATTGCAATTTACTATACTCAATTTTCTATTTATTATTACAATTAGAAAAACTATCAAAACGAAAATCATAAGAGATCTCAAATAATAAAATTAACTTATTCTAATTATTTTATACTTTGTCTTGTGTTACAGAATTCAGAGATGACTTATTTTAGATTGGTAAATTCGTAGAAGATAAGGAGAAGATTGTCTCTGTTATGTTTTTTTGTTCCAAATACATTTTTGAAGTCTTGCAATATGGAAGCTTAGATCCTATTTTTAAATACACAGAAAGTAGGGGGGAAACCTTCCATAATCTAATGACTTGCATTCATATGGGTGTTTATCGATATGTTTCTACTTCTAATTACACTTAGGAATAAGAAATCTATTCAAATTTACAAAACAATAGTATAAAACACCTTTTAGACATTTGGAAAGATAACAAATTTAAAAACAATTGAAAAAACATTTGATTAAATCAATTTTGATTTTTATATATTAATTAAGAAGGTTGTTATAAAAAATGAGCTCCCTTATTTGGGAATATATATAGTTCTCATTTTAAGTTCATTTAAATAACTGAATATATTTGTTTATATAAAATTTGCTATAATATAAAAAGATTATATTATAATAAAAAGGTTTATATCCAATTTTTATTTCTTTTTAAAGATACATTCATTATTAAAATTAATTCATGGATAATTTAAAAAAGGCACAAAAGCTCATGTAATTTTTGTAGATATCCTTAGAAAATTCGGATAAATAACAAAAGACGATATTGTGATTGGTAAAGATGAGGTTGATAGAAAATTTTTGACTCCATGTGGTCCTGTGTATACAGAGTATCATGATTGCTTGAAATTAAACTATGGAGATGTTATCATCTGTATGAAAGCATTTCATTACATTAGGTGATAAATTTAGAGAGAAGATGATCGAATGTGAAGTAAGTCAAGGATTTTTCAAATATGATGTTGCTGACATAAGAAAAAGAAGATAAAAACTCCATGGAAGCGAGGCTTGATTTATTAATTATTATAGAAGCATCATAGCTCATCATTATTATTATTTGTATATATATACACAGTTTTCACTGTTTTTATTTTTCATAATTAAATTTAATATCAGTTGATCATTCTTAAATAGTGTAATTCCTAATAGAGAAGTTGACAATGTAAGACCAACAGTCTCATTTGTGATAAGCACATAATTCTAAAAATAAATATATATATTATTTATTATTCACAAATGCACATTTAATCAATCAGATAGACACCAATTGTTTACTTATAATATGCAATTCCTAATAATAATCAATTTTTATTAATCCATCTGATATTTAAACACATAAAATTAAAAAAAGTCAAGTATGTAAGAATTTTGGGTATTTCTTGATATTACTACTAAATTTTATTTAAGTTGAGTGATGGAGTAGCTCGCTTTACTTTATATTATGAAGACAGTTAGAATTCTTATCAAAATTCTATTTTGAATACAATTTTAATCATAAGTTCTACAATAAATCATATGTTAATTTATGGAATGTTTTTATACTTATTCAGGTGCATTAACTTTTACTAATGCTTTACATTTCACAGTGCAAAACACTAAATTATAAAAGGTTAATTGTATGATCAAACCTTTAGTATTATTGTGAAGTTTAAGAAAATTAAATATTTGAGTATGATTAAAATATGTATCAATTAAATGAATATTGATGTGTATTAAATATGATGGAAATGTGAAATTTTATTATTACTTCAAGAAGTAAATCATTAAAACAAATAAGTATAGTCGATGTCAAGAAATAAAAGTAGATATCATTGACGCGAAAAATAATTTTGAACACTAGATGAAGAAGATGCAAAACTAATGCTTTTTCTTCATTATTATAATTATTATAAAATTGGGTATAATCAAAATATAGTTTCATAAGATTTAATTAGTAGGGTTTAAGAAAAATATCTAAAAATTTAAGATAATATTCTAAAAGCGTAAGGAGGGATCATCAGTTTATAATATGATCTAAATTTTTAATAAAATAGACTTGTTAAATATCTATAAATTTGGACAACACTGAAAATTTTCATAAATTTTACTTAAAAGGAATGAGTTGATATTTACATAGTTTTGTATATTGTTATTAATTTAATAAATTATTTTAATATCAAATTAATGTCTCATTAAGGAATACGAACATAATAAAATAGCTTAGAAAATTGTCAAGCTTAATCAGATTTCGAGATGATTATTAATGAAAAAGAAAGATTAATACAATATTTAGAAAAATAATAGGAAATATTGAAACACAAACTCTAGTTTTATTAATTCGAATATCATCAAGCAATATTAGAACATCATTAAAAATAGATCGAATTATTTGATATATAAAATAAAAAATAACCATCAATTCTGTTAGTCTAAAAGTAAATAGATGAAGAATATTGATTTTTCTCATTGTATAATTTTAGAAATTAATATAATTCTTATTCTTTTGGGATCTTTCCATTAAAATTTTATCTCTAGGAATAATTTCTAGTTGTATTTTTATACATTGGATAATATTGTTAACATAAAGAATATTTCAATCTGATGCTATGATGGCAAAACTTTGTTTTAAAATATATAAAACTTTAGTCCAAATATATCTTGATTTCTTCCGAAATTTCAAATTTATCTAATAACTACAATAAATCTGATCAAAGAACTTAAAATATGTTGAGTTAATAATGTGATTTATAATATTGATAATCAATTCTGATGTTTCAAACATATTAATGGTATCTTTGGTACACATCTCGTTTAATTTATTATAATATTTATTATTCTTCTGGCTGAACCGTAAAGGAAAACCTCCAACAATATTAATAGATTGCATCAAAGTCTTCAATGATTGACCAAGCGAATTTAAGATGCAATAATATTATGCCTTTTTGGAAAAATATGCAATATAAAATGGGATAAATATAATAGGAGCATCTATAAGAATAAACAAAAACTGGCTTCATTAATAGTGAATATAATTACTGGTTTAAGAAAATGCTAAAACTTTTAGGGATTGATTGAATCCTACAAATGGGATAGTTACCAATATTAATATGATTTCTAAAAGGATAGTCAATATTAATAAATTAATGACTAGGTATCCGTAATAAATTAGAAGGATTGCTAACTTGGTATCTAAAATTAAGTGAGGATTGAAATAAAAGGTAAGAGTAGTAATTGTAATCGATGTAAACATTTCAATCAGAGCTGAGATTGTCATGCATTTAGTACATGAATCATCCATTGGATTAATACAAATTAATTATATATAAATGTAAAGAATAAATATTATTTCTAATAAATTCCAAAATGAAGTTTATCAATTATCACTAACAATAATGGATTTATAGGAACTCCTTTATAACAAATTGATGTGAAATCAATACCTTATATCCATATAATAAGAGTTATCAGAATAAATAAATAGAAAGAAATAATTGAATCGTCTTTTAACATGGAGATTTTGCAATTGTTAATCTTTGGATTTAAGTACATTAATTTAATAGATAATAATAATATAATCAAATAAATCAGCAATTGAAAATAACGAGATTAAATAATATTTTAGAATAACCTCAAGAAGGTTCATTTAAATGAGGTAGAATATTTTTTGAATGGCTTAAGAAGGAAATGAAATCATTCATCTAAGTAAGTCTAATTCATTAAAGGTAATACAGTTTAATCCCGCGCCTATATTTTTGCTCACGTGGGAAATCTGATAAATCATTACTCCACAGAACAAAAGTAAATGAAGTTTTGAAAACCAAATATAAATCAAAGAAAATTCATTTAAGATTATACTCGAGAGTAGATAATCACAATAGTATATTACTAAAAAAGTCATAATCTTGATTTATTAAATTACTCTACGCGAAGTAGATTTAATAATACAATAAGCTAATAAGGATTGATTCATATTAGCCATTATCTCCGTTAACTTTCCCCATAACAGCAAAATTGAATTTCAACAATATTAAATAATTTGGTCTATTTATCCTCATTTATTTCTATTCTCTCATCATATAAGAATTGTAAAATGATCTGGCTCTACCGATTAAATGAAAATTAGTTAATTAGCTTTATTTAATAATTCTCAATTATATGGTGTTATTTGATCGTTGGGTTGTACTTCTTTTCATTGTTAACAATGTGGAGACTTGTTTAATAAAAGGTTAATTTGAAGTTATCATCACGATTAAAATATATATAAGTTTTATAAATAAAATTATTAAATGAAGTTTCAGAAATTGGAAGACGATTAAACATTAAAAGACCAATAGAATCTCAAATAAAAGAAGGAATTATTAAAATAAGAATTTGAACATTTGGAAGAAATTAAAAAATATGACAATTTATCAATTGTTTCTAGCAATGATTTTAAGTTTAAAGCTGAATTAGATAAACTGTTGGAAATGAATAGAAGTAAGAATAAAGAATTAAGTTTATTGCTAAAACCTTAAACATTTTAATCATCTAAATCATAGATGGGAGGTTCCTAATTGTAAACCATATCTGGGACTTATGGTTAGATTAGATCGATTAATAATCATCATTCGGACCCCTTATTTGCTACATTTACATAGAGCATTTATACTAAAGATACAGATAGCAATGAATAATATATTGAGTAATTAAGGGTTCAGGAAGAACGATATAACGATTTGATTTTAGAAGAATCTGAAAAAAGAGATTCTCTGGAGTAACAATTAATTCAAATTGAAAAATCGAAATTAATCTTACAATAAAAAGTAGAATAATATCAAATGTTAACAAGAATGTCAAATAAGAGATTTGCTAACACTTAATCTCTATAGTTTTTAGCAGAATAAAAAAAGGAAACTAGTAAAGTAAATTTGAGATCCATTAAGGATGAATTCGATTAGATGAAGAAAATGCAAGACACATATAAAAAATAATAAGAAGAAAAGTAGTCGAATTTATAGAAGGTCATTTATGTTGGAGAAGAGAATATTGGACATAATGCTATTAAAATTGAACATGCATTATCGATGAATACCGAATGTGTTAGATAAATTGAAAAATTAGAAATAGAAAAACAAAAGAAAATTGAAAAAAAATTAGAAAGTCGNTATACTCGAGAGTAGATAATCACAATAGTATATTACTAAAAAAGTCATAATCTTGATTTATTAAATTACTCTACGCGAAGTAGATTTAATAATACAATAAGCTAATAAGGATTGATTCATATTAGCCATTATCTCCGTTAACTTTCCCCATAACAGCAAAATTGAATTTCAACAATATTAAATAATTTGGTCTATTTATCCTCATTTATTTCTATTCTCTCATCATATAAGAATTGTAAAATGATCTGGCTCTACCGATTAAATGAAAATTAGTTAATTAGCTTTATTTAATAATTCTCAATTATATGGTGTTATTTGATCGTTGGGTTGTACTTCTTTTCATTGTTAACAATGTGGAGACTTGTTTAATAAAAGGTTAATTTGAAGTTATCATCACGATTAAAATATATATAAGTTTTATAAATAAAATTATTAAATGAAGTTTCAGAAATTGGAAGACGATTAAACATTAAAAGACCAATAGAATCTCAAATAAAAGAAGGAATTATTAAAATAAGAATTTGAACATTTGGAAGAAATTAAAAAATATGACAATTTATCAATTGTTTCTAGCAATGATTTTAAGTTTAAAGCTGAATTAGATAAACTGTTGGAAATGAATAGAAGTAAGAATAAAGAATTAAGTTTATTGCTAAAACCTTAAACATTTTAATCATCTAAATCATAGATGGGAGGTTCCTAATTGTAAACCATATCTGGGACTTATGGTTAGATTAGATCGATTAATAATCATCATTCGGACCCCTTATTTGCTACATTTACATAGAGCATTTATACTAAAGATACAGATAGCAATGAATAATATATTGAGTAATTAAGGGTTCAGGAAGAACGATATAACGATTTGATTTTAGAAGAATCTGAAAAAAGAGATTCTCTGGAGTAACAATTAATTCAAATTGAAAAATCGAAATTAATCTTACAATAAAAAGTAGAATAATATCAAATGTTAACAAGAATGTCAAATAAGAGATTTGCTAACACTTAATCTCTATAGTTTTTAGCAGAATAAAAAAAGGAAACTAGTAAAGTAAATTTGAGATCCATTAAGGATGAATTCGATTAGATGAAGAAAATGCAAGACACATATAAAAAATAATAAGAAGAAAAGTAGTCGAATTTATAGAAGGTCATTTATGTTGGAGAAGAGAATATTGGACATAATGCTATTAAAATTGAACATGCATTATCGATGAATACCGAATGTGTTAGATAAATTGAAAAATTAGAAATAGAAAAACAAAAGAAAATTGAAAAAAAATTAGAAAGTCGTTATATATTGACATATATTGAATGTTTTGAGAATTTCGAAAGGATCTTTATGTAACCAACTGGGGTTCAAAATGCCTACAGATTAGTTGATGAATTCTAAGTAAATGAAGAACAATTACGTAAATATTCATAATAACAAATCTAATTTGATCAATCAGCCAATGTTCAAAATGAAGAAGATTTTGATCGTAATGAATTACTATCATAAATAACTAAGTTTTATGAATAAGGAGAAAATAGAACCAAATATATATTGAATTTCATGTTAGAATAATATTGGCATCTATAATCAACTTTAAATAAAAGCAGTTTAGAATATGAAAATCTATTAAAATAGAAAAAAGTGTTGTTGGATGTAATTGAAAATTTAGAATGGGAGATTAATGAATTAAAATAGAAGAATCCAAATTTGGAAGTTCATGAATATTCTTCTGTTGCAGAAGATGCTGGACTATTGGAAGTTAAAGAGTAAATGACAACATTGAATATTAAAAAAATGGAAATGGAGGATCACTCAGACAATGTATTATATTAAAAGGCTGCAAAGGCATAAGGATTACTAATGAAATTTCAATTGGGATTAGCTGAGTTTATGCATAGAGTCTTTTAAATCATCTCTCTAATAGACAATAAGAATAAAGAAATTAAAAAGTTCAAATATACTGGTTTATCAAGTGAAATACTGAATTATGAAAAATACCTAGCAAAGGTATATCACTCGAATGAAAAGAAATTTTAGATTGCTAATAATTCTGAATAAATGGATGTTTAGCCTTTGCATCTAAATTTATTTTAAATTTCCAACATCATTTCATAGGTGTTAAACATTAATTAAAATATTGTTGAAGAAATTAGTTCCTACTTCTTTATATAATGTAAGACTGATTAAATTTTATGGTTCCATCTCACATAAGATAATTTCACTTCATTTATAAGCCAATTTAAGTAGTTTGATCCTATTTTAATCTAAAAGGAACTATAATCTCCAAAAGTAATTAATTAATTTAGAGAACAATTGGTCGACATTTTTACTAATAATTTCAAAGAGTTATTCACTTTTTTTACAAATATGTATAGTAAGGTTAAAGATATAGCAGAGGATTTATTAATTCATTTGAAAGAAAACAATCCGAAGTTTGACTTTAATAAATTAAATAGAAATCTCGCTAAAGAAGGATAAGATATAAAACAAGCAAAGGAATTAATTATCAAAAGAATGATTGAATATAAGACTGGTGATAATTTCACATTAAGAAAGGAGAATTCAATGTAAGCTCTTAAAAATACTAAAACTAAAATGGAAGATGATTAAGTTATTGAATAAGTTTAAACTAAATTACAATAAGATTACCAAAATTCTAAGGATTTATTTCCATTAAAGGAAGAATTCGATGAATCCTAATTAACTTAGATCAAAAGCTTTTTTCGATAAAAAATAAAAGAGAAGAATGAAGAAAAAAAAGAATGCAAAACTGATTAAAATTCAACAAAAGATTAGATTACAATTATTAAAGATTAGTAAGACTTTTAATAGAAAAAGAAAATACAAGAAAGAAATGAAAACAAATATGAAAAAGGAAGAAATAAAAAGAATTAAGAAATTAAACCTTAAAAATAAGTCATAAGAGATGAATTAGAATAGGAAAGAGAGTTATTGAAAGCTTAAATTGCTTCTAATGTTTAGAGAATGCAAGAAGAAAAAGAAAGGAAAGAAAAACCTGAATTGAAAGAATAATAAAATGAAAGAAAAACTCAAATAAAAGAGTCAACTGAAAGACTCTATGGAGAAAGAGGATACACTGTATAATTGATTAGAAATATGGCGTTGACATCAAATATTCTGAGTGACATTGATTAATTAGAGCATTTTCAAACAAAAATTGAATAACCTCAATTAGTAAGTGCTTTTGTTATGTAAAGAAAAAATTTGCATAAGAATCTGACAAAAGATTTAACATTACCATAACTCTCGTACTTGAAACCAACAAGTGCATATATTGCAAGAAGGAATTAATCCTCTGAATAGATCAAGGCTATGGATTATAAAAGGTATTATGAAATAGAAAATGGAGTCAGCATAAGACCATAAACACAATAATTAGCAAGAAAATCGATCTCCAAATAAAAAAATAATACTTTTAATACTGAAGAATATAAGAAAAAATACTCAGTTAAGAATTTGAAGAATTACAATAATGACATCAGATCTAACTAAATGCCTCAACCTATAACAGAATTTCCAACAAATCTTGGTCCTTAGTCATGTTTAATACCTTAAGTGAATTGATTCCCAATATTTTATACATATTTTATAAATAACATAAAAGTAAATTTATATCTATTGATAAAATAAAAAAATATAATTCCATTATTAGATTCCATTTGTTGATAAGCTTCTATTAAGAATTGAATAAGAATCTAAGATTAATTTAATTTATTGATGGAAAAACATTGCTTAGAATAAAGATTCTTTCCTCCGATAGATACTAATAAATCATAAGAAAATTTGATATGATTTAATTCTCTTATGAAATAGATAGATTACTTTTAAAATCTGCATTCAGTAATAAGGAATATCTTAATCTTAGATCTATGCTAAGAAAATAATGGCTCAATAAGCACCTCCAATAGAATAATTAGTCTTAAATATAATTCTATGCAATATCAAGTAAAAGAAATAAAATAATATTTAAAGACTATACATTAAATAAATATCACTTGATAGGTAAATTGATCCTTTTGTAACAATAACCAAGTTTAAATACACCAATCTAATAGCATTATATTTATGCTATATATAAAATATTAAAATATATATTTGATATTAATTAATTAGATATTTAATTTGAATAAGACTATGATCTGCTAGAACTGTAAAATCAACAACAATCGCTCAGTTATCTTTGACAATAATTGCCAATTCCATCGTTAACCATTATAATCAGTGTCCCTTAATTTATCAAAATAGACCAAAATGTATAAGGCTTGTAAAAAATGCGAGGAAGAGAGATATAATGAAAAATTTTTTAGCTTCAATGATATAAAGCAAAAATTAAATACGCATGAATCTCTAGAGTAATTAAATTAGATTGTGAAAATATCATAATAAATACTCTAATAAGCAGAAGAGGAGAAGAAAAAGTTAATTAGTTTGGCAGAAGAAATAGCAGAGACAGTTATGAATGGAATATATCAATTTTTTCAATTTCAAGCTCCTAACAAAGCAACAGGGGGTAATGAATTTTCAGCTCAAGAATTATTTTCTGTAAAATAAATAAATATTTCTATTAGTTATTAACACCATCCACAATAAAATCTTTGGAAGATTTAAAAAATAGATAAATTTCTATACAGATTGCCGATGATATGAGTTCTATGCTTTTGACCAAAGTTTTATTTATGGATAAAGTTGGAGACTTTATAAATTAATATTAAATGAATTCATCAACAATATAGAAATAAATGAAGTAAGGCGTCCAGAATTTATAACATACTAAAATTCAAATACAAAAATTCATCAAGATTTAACCGAATCGTTAAATTGAGTAGATTTAGTCAGAGCCATAATTCATGTAGGCTTAACAAGATAGCTAAATCATGTAGAATTAACAAAATAGCTAAATAATATAGTATTAGCAAAATGAATAGGATGATATTGATAATGAATCAGTAATATCAAAGGTAACTGTATTCCCTAATTAAAAAGTTTAGTGGAAGTAGAAAATAAATCACATATGACGATGCTGATTATCTCTAAGTCAAGGCAATAATGAATATAGATAATGAGTAGTTAGGATTTGCAAGAAGAGATTGCATATGCATATTAGATAAGAGAAATAATTTGAAAGAAATTTAAAGATTAAATTATTAGAGTGATGAAACTATAACATTTGCTTGTTAATTTTAAGATATGGGAAAAAAATATATAGCAGTTGGGTATCAATAAAAATATATTTAGTATCGAATTAGAAGACAATTCTGGTAAGATTTAATTATTGAATAAAAAAGAATAGAAATGGTCTGTAATCAAAGAAATAAATGTTTAGCATTCAATTATAAAAATTATTCATCCTTGTGAAAGCTATCTAATCACAATTTCTGAGATGAAGGTATTTCTTATTTTATCAATTAGGAAATGCAAATGATGAATATTTAAAAGGATAAACAATAAATTGATCTTATTTAAAAGGAGCAATCACTTATCTAAGACATTGCTTAGATAAACCCTTCTACTTTGATATATATAACGAGCAAATTTATAAATTCATTTGATTTTTAGAATAGAAGACAATTGCATTAAATTGAAGGAAAAGAAGAGCATTTGTGTTTGGAAATAATTAGTTCCGAAAACTTTATAGTTGGAAATACAGAAGGGTAAGTGTTGGTCTGTAACTTTTAAAATAAAATTCAGATCACCAAAATAATATCTCCTCATTAATAGGATGTCAAATATATAAGTAAAATTGATTAGATGTAATAAATATATATTTAATTAAGGTTTTTTGTAACATCCTCTTATGATGGAAAACATATTATAGTATCTACAAGTGGGGATAAAAAGCATATAATTAAAGATGGTCCTAAAACCAACTTTTCTGAACCCTTGTTGTGGGTTAATGAATTACGATGCTTAGTTGCATCATCTGGAGGTTAAATTTTTAAGTATTATTGATAAGATAAACGAAAAAATAATAAAACAAATATTAAATATCATAAACAATTATCATTTTTATGGATATTAAGTTTAGATGTTTAGAATAGTTTTGAATTAATCGAGAAGTTTAGTTTATGTAAATGTTCTTGGTCGACGAAATTATTATCATGTTCAAAGTTGTTTAGTTGATATTCATCTTCAAATTCGTATTGCTGGTTTTTTTGTTAAGGTAGAGTCTTAGATGGAAGACGAATGCCAAATTTATCAAATTAATTTTGTTCTTTTTCATTGGATGCCCTTGAAAATGAACTGATCTCTTATTGTTTTAAATATTCTTAACTTTTTCGACTGATAGGAACACTTAATATGGATATCGTTCTATTTTTGTTGCCAACATTTTAAGGAGTAGTTTATGTGTTTGCTTAACTAACATAATGAATTCCTTAATCCATTTCCATACTGGCATGCATATGAATATGTGTTTCACCTTTTGCATTGATATCGTGATATTGTTTTGATACAATTTATTTGGGTAATGATATTTAACAAAAAAAGGGCGTTTTAAAAAATTAATGATTTAAAGCTTCACTTATAGTTATTCTATCCTTTGGGTATTTCTTTGTCATTTAACAAATCAAATTCTCTACTAAATTCATACTCTCAAATGTTACATACACGGTTTTGGATATTTGGATGCTGGTATTTCGAAATAAGCTTCTGTGTTTTTCTTAATCGTTTATTTTAAATCATTTTATTTAAATGGATTATATCCATATAATACAACAAACAAAGTTATTCCAATACTAAAAATATCGCATTGTTAATTATAAAGCTTCTTAGATTCTTCATATTTTAATACTTCAGGTGCAGAATATCTTATAATTAATTAGAAATTATACCCTGGACTCCCACATTAAGGAAATGGAATTTGTTTTTACCAAGTAAATGCTGCTAACCCAAAATCAATTATCACTGGTCTTTGAATATCATTTCCATTCAGTAAAATATTCTATGGTTTTATATCTCTATGCATCACTTTTTATAAATGAATCTACTCTATCGCACTTAGAATGTTGATTATCATTATTCTTAAATCTTCTTATGAATACACTTTCTTTGACGATTGTTACGACACTAACTCAGGTCCATCAATATATTCAGTTAATAAATAAATATTTGATTAATTTTCATAGACCCTATACAATTTTAAGATATTTGGATGATTAAACATGCGCAAAGCTTAGATTTCATTTAATAATTATTCTTCATAATTCTTATTTTTGTTAATTTATTTTATTGTTTGCTTCTTGATGATCTTTACAGCATAAGTCTCCCCTTCTTTGTTCTAGCACTAATGAACCTAAAATTAATTATATAGGTTTACTGTTGAGAAGCTTCCCTAACCTATCTATGCCCCTAATTTATATGTTTTATCAAAATCACTCAGAATACAACAATTAGATAATGCTTCAACCCATATATTATATTGTTATATATCGTCTGTATATAGATGTATTTAATAACCATTATTTATCAATGATATTTCCAATCCTTATTCAAACTGATGAAATTAACAATACACCGTGTCTAACTACACAAATCCCTTAATCTGATTCCCCTTTCCAACATCAGAATATAATAAAAATTGTTTGACCAAAAAGTAAGTTCTGACACATCTTTATTTAAAAGTCTTCCCGACTTTTGTAAAGTTTCCCATTAACACCTAAACATTTTAAAAATCCTCTTATTCAAATGTAGGAATATCAGTTTTGTTCCAAAACTCTTAATTCTCCACATGCCCCTTACTAAATATCATATTTATTATTAAAAATTAACAAATTGAATAAAATAGCTACAATTCATTTTCTAATATTGATACCTTTTAAATTGTCTCACATTCTAAACCGCCATTATGTGTCCAACACCGCAACCATACTTTAAAATTTCAATTAAATAACTTTTTTATTCAGACAAGTTTAAAATTAAGCAAATCTCTCTAATTATCAACAATATTTGTACATTATTAATTAAAACCTTTTCATATAAATTACAAGTTAAGAGATTAGCAAGAACTAATGATTTAAGTATTTTTAAAGCGTACCCTAAATATTATGCTTAAATTGTTTTTAATCCTCTAAGATCTCCAGCACTCATATTCTAATCTAAATCAATCTTGAATTTGTATTTATAAGTCAAAACTAAAATACTTTAAAGAAATAATATGTTTCAAAGAAAATTATATCTTTTTAATATGTAAATTTCAAAATAATATTATCAAGATAATCAACAATATCACAAAATTTTGACATACTTTAGATGTTTTACTATGAAACTAATCAAAGATTTTATTTTAAAAGATTTCATATATCATTGATAAATAAATTAGTTTATAATATTATTCTAAAAATATTCGATACTACCTATTCTTTATCAATAACTCCATCGACTAATTTTATAAAATGTTCTTCAAAACTCTCATCTTAGAAGAAATAAATTTTGATCGCTCTTTCAAAATTATTTTAGAATTATGTCTTGAATGTTAAAGCCTAATGGTTAATTGATAAAATAGAATGATAATTTATAATAGTTATTTTCAATCATATTCTGTTTTGAATTTTGCTATATCTGCATTTTGAAATCTTACCTTTATAACTTTATGTGTTTTCTCATTGTCTAGGTGTATTTATATCAATATTTACATTCCTTTTTGAAGTTTTTCACAGATTCTACAGTACCTAATGTTAAATATGAAGAGTTTTATGATTTCAATGGACTTTGAACTATTCATATTTTTAAAAGAATACATTACAAAAAGAATTTTTATTATATTTTGATTCAACAAGATTTTTTATTTACTTCTCATAATTTTGGATTTACTTTTAGATTTAATTTTGACAATCAAGCTCAATTTGTTTTTTTTGATATTTATAGTCTAAATAGTAAAATTTATATACCTTATCTTATTTTTTATTGCTTTTACATTTTTAATTCTTCTAAAAATAGTATCTTATCATGGAGACTCTACCTTAAACATTCTTACAAAATATCTGTCTAAGATTATTTTTAAATCTTTATATTCTTCATATTATGATCTAATAATTCTTTTTATTATAATTTCTAGGTCGAAAGTCTGTTATTTGTTTTATTTTTGAGAATACTCTTATTTATCCTTTCACTCTATGATTGATTCTCCTTTTATGTTTTCTTACTAGGCATATCATTCATAATAAAATAATCAGAGCTCTTCATACTTTATTGCGGGAAATTGGTAAAGTCCTATTTATGTTCTTTTAAAGAATAGGTGGACTTATCAATTGTAAGATTAGTTGAATCATCCAGCTTAGATCTTGTAAGACTCCCTTTTCTATATTTACAAGAGAGAACTGATTGCAATTAGGAAATACGATTTTTCAGGTTTTGTATATTTTTATGGTTCAAATTATTTGTTGACAATTAATATCTTGAAGATGAGTATTCAATATCGCTATAAGGTCCTAATTATTATTTTCTTGAAAGGCCAATCTAATAGGAATTGAGATCACAATTCTGCATATATTTAGAATGAGAACTTAATGATTAATTTATATAATGAAGTTAAATGATATTTTGATTCAATAATATCAGACTCAATAGAGAAGCGAGCATAAATTATAGATTAAAAATACATATTTTTTTTTTGCAAAGATAAATTCGAAAAATCAGAACAGATAATGAAGTTTTTTATCAACATCTTAGAGTTTAGGTAATTTTCGCAATCTATTGCCATATTCTCTTTATTTTTCATAATGGACATCAAGATTTTTCTTTGAGATATTTGGTTTGAGGGTTTGCAATTTTTTGATCAAATTCATATTTTCTAAGGAACTGTTAAAAGTGTTATTGGGACTTTTAAGATCTGTTTGAGAGATGCCTCTATATCGATTAAGATTGACATAGGGATTATCTCTTAACTTGATTCTTTCGATTTTGTCATCCAATAACTTATACATTTAAGGAAAGAAATACTTTTTGTAATTTATCTTATGCATTTTATTATTGTTATTTATTAAATTTGGATGTGTGTTGAAGCATCTAAAATCGAGAATTAGTGGCACTTTTATTTTATTCAATTGATTTATAGATGTTGATTTTGTCCTTATCAATCTCTTCCATTCTTTTAAAGTGATTGTAATACTCTTCTAGTTGATAAGATTCGATTGTAGGATTATGGATTATAAAGCGATTAGCTTTCATGTATTAGAGTTGCTTAATTAATTAAGTTTATTGATAAAATTAATGAACTTATTGTATGTATTTTATATTGGTTTACTCAAGCGAGTTTGACGTCCTCTATGTGAACTGGAGTCATTGGTACATATTTATAAGATGGATCAGCATATTTAGTTTTCTTCACATGTTCAGGTTGTGTTGATCTTTCTTTGATGATTTTTGCGTGTTCTTTATGATACTAATTATTTGAATAAAATAATGATTTTTACTCTTTTCATCATTTCTGCTGTGTAAATTGAGCTAATTTCTGTATAATGTGCAGATAATCTTTGATTCAATGTATTCAATGGGAAATGCAATGCATTTGTAGCTTTCTTCATCACATAATCCAAATTATCAGGACTAAGAATATCATTATGATCAATTACTAGTATGATCTGTTCTCAGAAGAATAGTATACTAATCTGAATAGACCTGCTAATACAGCCAAAGGACCCAAGAAAACTGCTGCTCTCATTGGTCTCAACATGTGATATCCTTGATGAGTTAATCCTCTAAATCATAGATTCATATTTCTACTTCAATACTGAGTACTTATGACCCATAAAGGCTGTGGCAAATAGTACTCTTCTGTTGAAATAAATGAACATTTAATTTGTTGGATGATAGCCAAATTCTCTTGGTCCAATAAGGAAAAATCTACCGATCTTTCCCAAAAGCCCTTCATATTTTTATATATTAGCTACCTGATCTTTTGGCCAATTTCTCATTGATAACAACTGAGACTGGTTATAAAAACTTTAACCATGCCTATTGAATAGGATTCATCTTAATTAAATAAATATTATAAGAAACTTTTAATAAAAATTACCAATCAGCAATCACAAAATACTATTGAAAATCACTTCAAAGTTCTTCTTTTCATTGAATGTTATAACCAAAATGCTCAATAACAAATTCCTTTAATTAAACTGTTGTTAAGATATTTTTAACCAAATAAACTAGATTTAGATTAACATAATTATGTTTTAGTTATCTAACTTCTAATAAAAAAGAATACTAATAATACACGATAATAATTTCATAATTTATATTCAAAAAGTAATGTAGATTTAATATAACCATATTAAAACTAAGATTTTAGAATTCTCTATCGTCATCCAATTAGTAAAACATATATAATAATATTTAATACTGATTCTCTTGAAATTCAGAATATCAAATATTTATAAAATGGGTATTTTAAATAATTTTAATAATAATGTCTGAATATCATGATGAGTTTTAAGAAGACCAATAAAAATTGAATGCTTTGAACCTATCTTGGACATTGGGATTTAATTACAAAATGGTAAATGGAGTTCACAACCTCACTAATGATTCTCGTAAAGTATGATCTATCTTGATTTAGGAAATATTCTATGCGACAGCACACACAGGAGTCATATTTGATTATGGGAATAATTAATAGAGATTATTATAAGGACATGTATTATATTATATGATTTGTAGTGTAACAAAATTTCATGCACAGCATATTGCAAAGAATTAGACATAATTGTAACTGCTGATGCAGGGCCTGACAGTATGTTAGTCATATGGGATGCAAAGACAGGAGTACCAAGAAGAACGATATTTGAGCCACACGCTAATGGTGTTTAAGCAGTGGATATTAGTGAGAATGGCCAATATTTGGTAACATTGTCAAAAGAAGAACCCGATAAAATACAATCTATATCGTTTTGGGACTGGTAATCTCAAGATCCTCGTCTTAGAACAACAGTGTTAGATGATAAACTAAAGGATTATCAATACTATGTTACAATCAATAATAATGCTGAACAAAAGTAAAATTAGCAATAGATATTTGAATTTGCTACCACAGGCAAAAAGAGAGTAGTCTTTTGGAGTTGGGAATACGGAGCAGCAGGATTCGAATATTACAGTCCTGAAGTCTAAAAGAATAAGGTGTTGACATAGACAGTGTTTATTCCCAAGAATAAGAATGTGGTAACAGGAACATTGGATGGATATATAATAGTTTGGGATGTTTCACTTATTATTGAAGAATATGGTTAACCAGATGAGAGGAGAGTGATTAAGATAGTGAATCTCATGAATGTGGCTAATAAATCTGAAACTCAATAGAAGAAAGGAAATGCTTAAATTTTATTATTAAGAGTCTAAGGGAGGTATTTAGTGGTTGGAGCATCTAATGGATCTATAAGATTTTATGATTTCAAATTCAGAATTCGAGCATGGTTTGAAGATGTTGTGATTGGATAGAATGGTCTAAATATTTAATGCATAGGATCTATTACTAATCTATCATTTGCAAATGAGAGTGTGTTCTAAGAAGATTTTGAAACTGAATCGGATGAGGAAAAAGACAAGGATGAGTAATCCTAGAAAAAGTCAAAACCATTTTTATGTTAGGATTTTATAGTTGTGGATGATAAGGCAAATGTGATCTTATTAAAGTCATCACAATTTCAAGAAATTGAAAAAGAAAAGAAGAAAGGAACAGTCATTATGTCATCTATTGTGTCACCCATTATTTCCATATCTGTTAGACCTAATGTGCCTGTTGTTGCATTTAGTTGTGAAGATAACAAAATTTATGAATGGAATTTCTATGAAAAACACAATAAACTTAAGGAAATAAAAGAAAAAGGAAGTGAATTACAAATATAAAGTACTTTTATAGAATACAGTCCTGATGGTAATTATTTAGCTGTCTGTTCTAAAAATGGAATAGTTCATATGTATGATTGCAGAGAAGAAAAATGGCTTAAAAATCTATTGGTCTCTGAGACTGACAAAACTAAACCGAAAATAACTTATTTAACTTTTAGTATTGATTCAAAATACTTTGCTACTATTGATGAGTCTTATGCAGTCAGTGTTTTTAATTTTGATTTCGATCCTAACAGTTAATTGAAATAATAAAAAGAATGGATATTTGCTGGTAAATATAGGGTACATCATGGACCAATCAAATCAGTTGCCTTTGGTGAAACACTAGATGAAAAGAATTAAGTTCAATTAAAGGTGTTCACCATAGGAGAAGATATGAAATTGGCAGTCTATGATGTTTTAGATCCAACTCAAGATCCATATAATAGAGTTAAATTAAGAAGTGTAGTAACTATTGAATAGGAATGTTTGCCATCAGCATGCATCTGGTATCCAATCAATCTCTAAAGAGAAGATGTCTTATTGACAACAAATAGTGAATTCAAATTAAAATTGTGGACTGTATTAAAAGATCTTCGTATTATCTGTAAAAAGACCTGTTTAGGTCCAACATTTGGTGGACACATCAAGAGATTACTATTATTAAATCCAAGTGATATGAAAAATGAATACTAAGATAAATATTTGGCATACTCTACAGGTGAGAAGGTGGTTGGTATAATTAAATTGCCTTTGGATGGCAATCCTAATAAAACTATGGGTTTGATTGCACATCCTGAGAAGATTGTTGATTTATCATCAACTTAAGATGGCAAATTATTTTTTACTTCTGGTGGTGATGACTTTGCCATTAATATTTGGAGTGTTGATTTTGCTGCTTTAGAAGATAATTTTTAAACTCAAGATACAGAATATGAAATATTTTCAAATTTATTAGATGGAGGGCCTGAAGGATAGACCTTAAGAGATTTGAAAGACTTCTTTTACTATAGTCAAATTAGATCAAAAGATGAACACACAACTAAGGCTAGAAAATTAGATGGTCTGGTACCATTGACTGCTATTGCTGATATGATGAGATCCATGGGATATTTCCCAACAAATTAAGAAATTGAAAATATGATAAATGAGATCAAGTTTTCGAAATATCTTGAAACAGGTGAACAAATTTCAGAATTGGAAATTAATACATTTCTTAAATTGTATGTTAATCATAAACCTGTTAATGGAGTTACTAAAGGTTAAATATATGATGCATTAAAGACACTTTCTGGTGACACAGGAGTAATAGCATGGGATTAATTTACTGAGTTATTGAAAACAAAGGGTGAAAAATTAGATGAATAAGAAATTGAATGTAATATAGATATTCTATTATAGATTATTTGGAATCATTAATGCCAAACAAAAATTACCCATAACAATTACATTTGAATAATCTTTGTGATGAATTGTTAGGTTTTGAAGATATGGATGGTACTTAAGAATAGTAAGAGTAATAAGAAGAAGTTTAAGACGATGGTTCTGAAGATGAATAGTAGTGAAATTATATTTATTTTTATTCTAAATTTAAAATTAATTTAATGTGTTTCTATTTAACTTATATACATAAATAACATTATGTATTTTTAAATAAAGTAATTCAAATATTTAATTTTTATTGTCAAAAAGTATACTTAATAGGATTATTATAAATTATAAATCCAAATAAATTCAAAATCTATTATTATACATAAATTTGATTTCTTAAATGGATGGGCATCGAATACATTGACTATATATTTGTATTATTTTATTAATTTACTTTCATTCTAAATTGGATAAAAATCGACAAATTTAGAAACCAAATAAAGTATATGAATTTTGTGGCAATAGTAAGATTATAACCAAAACATACTCATTTTATGTTTGTGTGGAGGGATTCTTTGGAAATTTATCAATAATAACAATGGCTCAATTATGTTGATAAGCTATTCAGATTGAGGATAAAAATCATTATTGGAATATGAAAGTAATTATGGAGATGGAAATAGTACAAGATTTTAATAATAAAAAGTTTGCCAATACAAGCAATTAATTAGAAATAATGATTGTTAATTATTATATTTTTCAAATTCAAATTTTTCAATGTATAAAGAAGAAGCAATTCCATTAATCACATATGATGCTTAAAATAGAAGTAATTAAATATTCAATAGATAGCCTACCATTTGGCAGAAGAGGCGGCAAAAATGATTAGATCTATAAATAATCCCATTGCAATTATCTCAGTAGCAGGTTTGTATAGAACAGGGAAATCATACCTATTGAATAGAATAGTGCTCAACCGCAGCAATGGTTTCGGAGTTGGACCAACAGTAAATCCCTGCACAAAAGGAATGTGGGTTTGGGGGACACCAATTACAGTGGGAAAGACTTCAATTTTGATAGTAGACTCAGAGGGTACAGGAGCCTTGAATGACTCAGATGTCAATCATGACACAAGAATATTTGCTCTTGCTGTTTTACTGGCCTCCTCATTTGTTTATAATTCAGTTGGAGCTATTGACGAAGGAGCATTGGAATCATTGAGTTTTGTAGTCAATCTAACAAAATTCATATAATTGAGATCAAACGAAGAGCCAGACTCTGAGGAGTATGGAGAATTTATGCCTCAATTCTTTTGGGTGTTAAGAGATTTTTCATTGCAATTATTGGATAACAATGGGGACACTCTAACTAGTCATCAGTATTTAGAGAGATCCTTGTAGGAATAACCAGGATTCTGTGATAGGGTAGAGGAGAAGAATAGAATAAGAAGATTGTTGAGAACCTTCTTTCCCGAAAGAGAGTGTTTTACATTGGTAAGACCAGTGAATAATGAGAGTCAATTACAATCACTTTAACATTTAGATCTCAAGTAATTGAGGCCAGAATTTTATGAATAAGCAATATCTTTGAGGAAAATGTTGTTTTCTAAGGTGAAACCTAAGTAATTTAAAGGCAAAACTCTTACAGGGGGAATGTATATCAATTTGATTGAGTATTTACATATATATATAATTTAGTTCTTATTTACAAGCCATGAATAGTGGATGTGTAGCCTCAATTGAGAGTTCATGGACATATGTATTTAGAGAAGAATGTAGAAAATTATAAGCAGAGGCATTCGATATATATGAAAAGCAGATTAAAGAAACTTTGCTTTCCAAACTCCCAACTACTCTTGAAGAGGTCAAGGCTTTGAATAAGATATGTAAGTCAAAGGCCATTGCACATATGGGCAATAATGCCGAAATAACTCCATATGTAAATGAGTTGAAACAAAAGATCAAGGGCAAATTTGAAAACCTTTTGGCCTTTAATGAAACTGAATCTGTAACTTTATGCAAGTAGTATTTGGTTACACAATTTGCTCCAATTGATTAAAAATTAAAAATGTCAGAATATAAAACATATTCTGAATTTGAAAAGGATTTAAAATTGTTCAATATCTTTTTGGAAGAACATGGCCCTAAGGTTGTTAGAAGAAAGCAAATGTTTGTGGAATTCACACAGAAGATGACAAATGAAGGAGCTACATTTTTTGTTTAAAATACATTATAGGATTTTGAAGGTTATAAGAAATTTTCAGAAGAATAAATCAATAAATTACAAAATGGGTTTAATACTTTAAAATAAGATTCACAAAAATAGGTAGAGTAGTAAAATTAACAAATTAAATAATTGAATTAATAGAATGCTGACATTAATCAAAAATATAAAACATAATGTGAAGAATTAGAAAAATTGAAATAAAAAAACAGTTAAACTATTCAATAGATGAAAACATAATTTGAGAATGAATACAATAAATTGTAGAGTAGTTTTGATGAATTAAAATAAAAATGTTAGGTAGCTGAAGAGGAATTAAAAAATTCAGAGAGAGAATAATTTATTTTGTAAAGTGAATCTAAGAAGAAGGAAGCCTTGTTGGAATAGAAAATATCACACTTATAAAAATTGAATGATGAATTCAACAAAAAGGAGAAATAATATGATTCTTCCTTGATGACTTCCAAGAGTGAGTTCTCTGTTAAGTTGAGAGAGTTGACCACATCTTATGAACAAACTTTGAGTGAAGTAAGAGCTTAGAACTTATAATTAAATGAGAAGTTATAGGAGACTTCAGATTCATTGATGCAATTGGAAATCAAATATGAAAATTATTACTAAGTTCAAACTCATAAGGAGGAGAGTCAAAGCAATGCTATTAAGAAATTAATGTAATCTTAATAAATCTTACAAGAATAAATTAATATAGAAATTGCAAAGAACAAACAACTTCAGGATGAATTGTTATAGACTCAAATGCAAGTAGAATCCAATGAAGTGGGTGAACAATACAAATAGTAAGTTAAGTAATTGGAAATCAAATTATAAGAACAAAAGTAAATATAATTAAAAAGTGATGCAGTTTTGAATCAATAGATTTAATTCTTGTAGATGGAATTAGAAGAAAAGAAAAATACTATTAATGATCTCAAAAAATCACATGAATCAGCAATGTTGGCCTTGGAGTAGTCATAAAACACCTAAAATCAATAATAATTGAATAAATCTATCATTGATTTGAAGGAATAACATATGGTTGAAATTAGACAAGCAGAGTAAAATTCACAATAGTTAAGAAAACAATTACAACAAGAATTGGATTAATTGTAAGGAGAATTACAAGAAGCAGAATTGAGAGGGGATGTGTATTTATAAGAAAAGAATAAATTGTAAGAAGAATTAAGTGAAAGCTATTAGGTTTAAGATGAATTGAAATAGAAGATCCAACAATAATAGAAGGAAATGGAATCAAATAAGTATACTCAATTTAGAGAGAAAGAATTGAGAATGAATTAAAGAATAAAATAATTAGAAGAGGAATTAAGTTAATGCAAATAACAAATCTAAAATATGGGTAATCTAGATAAGAATAGTATTGAGTAATAAGTGAATGAATTAAGAAATTATTATGAAATGGAGAAGGATGTTTTGGAGAGAAGAATTCATGAAGAAAGATAGAAGGCTGATTAGAAATATTAAATATTATTTGAAGAATAAGAGTAGAAGATGAGAGATGAACAATAGTAATATGAAGAAGAAATAGAGACATTGAAAGATGAATTGAGAGATTTGGAAATCAACTTAACTACTTAATAATAATAATATGATAATGAAATAGAATTAAAGAATAAACAACTTAATTCTATGGAGAATATCTTGAATGAAACAAAAGAATAATTAGTATAATTACAAAATACTTTCTAAACTTAAGTTGAATAGAGAATCAACAATCTAAATGTAGCGATCCAATCATTGGAAAGTCAATTAACTAATTAATAATAGAATAATCAACAATTAGTTAAAGAAAATCAATTAATGACTTAGAAGGTAGAAAACTTGGATGTCAAACTCTAATAAAAATTAAGTGAATTCAAATAATTGAAAGAAGATTAAGAAAAGGAGAAGACTTAATTATAAGAGACGTTACAAGATTTGAGAAGAAAATACACAGCAACTTGTGATGAATATTTAGAGAAAAAGATTAATTACGAGAAGGCTATAGCATTAAGTGCTTAACAAAATGAATTCTTTGCCAAGAAGGTAGAAGAATTGGAAAGACAGTTGGAGAGTTGCAATCTTAAATACGAAGAGAGAATCAAGATCTAGAAATAGGAATGGACTTAAGAATTATCAGATAGATTATCAAAATTAAATGAAGAAAAGCAATTGATTGAATCTAAAAGCACATAGCTTAAAAAACAATTGAGAGAAAAAGAAACTTAGTTGTTAAAGGCATAATAAGATTTGGAGAAGGAAACTGCCTTGTCAACTGAAAAGATTGTGTATTTAGAATAGAAATTAAGAGAACATGAACAACAAACATCTTCAGAGAATAGTAATGCTGCCATGCAATTGAAATAGTTAAGAGAATAATTTAATCTATTAAAATCCAAATCGTCTTCAGATATTGAATAACTAAAATCATAATTGACTAATCTTGAATTTGAGAAGTAAGAATTGTAGGCCAATTATGAGAAAGATAAGATTTTATGGGTAATATTATAATTTAATATTTTTAGTAAGGTAAAACATAGTTCTTAGAATCATAAAGAGAATCTTTGAAACAAGAATTAGCTGATGCCATGAGGAAATTTGAAACAACAATTTAAACATTGCAAAGGTAGAGAAGCCTCGAGAGAAATGATCATAATTAAGATATCACAGAAATGTTGAATTAGATTGAGAGAAAGTATTAGGATTAAGTGAAAGATATTTAACAATAACATTAAAAGAAATGCGATGATTATTAAGAGAGAATTGAGAGATTGGAAAAGGAACTTAAGTAATCTTAAAGTAAAGAATTGCTGGATTAATAATCAAAGATTGGATAACAATTTGAGAGAAAGACAGCAGAATTGTTGGAGAATGAAAAGAGACTATTAAGTACAATTGAAGAATTGAAATAAGAAAGAGATCAACGCATACTTGAACATCACGAAGAAGTGGAATAAGAGAAGGAGTATTGGAGAAATAAAATTAATGAATTAGAAGAAAGATAGAGAGAATCAGATAAAAAATAATCATAACTCATCTTTTATCATGAAAAGGAAAGAGCTAAATGGAGTTAAGAAAAAGATTATATTATGTAATAAAAGATGGAATTGTAAGATTAATTATCCAGATTGGAGAAGAAGAAAGAATTATTACTCAAAGAAAATGAGAAAATGAAGAATTCTTCAAAGAGTCTCAGAAAATATAATCCAAATCAAACTCTTAATAATAGTTATTTAAACAAATAAGCAAGTGATAAGAAGATCCCTTCATAAGTAAATATTAATTCTAATTAAATATAGGAAGTAGTTAATATGAGTTATGATGTTACTAAATCATTGGAAGATAAAGATCCAAGTGCAAAGGAAAATCTATCTACATCAACCACTTTTGGTAGTTTCAAAAAATATTATTAAATGATGAATTCTAAACAAGTCAGTCCAAGTAAAACTAAAGAAATTTCAGATATTTGATAAAATTAATATATATAACACAAGAAACTCAAATTTATGTTGACCATTATTATCTGAGTGAATTCTCATAAAGTGATCTTTGTAATATATTATTAGCAAATCCTACATCCACACAATATTGGTTTTGTCTATCAATAATGCACTAACCTAAAGCTGCATCATATAATGAAATAATAAATTTATCAATCTGTCTTGGAGAGAAATCTTCCATTTGTTTTGCCAAAGATAAGATTTCATCCTCTGACAGATTGAAATTCACTGTGAATCTTTTTGAAAATGCTTTGGCTGGATTTAAAATCAAGGAAAGCATGTTACTCTTTTAGAATGTATCTTCAAACCCTTTCTTTAATAACTTAACTCTTTGTTCTTCATTCAAATAATCAAATTTAACAATTTAATCGATTCTATCCAAAATGGCTTCATCTAATTTATTTGGTAAATTGGTTGCTAAGATTAAAGAATATTTCTTTGAAGCTGCAGAAGTCTAAGCCAAAAATGTGGATAAGGCAGCAGATGTTTACTTTGAAGAACTTCTTTTATAAAAAATAGCCTCAGCTTCATCAATAAATATAAGTGTTCCTTTAGGAGTAGAATTACACCAAGCAAACAATTTATCGATCTCTGGAACAGCCTATTCTCCTAATTTTTCTATGTCCCCACCTGAAATTATAGCAAAATGCAATCCTGAATTGTAAGCAAGCAATTTGGCAAAGAGAGTTTTACCTGTTCCTGGTTGACCATGAAATAATAGATTTCTCAAAGGAGCTGATTAACTTTATTTGGCTATAAATCCAGATGTAATCAATTTAAGAGTGACTTCCAATTCAGGATTTAAGACTATTTTATCGAATATTCGTTTAGAACTAGGCATCATCCATTTTAATGAGCGACGAGAAGTTTCTCTGACTAAAGTAGGTTTTGTAAGCATGGCTTCCAATCTCTTAAATCCAAGTCCTAAACTGTACTTACTAAAGAAAAAGGCTCCACTTACAAATAACATTACTTTTGCTATGGTAAAGAGACCTTAGGGGTTCTATTGCAAATATTTGAATCCCTCTTAGAATTTAACAAAGTAAAGATTATGTAATTCGATTTTAGCCTATTTTTCTATCTAAGCCTTCTTCTCTTATTCTTAAATAATTAAATCAAAATTCTTTCTATAATTCTCGGCATTTAGTTTAGCTTGCAAGGTGATTTTTTTTTCCTCTAATTCAAATTATTTCTTCATCTGCATTGTTAACGTTTCTCTCCTCATATTTTCTTATCTCTTTATAGATTCTTCAGCCTCTTCTCTCATTCTCTGAGCAGTCAACTCTTTCTCTTTCAATTTATCTTTGGTTCTATCTCTTTCCAATTTATCATTATAATCTGCAATCTATTGATTAACCTATTTTTGATGATCCATATTTCTCCTTCTTTCTTCTCCTTCAACCTTGACCTTTGAAATCTCATGTTATTTCTGTAATGCTTGTTTATCTGCCCTTTTGGCTTCTTCAGTCTTAATCATGGCTTCAAGGGCTTTTGCTGCATGAGGTGACTAATTTAGCTCACGTAAGGCCTCAAATAATAGTTTAATAAGAAATACTTGTGCTGCTCTTTCTAAAGCTGTTGGATCAAAGACTCCTTAATTCTTCATAATTAAATTTAATTATTTATGAATTGTATAAATTATAATACAAAATTAGAAAATCCTGATCAGATGAAATCAATGATGTTAGAAATAAACAATAATCATATTATTAAAATTATCGCCATTATTTGTAATTATCCTTGCCTTAATAAATAATGTAAGCAATTGTAATTGGAAATATATGATTATTGAATTAATTTTATCTTAATTTGGACTATTAAATTATTGGATATAAAATTAATTTATTAAATCAAACTAATTTCTTAACCATGTATACTCCTTCAGTATGATAACCTAATTTACGATAATAATGTCTTGTTCCAATTCCAGCAATAACAGCCATCTTAGTACTTCCGTGTTCATCTCTTGCAATTTTCTCGGCTTCTTCCATAAGCAATGTACCATATCCTTGATGCTAGAATTTAGAAGGATCTCTTGAATGAATTGGGACCACTGAACCATAAACATGCAATTCTCTAACCATGGAGGTTGGTTCCTGAGTTAATTCTTTTCTGAAAGTGTGTTTATCCAATCTTCTGAGTCTTAACAACCCTATTAAAATATCTTAAGAAGGATCTTCATAACTTAGGAATGTTTCCCATCCATCATTAGCAGTATAATCTCTTCTAATTAATTCAACTTATTCTGGTTTAATTTTATGATGAACTTCTTTGATTCCAACTTCCCTTGTTCTAACGTCTCTGCAGGCAACATTTAAGTCTCTCATTCTTTGTAATGATAATTCTCTCAAATTGCCATTGTCTACTCCTGATGTCACTAAAGGCATAGGAATATCTCTCTAAATTCTATAGACTCTAGTCCAAGGTGGAACCAATGCCAAAATTTTAGCAACAACGTCAACTAGGAAATCAGGAGGGTAGTTTCTGTACTATCCATTTTTCCATAATTCATATAATCCAGTACCTCTAATGACAAGAGTAGGATAAATCTAAGTTACAATTCAAATATACTTTTAAACCATCAGGTCTGAAATCAGGATTTTCAAAGAATTCTTTAAAACTCTCTAAATCTCTCTCTACTCCCATATTAGGTAAATCAGGCATCATATGTGTAACCACTTTGTATCCACTATCTTTACTCATAGCAAAACATTTCTTTACAGATTCAACAGTGTGCCCTCTATTAGTATCTCTTGCAACTGAATATTAGATTAGAATATATACTATCTTCATAGATTGATTGAACACCAACTTCAATACGAGTACATCCATACAATAACATATCACTCAAATGACTTTTCTGACAAAAATCAGGTCGTGTTTCTATAGTTATACCTATACACTTAGATCTACTCTCCTCAGAGAATTAGACTGATTCTTTGACTGTTTATGAACGATGACCACTTAATGCATCATGTAAATTTCTAATAAAATAATCTCTGTATTCTTAATCCAAGGACATGAATGTTCCACCCATTATGATATATTCCACCTTATCGCAATCATGACCCAACTATTTTAACTACGCTATTCTATCTCTTGCCTGAATATATGGATTATATCTTGCTCTAATGGCTCTCATACTTGTAGGTTCATAACCTGTATAACTTTGAGTTGAATATTCGAAATCACTATCAGGTCCCTAAAATCATTAGAAAAATGTTCATACTCCTGGACAATATATGCAAATATTCCCTGTCACAGCTATATGGGGACATCTATGTGGTTTGGCCATGACTGCAACCACTGCAATACCTGAAGCTGTTCTTACAGGCTTTGCTTTCAAAATTGGAATCAATTTATCCTTATAATCATCCGGAATTGCAGAGAGGATTTCTACTATCTTAGGCGCTCCTGAGATCTTATTCTTTTTTGAATACTCAGCTTTTATTTGTGATAAATTTATTTTCTGATTGCTATCGTACTATTTAATCAATTCTGCAACTATCTCTGAAATGCACTTCAATTTATCAACTGTTGAATCCTACTATTTTTTTCCTTTCTTCTCTTTTTGCTCCATAAATTATGTTAAAAAAGAATTATGTTTAATATAATAAAGGTTTTTAATTAATTAATAATAAAAATATAAGTATCTTTAAATATTTTATTCTTCATCCATCCTAGCATGACCTCCAAATTCCTTTCAAGATTTCTAGGAATTAAGATGATTTATTTTATTTCCTTCTAATTTCTATAGCCTTCTATTCCTAATCCCAATTTTTGAAACTCTTTATTCCTCTTAAATTTAGTCTAGCACTCTCCCTAAACTTCTTTATGACTAAATCCTCAACATTTACTTAAATATTGATATATTTTCTTTAGCCTAGATCGAAATTTCATTTTTTTCACTTGAACACTATTTTTAAGCATAAATCAATAAATTTGACTCTTTTACTCTCCTTCAAACATTTCTTGGATCTTAGAATTTCCATATTTCTATTATTTAAAAAGTTGAGACAACATATCATTTTTTTTGTAATAACATCATTTTTTCTATTTTTCTTAGGATCAAACCCCAAAATTTATAATAATCAGATTGGCGATACTCTTATATACAATTCAAACTCAGAAATGCAAACAACTATACAAATATTACATATATAATTATAAATTTAGTAAAGTACATACTCAAAGTTTTTATTCTCATTCAAAATTTTTTGTTTGATCTTAGGCAAACTTTTTAGTCAGATAAGAATTCCATGAATAAAGCTTCTCAGTTAACAATAGAACCTCAGATGTTTTCCGTATTCTTTATGTAGTTTAAAGGGAGCATGCTCTTCTTGAATTGTTGGTTGTTAATGGTGATGTAAATATAGTCTTAATTTCAGTTTCCTCTTCTTCAGGCACTGGTGATATGTCTCCAAAACTCTACAGCGTTGATAATGGGGACTGATCATATTTCTACATTTCAATCTATAAATAATTAAAAAAAAATATTAAAATATTAATGATATATTGAATCTTGTATCTATTAATTACGCTATCAAACGACCAAACTATTTTCTTAAAAAATACATGGGTTTTATCTAAATTCTAAAAAGTTCAGTTTTTATTATTAAATTATTTTCCACTTATGAGATTACATGTATTATTCTTATTTCTATCAATTTCTTAAATCATAATTCAAAATTGATCAATCAGAAATCAAAATAAAAACTTCTATAAGTAGTTTCATAGAAAGTCAAAATTTATTTCATGATTAAATTTTATTATTTCTAAATAATGCTTTATAGAATAATTTCCAAAATTTCTTGAATACAACATATACAAAATATAAAATATTTATTTTTTACAGAATTCAGATCTCTTATTATTGATGCAAAATTATTGACATAAATAAGTGAGATTGAAAGTCTTCTATTAGTATGTTATTATAACAATGTCATCAACGAAATTGAGTATATATAAGACATAAATCTACAACAATGTATTGTAAAACATACTTAAAAAATGGATTTCCACTGATTTTATATTAAATTGTCTTCTCATTTTGATTACCGATAGCCTTTTTATGAATATTTTATGTTTCGAAAAGAGATTAACTAATTTCTACTTGATATAAATTTAATAAATAATATGAGAATAATCAATTTCAAAGGATTGGAATTATGGATTTCGATTCTTACCACCATAAATTTTTTTGGTTTAGGAGTCTTTTCAAATTAACATTTAAAGTTCATTTGTTTTTATTGGATTTAGAAGGCTTAATTTGAATTAATATTTCTTTTTATAGGATCTATCATTTTTGGTTTTATATTGGGAACAAGGATGTATAAGTAAGCAGCAAGTTTTAATAAGTAGTTTTGTTAAGCATCTTTCAAGTTTGAAGATATACTTAATTTCCGATATTACATTTATATTGTTTACAACAGGATATTCATTATATATATATGAAGAAATCAATAAATACTTTTAGGAACCATAATATTAAGATGAATTATAAATCTTTAATTTTCTTGATGTTATGTTACTAATATTTTAGATATTGATTGGGATGAGTATAAGCTTAAATTTTATTCACACAATGTGCTTCCTGAGAGTAAATAGTAATGAATTTTCTTTCCTCTTTATTCCAGTTTTTTTATCCACTGGAATATTTATCAACCAGGTAATTGGTGAGATTTATTTTGAGAAAATTGATCCGTATTCAGCAAACATTTAGATGAAATTAGGTATTCAACATTATAACACTACCAGTTATATTTTCTAAATTTTTCCTATTTTAGTTCGATTATGTGGGTCTTCATTTTTGGCTAAATAGGAAACAGTACGATAAACAGAAAATAAAAATTAAGTCCACATTATGGACGATATTGATGAAGATAAAAAAATAAGAATTTTAAAGAGTTATTTTACTTAATATTATTAGATTATATTTCTAATTATATTAACGACATTTTCTGGATCTTAAATTGCTCAAACCTATTTTAATATTGGCAGCTAATACTCTCTTATCTATATCGATCATTAATAATCCTATTATTCTTTTTATGGTGTATTTTCATGCAGGTGGTGCTTTCCACGATATTAGATTGTTATTAACTTTCTTAATTTACTAATAATTATTTGTAACTTTTTGTTTCAGAAACACATTAAAGTTAAGAAACATTTAACAATATCTAATGGAGTACTATGTTTAGGTTTAGCGCTAGCATCATATGGTGAATCATGTGCTATGTTATTTCTTATATCCTTTGGACATTATTTGGGATTGGGAACACTTCTTTATAAGATAATTCCAACAACATTACCATAAAGCTCGATGATTTAATGTTTCAGTATAGAATTCATAGCATAATTTATGGAAGCTTGTATCTTAAGTGCGATATATAAATTAAGAATATCAAATTCACCTCAAGTTTGTTAAAATATTAGATAGATCTTTTAGATGTATTTTTGTTTTAATTTAGTCGGACTTGTTTTTATCTTGTTTTTTTGGAAAGTGTAAAATTAAAATTTACTATATAGCAACCAAAAGTAAAGTAACAAAAGGAAGAGATATAAATCATGCTAGTTGAAACCAAAAATATTGACTAAGAAGAAGAATAATGAAATTAATATTATTAAATCATATTTTATTATTTAAAATGAGATTCTATTATGCTTCAGAATAACTTGATTTCGATACTATTGTATAAGAATTGGAAAATGATTTACCTGCTTATTAATGAAAATTTAATCTAATAATTTAAATCATAAATAAAAAAATGTTTTCTGTCATTGTCACAATTATACATCTGTTGACTGCTCTAATTTCTATCATTTATGTTAGTAAAGGATTAAAGATATTTAATTCTCCTTTATTTAAGAATACAGACATCCCTGAAAGATTTAAGCCATTCAGAAGGACAGATAGAGACAATTGGAATAGATATGAAATGTACCTCTGCAGTATCCTTTTTTTCCCATTGAGATTGCTAATGAGCTTTGTAATATTGATATCTTTCATATTTACAATGTTTGTAGCTACTATTGGTAGAAATATAAAATTTATATTTAGGTTTTAAACTGAAAAATCCTTGGCCAGAATCTAGATTGAAAGCGTTTAAACCTATACTATAATTCCTTGGAAAGGCATATCTTTACGCTAATGGCTTTATTTATATTAAGGAAAAAACATTAAGGTAAATATAATGAACAATTATTTATCATAGATTTGAAGATTTTATTCCTGATTACTAAAAAACAGAATTAAGTAAAGGTTAACCTTCAATTATTATTTCAAATCATTCTAGTTGGTATGATACAATAACTTATGTTTACAAATATTTACCATCCTATATGTCCAAAGTGTCAGTAAGCAAATACCCATTATTTGGATGGATAACAACTTCATTAAAGTCAATTTATGTTGATAGAGAAAGCGAAGAAAGTCGACATCAATGTGTTGCAGATCTATCTGAAAGAGTCAGATAAATTAATTAAGGCTAATTGTTTCCACCTGTAATCATTTTTCCAGAAGGTACTACGACGAACGGAGAATGTTTAATTCCTTTTAAAAGAGGAGCATTTGATCCATTATTGCCTGTGAAAATCTGCTGTCTCAAATATTCAAAGAGAAGATTTCATCCAGTCATGGACGTTATAGGCATTGGTTATATGACACTTTTTTCATTGAATCAATTTGCTAATGAAGTAGAAATAATTGAATTCGAAGGTCTATTTGATCCTACTTATCTTAATTTACAACAATATCCAGAAGAAAAAAGAGTATGATTCATAATTTATCATAATTAGTGGGAGATATACGCAAATGCATGCAGGCAACTTATGGCGTAAGCTCTTGGAATCAAGTTGATTGAAGCTACTTATAGAGATGGAGTAGAATATCAAATGAAATATCTCAAAGGTAAATTAAAATAAGAGTGAAAATTATATAAATATAATAATATGAGTAATTTTAAAAGAAATGACAATTCTAAAAAGGAAGATCCTAACAAAGCCTATTTTGGTCATCCTGAATTAGATGCCTTATTGGGTAATACACTATTAAAAGGATAAATCATTTTTATAGAGTAAGATTCACCAACAACCATCTATAAATAATTATTGAGATACTGTATTGGCAATTCATTTCATAAAAATCATGCTTCAATCATATTTGACCAATTCTGTGAATAATGGTCAAAAATTGTGCCTAAAAAATAAGTTGAGAATTAATCCCAATAAGAAGAAAAAGAAATGTAAAACAAGATTGCTTGGAGATATAATTAAATGTAATAGCAATTTACAATTAAGAATATTGACTCCTCTATTTTTTATTTGGATTTATCGAAATCAGAAACTGAACAGACTGTTGAAAATCACTTAAAACTTAATAATTATGATGAAATAAATAACTTATAATAATTCTTGCAAATTATTACTAAGTAATATTAGAAATCATTAAAAACAAGCACAGATTCTACTCTTAAAAAATTAATTATTCATGATTTTTGGGACAAGATCCCTTATAATCAATAAGAACTCTATTAATTTTTATATTCTTTGAAAGTGCTCATTCGATCATCATTTATTTTGTGTGTAATTACACTACCAGATAGAAGAATGGATTTGATGCAATTTTGTGATTTTTATATTACTATCACATAATTATTCGGAAATAAAGAGTTCTCTGAATTCCAAGGAATGATTAAATTTGACAAAATTGGATGGAGTGGTTCACTAAAGTAAGTTTAATTAGAGAATGATAAATGGGGAATCAAAATCACATAAAAGTCGTTGAAGATAGAATAATTATATGAGACTGCCATAGAAGATGATTCAGAAGAAGAATAAAACAAGAAAAATAAGATTGAGTAATTTTGATGTTTTAATAAATTATGAGGATGGAGAATATACTTATATTTAGTAATTTAATCAGTAAATGTTATTGGTCAAGTAAATTTTAAAGACTTTGATCTTAAATGCTTGCAAAAGGGTCTCTATATCAATTCTAAATTACTAATTGACATCTCTAAATTAGTATGCTTAATTGACATTGATTTTCGTTAGATATTTTATTTTAATACTTTCTATTTTGGCATGCTTCTATATTAATAATCTGAGTCACTGTCATACAGTTTTGGATCATTTACATCTATGTTGATGAATAAATATTTCAGATTCTTTCTTGGGTTTGCTAATTTAATTGGATTGTTATAATGCCTCTTTTTTTCTGGACACAATTTTTTTAAGACGCAAGCATTTCTTATTTTATATTAACCAGTAATAGTCATTTATGGAATATTGAAATCAAAAAGACTTGATCCTAACACTGGAGTTTATGATCTATATTATTGTTTCATTTATCAAACAGTATGTTATTAATTTTANTTGGGTAATACACTATTAAAAGGATAAATCATTTTTATAGAGTAAGATTCACCAACAACCATCTATAAATAATTATTGAGATACTGTATTGGCAATTCATTTCATAAAAATCATGCTTCAATCATATTTGACCAATTCTGTGAATAATGGTCAAAAATTGTGCCTAAAAAATAAGTTGAGAATTAATCCCAATAAGAAGAAAAAGAAATGTAAAACAAGATTGCTTGGAGATATAATTAAATGTAATAGCAATTTACAATTAAGAATATTGACTCCTCTATTTTTTATTTGGATTTATCGAAATCAGAAACTGAACAGACTGTTGAAAATCACTTAAAACTTAATAATTATGATGAAATAAATAACTTATAATAATTCTTGCAAATTATTACTAAGTAATATTAGAAATCATTAAAAACAAGCACAGATTCTACTCTTAAAAAATTAATTATTCATGATTTTTGGGACAAGATCCCTTATAATCAATAAGAACTCTATTAATTTTTATATTCTTTGAAAGTGCTCATTCGATCATCATTTATTTTGTGTGTAATTACACTACCAGATAGAAGAATGGATTTGATGCAATTTTGTGATTTTTATATTACTATCACATAATTATTCGGAAATAAAGAGTTCTCTGAATTCCAAGGAATGATTAAATTTGACAAAATTGGATGGAGTGGTTCACTAAAGTAAGTTTAATTAGAGAATGATAAATGGGGAATCAAAATCACATAAAAGTCGTTGAAGATAGAATAATTATATGAGACTGCCATAGAAGATGATTCAGAAGAAGAATAAAACAAGAAAAATAAGATTGAGTAATTTTGATGTTTTAATAAATTATGAGGATGGAGAATATACTTATATTTAGTAATTTAATCAGTAAATGTTATTGGTCAAGTAAATTTTAAAGACTTTGATCTTAAATGCTTGCAAAAGGGTCTCTATATCAATTCTAAATTACTAATTGACATCTCTAAATTAGTATGCTTAATTGACATTGATTTTCGTTAGATATTTTATTTTAATACTTTCTATTTTGGCATGCTTCTATATTAATAATCTGAGTCACTGTCATACAGTTTTGGATCATTTACATCTATGTTGATGAATAAATATTTCAGATTCTTTCTTGGGTTTGCTAATTTAATTGGATTGTTATAATGCCTCTTTTTTTCTGGACACAATTTTTTTAAGACGCAAGCATTTCTTATTTTATATTAACCAGTAATAGTCATTTATGGAATATTGAAATCAAAAAGACTTGATCCTAACACTGGAGTTTATGATCTATATTATTGTTTCATTTATCAAACAGTATGTTATTAATTTTATTTATACTTAATTTCCAATAAATAAATTAATGTAATCAGACATTATTTTAAACAATGCTGTCATAAAACTAATTGGAGAATTTTAGGATAAGAGGATTTATTTTAAATATTTTGTCTAATACGAAAAGCCACCTTATTAAGTAAATATGTTTGAAAAAAATAGAGATAATTATATGAATTCTGGGTGAGTACAATTGATAAGCTAACAGAAAACATTTTAAAAACCAGTCTAATTAAAGTACAAGAACTTTAAAATCTGTTTTCATTGTTTGAATATAAACCACTTGGTATTGAAAATGTTTTGGCTCAAATGTAAAAGGAAGGAAAAATCGTAATGGAAGGCTATAGAACTAAAGCTGTTAATATCTTACTAAAAGTTGAAAATGAGGAGAATGAAGATTTAACTACTAATAATACTCATCACCTCTAAATTTTATGGAACCCTTTAAAAAGGGCATTCGAGAAACTTCTAATAAAAAAAAAATCTCCTACTCCCACTAAATGTCCTTACTTCTTTCATATCAAATATTTTAAAGAAAACATAATTAAATTTAAATAAGCAGTTGAAGAGGTTTCAATTAATTAATTCAATACATTTACTGCAAAATAATTAATGAAAGTGATAGATTTGCCACAACGAGAAATCTTATTTTTGATAGGCATATTTTTGGAGGCCAAACTCATATAGAGCGTGGGATACTTTACTATAGATTCTATTAAATAAGAAGTTTTTATTTATAAATCAATGTGGCTTGTTGAGAATAATAATCTTGACTTGGCAAAAAATTAAACATTGTTTTAATTGAAATGTATAATATATTGATATCATAGATTAAGAGATATTAAATTCTGATGAAAGGGATGAATGCTATAAGAGTATAGAATTGAAGGAAAAGCAAATAAGAAAGAAAATACTAGAGAAGAAATCCCCAAATGAAATCAAATTTCACATTGCTGAAAAGCTTCAATTCGAAAAATGGATTGAAAATTATGAGCATAGATTGTTAATAATGTAGCAAAGTCAAGCTCGTTTGAGAAATGCTGATTCAGATTTGTAAATTTAAGATATCATCTGTAAAATATCATAATTATTATTAATAGAATAAGTAAATCACATTCTAAAAAATAACGAAATTGATAATTTGATGTTATAAGATAATCTTAATGAATTTATGGATCATCGTCAATAATAAGAAGAAACCCTATAAATTATGAAAAGATATGAACCAAGTGAAATTGATACTTTGTATAATAAATATTTAGAGGAAAATTAATTGAAGGACACGAATAGTGTATAAATATAAAATACTCATAACACTCCCTTTGTACCATTATAACCATAGAAACATAATTATGAGTCAGAAGAAAGAATGCTAGAGTTGTAATAATGAAATATTATTAATATATTAATATCATATATGGATAAATCAGTGAAAATAAACGAAAAAGGAACTGGAATTACAGATTAAATTTAGAATGAAATAGTCACAATTGTTAAAAATGCCATTTAAGTACATAAGCAATTTTTGGGGGAGGTTTGCAATCAAATTGCAAATGTGTTGTGTCAAAAATATGGAGGATGGTGGTGTTGCTTTGTAACAGATAAAGACGCCAATTACGGATCGCGATTATTTCATTTTGATCATATGTACTTAGATGCAACAATAGAGTAAAAGCGATTTACTATTTTCAAATCAGCAAAATGATTATTTCAATTAATATCCAAATCAATTAATAAAATTTCTCTAGAAGTTGATGTGGTCATGTAATCAGAGGAGCTTATTTTAAGGCTCCACCTCATAAAGAGGTAAGTTCATTCTGGCATTTACTATATTTAGTGGCAATTTTGGATTATTATAAAATATACTTATTTAATCATTTTTTAGCACTTATAGGTCTTTTAACGCCATTACTTTATTTGTTTACTACTGCCGATTAGGGTCTTTATACATAGTTTTGTTAATTGAATTATTAAGATTCATCTTATTGGAGATCATAAAACTATTATTAGTCAATAGTTTATCGTTTAATATCAGCTTAGTAATATTTTCCATCAGTTCCTTTAACCTAAGATACAAGGAAATGCATTACCCTTTATTGATTGGTAGTGCTACAACTTAAACAATTAATGGGATAAAGTTTCTTTGTGTTGATCCCTATAATTTAGTCAGTAGGAGGCGAGGCTGATTATTAGAAGTTCATTGGAGATTTCTTCAATTACACTATATAATGGATGTAATAGATTACCTTATAAGGCTTCTATCTCTCTCCTTAAATAATTTATAGTGTCCATGGCTTATCCTAATCTAGTTTCTAAATTAAATAATTCTCTCTTCACATCATCTTCATTAGCCTTGACTTTCACTTGTTTGATTAATCCATTAATATCAACATCTCTAAATATTCTAGTCACTCTTCTTTCGATTTCATTAGCATTTTCAACTTTATGGCCAATGTCTTAAAGATCTTTTTAAATTTTTCTAATTTTATCATCTTCTAGATTGCCCTGTTATTGGAATTACTCAAACATTCTATTGATTTCATCTTTAGTGACATATTTAGATTCTTCTGGAGTTTATTGTTATTGTTGCTATTATTATTATTAGTATAATTATGAAAAGAACTGAAAACTATCGTAACGTGATTTGAATTCTGCATCAAGAGTTTCCCAATGCACATTATTTCTAATTGACATTTCCTCTAATTTCTTAATGTCTCCTTCAAGAGTACATATTTTATGAGGATCAATTTTAGATAATAGATAAGCTACATTTTCAGCATTTAAATTCATATCCTTTAATGCTTCAACTCTCTCTTTGGCCTCATCATTCAACCTTTAAATCCCATCTTCCAATTATTTGATTTTTTATCTATGCTAATCTAATTGATTAGAAACATCCAATTTGTTGATAGCAGTGGCTAATCTGCTATTTAAATCAATTATCTTGTCTCCTTGTTGTTTATTCTACTCAACCAATTTATCAATTAAATTGATTTTAGATTTTAATCTTGGAATATTGATATAAATTTACAAGTCATTCATTTCATTTAGTTATAATTTTAATTTGGATTGTTTTTCCCCTACTGTATCATCAATACCTTTGATTTAACTTCGAATGTATGCAATATCTTGTTGAAATTTAATCAATTATTCGTTATTTTACATTTATTAAATCTAAAATTAAATATTATACGGTACTTCTTTCAATATTTTATCTTCACTAGTTCTAATAGCTTCATTAACGAATTCTTCATTTGTTCTTTTCAGCAATAGATCTTAACAATCATGTATTTTCCATAAGGTTTTTCTTGAATTTAAACTAATTAAGCGTACCTTTCAACATCTCTAACTGCTTCTTCAAATTTCTAAATGTCTGTGGATAGTTTCTTTTCAACTGTGTCTAATTCTTGTCTTCCATTCTTCTATAAATCTTCAATATGCTATTCTAATTGATTTTTTTATTTCCTCATCTTCTCTTTACATTCTTTAGTATCAAACTTTGTTAGCATGTCGTTTTCTAATTTTGTTAATCGTTAATCTTATCTCTAATTTTAGTATCAATATCTACCTTCTTCTCTCTATAGAGATGTTAAATCATTGAGATAACTGAAAATAGCTTTCCTCTCAATTCAGTTATAATTTTCTCTAAAGCTCCCTTCCCGAACTTTTACTTCCCTTATATTTGTGTAATGTATGTGCTTAATTAAGTTGATAATTCTTTCTCTATATCCTTGTCTGAAAACTACAATGAATCACTTAATAATTGAAACTATTCTTGAACCTAAATTAGATTTAACTTTAACTAATAATATGATTTCGGAGGGTCCAAGTAGTTTCTTTATGCCTTCAATTTCCACTGTGTGATTGTCAAGATCAGCTTATACTCCTTCTAAAAATTGTTTCAAATGATCATAGTTAACATCCAGTTTAAATAATGACACTCCTTTCAAACTCAACTCATCTATTATTTTATATTCAACTATACCTCCCAATTCTTTTCTACTTTTTGAACTTCCTTTGCTTTTATTATCCATTTAAATTAATAATATAAAATAAATTTATAAATGAACCTTTGCTCTATAACTCTTGACAATTCAAAAACACCGAACTAAAAAAATTATTGAATCAGAAGAAAGAAATACATTAAGATATCAAAATTATTCATTGTTAAATTGCCATTCATCTATATAAAATTGTAATAGTTTCTAAAGGAATAGAAATTCTTAAAGAAAAATCATATTTTATTTTTGTTATTTATCCTAGAACCATATAGAGAGCTTTTCTCCTTTATGAATATTACGGATAAAAATTGGTGAATGCCTATAAATATTTTAACTAGCGATTTATTATAATATTATATATCTTTCTGACGCCTTGAATAATGAGTTATCAATTCCTATTTCAACTAAATCTTTTTTTGAACGAATAACTGGATATTTAAATTCTTCTGATATTTTTTCAATATTTTTATTTCTTATTTTTACAACAAAAATATTTATCGAACATATAATTAAATAGGATTGTAATATTTATTTAAAGTTAAGCTAATTCTCCTGATTATATGATTCGATTAAAATATCAATATAATTAGTAAATTAAAATATTGTTGGTTTCAGCGGTTCTTTGGATGATAAAATAAGAATTCTATAATAAATATGACAATTTGATAGATTATAAAATATACATAAAGTGTTAGAATCGTATTGCTTCATCACCAGATAATTAGATCAACTTTCTAATAGATATAATATTCAATACAAATTATTTATGATATACTGTTAAATAATTCTCAAACAAACAAAATCTTATTATAACTGATAACTTATATTTAATGATATGCATATAATTAGTATTCGATTAATTTTGATATGATCACTTTTATTAATTGATAGCTAATCTCATAGTGTATGGATTGAATAAACTTTCCTGCATCCATTTTGTAAGTATTTAATATAATACATATATATAAATCTTATTTTATATTCTGTTCAAATAATTTATATTAAATGGCTTCGCTAAATAAATTAAGTAGCAATGATATTGGGAATGTTGATAGATAAATTGCTAAATTAAAGCAAGGATAAATATTGACAGAATCAGAAATCAAGAGTTTATGCATTAAAGTTTTATTATTTTGCAATTACTTAGGCGAAAGAGATTTTGTCAGATGAACCTAATATCATCTAAGTTAGAGCACCTCTTACGATTTGTGGAGATATTCATGGCCAATTCCATGATTTAATAGAACTCTTCTAAATTGGAGGAAACTTACCAGTATTTACATTTTGCAAATCTATTCTAGGACACAAATTACTTATTTTTGGGAGATTATGTAGATAGAGGCTCGCAATCTGTAGAAACATTCTCATTAATGCTCTCGCTAAAAGTTAGATATAAAGATCGCATTGTGTTATTAAGAGGTATTAATTATAATATTCTCACAGGAAATCATGAAAACAGAGAAATCAATAAGATATACGGTTTTTATGATGAGTGTTTCCGTAAATATGGCAATGAAATAGTTTGGAAGCAATTCACAGAAGTATTTGGCTATTTACCAATATCTGCAATCGTTGAATAACAAGTAACATTAATTCTAATTCAACTCTAGATTTTTTGTGCTCATGGAGGTTTATCACCAGCAATGGAATCAGTCGATCAAATAAAACAATTGAATAGAGTCTAAGACATCCCACATGAAGGATTAATGTGTGACCTTCTATGGAGTGATCCTGAAGAAACAAAAAATGGTATTGTGTTTTCTTAACACCTCTTCAGGTTGGGGTATCTCGCCAAGAGGTGCAGGTTGGACCTGGGGATGTGATATCACAGAAAAATTCCTCCATTCCAATAAGCTTAAACAAATTGCTAGAGCACATCAACTAGTGATGGAAGGAATTTAAAAAGTCCATAATCAAAAAACTATTACTATCTTTTCTGCTCCAAATTATTGTTATCGTTGTGGCAATTAAGCCTGCATTGTTGAAGTTGATGAATAACTCAGAATGAATCAGTAATTCTATTCCTAATTCTAGAACCTAATTTGAGCCTGCCCCTCGAGAAAATGAGCCACATACGACTAGAAGAGTACCTGATTATTTTCTTTGAAATATATAAATATGTTATTTAATATCAATAGTGTACCTTGCAACCTTCTTCAACCATAAATTTCATATTATTTGCTCTAAACTTCTTTATTTCATTAAGGAATATTAGGACTATCAAAATAAAATAAAGCCATAATCTAATTTTTATTGAAAATATAATGAAGATTCATTTAAATGTTAAGTTGACATAATCGACAATACGATATTTATCACATTTAAATAAAATATGTTAACAAAGAATATTTTTAAATCATATTAATTGATCATTCTAAGCCCAATATCCAATGAAGTGTACTCAACATTTATTTACACAAATGTTCATTGCTTCCAATTATTTGTATTGTACATTACATGTTTGGCAAAACTATAAATTTAATCATATAATCTTAATTCACATTAGTCAATTCAAAAATACCACCTAGTTTAAAGCTTATTTTTACAAAGTTTATAAGAAATATATTGCAATTATTTATCATTAAAGTAATCCAATTATTGGTCCTAAAATAATGAATAAGAGTTGAACTCACATAACTTTGGAAATATCCTAATTTATTTCAAATTAATACTTTCTTAAATAGTTTCCTGTTTTCACTATTTTTGGATTGAGTATAAATGTTTCTCCTCTCAAAATTTATGTTTTCTTTTATCTCCATTTTGTTCTAAAAATTTATAGGTTGATATCTTTGAAATCCATAAAGGAAACTAACGTGGTTGTTAAAAAGAAATTTGCTGATATTTATTTGTTTGCCCATTCAGCTAAACATAAATTAAAAATAATTAATTACCAGCAAATATTACATTTATTAATCTATAATTTTCATACTATTTAAAAATTCCTATCACTTCTTATTATATTTATTACCCAGCGTCAATTTTATCTACCATCTTATCTGGTTTTAACCACATTGAAAATTCTTAAAAATATTAAAAATAAATACATCTATTATCTCCTTCAAATTGTATTTTACAGCTATCAAAATTGGATTGAGTTTTATTTCCAATGTATAAGGTTAGTTTTAAATAGTTTTTCTCCTTCAAAGGAACATATTATAATTCTTATTTAATCCCGACTTAAAGTTATGGAGAATTTACTAATGCTGCTCTACCCTTTATAGTGGCTATTTTGAAACGATTCTTTTGTGATTCTGTTAATCCATATGTATGTAATAACTCAAATTAAGTATTTTCATATTTAAAGAATTTTCCGATATATTATTTTATAGGTATTTATTGATCCATTTTCAAAGGGAAAAATGATTAAGTTAAAGTAGATTGACTCAATCCATCGAAATTTTCATAAAATTCCTTTCTTTTTCCAATATTAGAGGTAATATGATTCATCGGAAGTTATTATCTTGTATTTTAATCTTGAAACTATTATGAATTATTATAATTTTATTGAAGTTAGTTTGCATAAGTTTATTTATTCAGCTATTTTTATTGTTATTACTAATTAACAGTAGAATAAATATAGTTAGTATTAATTACTCCATTTTTTTATTAATTATCTGATTTTTATTATTAGAATGATGATTCCAAATAAGATTAAGCGTGTTATTATTATTATTAGGGAATTGTATATGATCCTAATTTTGTTGGGGTCACTTATTNCAAAGAATATTTTTAAATCATATTAATTGATCATTCTAAGCCCAATATCCAATGAAGTGTACTCAACATTTATTTACACAAATGTTCATTGCTTCCAATTATTTGTATTGTACATTACATGTTTGGCAAAACTATAAATTTAATCATATAATCTTAATTCACATTAGTCAATTCAAAAATACCACCTAGTTTAAAGCTTATTTTTACAAAGTTTATAAGAAATATATTGCAATTATTTATCATTAAAGTAATCCAATTATTGGTCCTAAAATAATGAATAAGAGTTGAACTCACATAACTTTGGAAATATCCTAATTTATTTCAAATTAATACTTTCTTAAATAGTTTCCTGTTTTCACTATTTTTGGATTGAGTATAAATGTTTCTCCTCTCAAAATTTATGTTTTCTTTTATCTCCATTTTGTTCTAAAAATTTATAGGTTGATATCTTTGAAATCCATAAAGGAAACTAACGTGGTTGTTAAAAAGAAATTTGCTGATATTTATTTGTTTGCCCATTCAGCTAAACATAAATTAAAAATAATTAATTACCAGCAAATATTACATTTATTAATCTATAATTTTCATACTATTTAAAAATTCCTATCACTTCTTATTATATTTATTACCCAGCGTCAATTTTATCTACCATCTTATCTGGTTTTAACCACATTGAAAATTCTTAAAAATATTAAAAATAAATACATCTATTATCTCCTTCAAATTGTATTTTACAGCTATCAAAATTGGATTGAGTTTTATTTCCAATGTATAAGGTTAGTTTTAAATAGTTTTTCTCCTTCAAAGGAACATATTATAATTCTTATTTAATCCCGACTTAAAGTTATGGAGAATTTACTAATGCTGCTCTACCCTTTATAGTGGCTATTTTGAAACGATTCTTTTGTGATTCTGTTAATCCATATGTATGTAATAACTCAAATTAAGTATTTTCATATTTAAAGAATTTTCCGATATATTATTTTATAGGTATTTATTGATCCATTTTCAAAGGGAAAAATGATTAAGTTAAAGTAGATTGACTCAATCCATCGAAATTTTCATAAAATTCCTTTCTTTTTCCAATATTAGAGGTAATATGATTCATCGGAAGTTATTATCTTGTATTTTAATCTTGAAACTATTATGAATTATTATAATTTTATTGAAGTTAGTTTGCATAAGTTTATTTATTCAGCTATTTTTATTGTTATTACTAATTAACAGTAGAATAAATATAGTTAGTATTAATTACTCCATTTTTTTATTAATTATCTGATTTTTATTATTAGAATGATGATTCCAAATAAGATTAAGCGTGTTATTATTATTATTAGGGAATTGTATATGATCCTAATTTTGTTGGGGTCACTTATTGTAGAATGCTAAGATTTATTTTATTATCTAATCTATCAAATAATTTATTTTATTACTAATTATCTGGATTAGGAGTTTGAAATTAATTATTCCAATAATTTTCAATTTCTCTCTGTTTCATCTATGATTATTGTTATTATATCGCTTCTTATCTATTTTATTCTTATTTTAACTGCTCTAATCTTTATTGTTCTTTTCTTTTTTCTTCCAATCTTAATTATTCTTATCTAATTTACTCTGACTTTTCTTTTTCTTTTCTTTCATTTTCTCTTTTTTCATTTGCTTTCCTTTATTCTTCTGCCCTTTATTACTCCAATTTAATTTATTCTTCTCTAAGCCTTACTTAACGTTAGTCATCTTCTTACTATTTTTTAATTTCCTCTTGTTTCTTTTACTCTTCAAATTACCTCTATTAAATTAAAGAATTTTGTTGCTATATTTTAGATTCCTCAATTGCTCTCCTCAACATTTCATTCTCATTTTGGAATTAGGATTAAATTTACGATTAGAATTACAGAGATTGATTTTATATTGGCTGCTTTTGTTATTAGGGAGGAGGATGATCGAAATCCCTATTTTATATTTTCTAAATGTGAGCCAAAGTCCTCTTTTTTAATTAATTATAAGCATCGGAACTACATTCTTTTTCTAGGTAATAATAATAGTATTTTTGGAATTTCTCAACGAAATCTTAAAGAGCGTATAGTTCTGCTTATTCATCTTCCCTCAAAACCCCATCATACTTATTGGCCTAGTTAATGAGACTTGCAAATTATTTTTCTATGAAGCTCATAGATTCACTTAAAGTAACTAATACTTCATTAACGCTTTCCATATCAGAATCATTAATTAATGATTCATTGATCAATTCAATATCTTAGTAAATGGTTTGCTTGCTTTCATCTTAAGTAATAATTTGTAGTTACTTAATTTCTTCATAGTTTCATCTCTCTCTTTATTATTGTTTTGCTATTTTTGAGAAGCTTTGTTGGGATCAAATGGGAAAATAAGACTAGATTGAGGTGGGAATTTAACCTAAAGTTTTAGATGAAACATGTACTCCCATTTAGACTAATTCATCATATTAAATTTTAAATTTAGTAGGTGCTCCCTTAGAATCCTTTGGAAATGTTGTAGCAAGGAATTCAACCAATTAGAGAGCCAAGTTTAAAAATTCAATGCTTGATTGGGAATCTAGACTAATACCAAATTGAACCTTGTCCATTAAATAAATCAGCACCTCGATTGAGATTAGAATCTCCTAATTTATGAGTACAAATATTTCCAATAAATGTCAACAAAGGTCTAGTTTAAATATATTTGTTTATAAATTTGCCAGATTTTATGACGATTGCATCTTTGATCAGCTAAGATATGATTGACAATACTCTCAAGACTAATAATTTCCTTAAGGGTGGTTCATTTGAATTGAAAATTTTGACAGCATATTCAAGGGTGGTATCGATTAAATCATTATCATTAGATTTGAACTTTTCAATAATTTGTAATGCATTCCTGTTGTAAGCTTCTTAGTCTTGAGTGACAGTTTGTAATTATATTTGTTGCATTAATAATATGAATTAAATTTTGTAAATACCTCCAAAGTATTATGCAAATTACAATAAGAGTCAACCAAAGGAATATTGGGACTATGATAATTTTGAGAATGAATGGGGAGTATCAACTAAATAATTAATGTTAATAGGATAGTGATTAATATGAGGTGATAAGGAAGATAGGGAGGGGAAAATATTCAGATGTGTATGAAGGAATCAAATATCCCTAAGGGACAAGAGTAGTGATTAAAGTGTTGAAACCAGTGAAGAAATAGAAAATAAAAAGAGAAACTAAAATATTACTCACAATTAGAGGTCATCCAAATGTGATAGAGTTGTCAGATATTGTTAGAGATCCATCATCTAAAACACCATGTTTGATTTTTGATTACATCGATCATGTCGATTTTAGAAGTTTGTTCCCTAAACTAACTGATATTGATATAAGATTCTACCTTTTTGAATTAATTAAAGCCTTAGACTATTGTCATTCCAAAGGCATAATGCATAGAGATGTAAAACCACAAAATATAATTGTTGATCCAAAAAAGAAATTGTTAAAATTACTTGATTTTGGTTTGGCTGAATATTACCATCCAGGACAAGATTACAACGTGAGAGTTGCTTCACGTTATTTCAAAGGACCAGAATTATTGGTTGACAACATATATTATGATTATTCATTGGACATATGGAGCACTGGAGCTATGATGGCATCTATGGTAACTGATTTAGATAAACTTAGATCTTTAAAAAAGAACCATTTTTTTAAGGATAGGATAATTACGATTAATTAGTAGTAATTTCGAAGGTGTTGGGTACTGAAGAGTTACAAGCGTACATTAAGAAATATCGAATTAGATTGGATCCTGTATTGGAATCTAAATTAGGAAAGTAAAAATCAAATCTCACTTTTAATAGTTATCCAAAAAAAGAGTGGGTTAAATTTATTAATGCAGAAAATAAACATTTATGTGGTGATGAGGCTATCGATATTCTTTCAAGAATGCTTGTTTATGATCATGTAAGACTACTCTCTATTTCAGGCCCTCAGAATTACACCAAAAGATGCAATGGATCATCCATATTTCTTACCTGTCAAAGGCAAATGATTATCATTGTTATTAAATTTATCATACATAAATAATCATCGATCATCTTTTTCAGTTTGGTAAGTTAACTGTTCATCAGTTTTCTGATTAATATAAACTAGTCTTACTATATTTGATTGATAATCCAATGAATTATAAAATTGTATATAAGATTCCTACTCTAGTTACAAAATGAAATCTTAAAAGAAACTCCTTATTCTGAATTCTCAAATTAGATATCGAATTCTTTTGTTTTCACTATTCTTAATTATTTATGTTACTATTTCATATGCGAACAAAGAATAAAGTTTCAATTGTAAATCAATCATATTTATCACATTCTTTCCATTCTAAAATCAGCAAAATGATGTTTTATTGAAAATTAGACAATTAATTTACATCTACTAGAGTAGTTCTCAAAAAATTATATAATATTGAGTAGTAATACATAAGGGAGATTTAATCCTTATTTCACTTTTCCTTTATTAATTGCATTGTAAAAATATATTAATATAATAAATAAAATTTTGATAATTATAAATTTGAGGAGATCTGCAGATAACAGAATAAAATATAGAGTTCTGATAAAATTGAAGCAAAAAATAAAATTGAATAATTATTAATAAAAAATAACACGTTTTATTAATTTATTTAATTAATGTTTTTGCTTCTCTTACTTTCAACCATTTCAGCACTTTCAACTGGATTAGATGGCGGTAAAGAATTATGTTTGGGAGTCTAAGGAAAAAAAACAGCATTATTTTAAATCTCTTTTGTAGTTTCTGGTTTCTAGGAAGACAATATTGAAATGAAAGTTAATTTTGAATATTAAATTTTAGTTCTATTCTCCAAGAAAATCTCTTTTGAAATCTAGTTTAAAATAGAAGGAAGGCAATTACAAAGAAATAATGACAGATGATGGATAATATGAAGTTTGCTTCAAATCTTTAGATAAATATTATAAATTGATTAGCTTTAATTTTGATTTTGTAGAAGAAAATGATTTGGCATTGGCAGGTGAATCATTATTTTATATGAATAGAAACTATGGATTAAATGGCTGAAGATATGAAATAAGCTTATAGAAGTTTAAAGACAATCTAAAATAATTAACATTATTAAAACGATAGAGAAAATGAACATCAAAGAATGTTAGAATCAACAGAGAAGAAATTATGGTGGTGTTCAGCCGGTAAGATGGGAGCTTTAATCGTGATATGCATTTCTCAAATTTATATGTTAACAGGATACTTCAAAGGAAAATCATTTGGTCCAAATGTTTGAGATTTTATATAAATTAATATATTTATGGATTAAAAGCAAGATTATGCAAACACCATTCTGACTGAATTGGAGTCAGCGGAAACATTAAACTCTATGGAAGTAGCTAAATCTTTGTCTATTAACCATTAAGATCTCGTTGGTTGTCTTTTACAATTAGAGTCTTCAAATTATATAAAGACAGAGGTTCAAAATTCTTAATTATAAATAGGGATTTAAATAGGATTAATTGATCTTAACTGATGAAGGCAATACCATCTTAAATTCTCAATCAGGAGAATATGAAATCTATTAAAAAATACCAGAAGCTGGAATATCAATGGTTGATTTATAGAAGTTATTTGGGATTGAACAAATGCCAAAAATTAAATAAGAATAAGGAGAAAAGAAAGAAAAATAAGCTGAAGATCCTAAAAAAAAGCAATTTGATTTAGGTTTTGGAAACGCTAAGAAGATGGGTTATATAAAAATGGACAAAGGAGTTATTACTAAAGTTGCCAATGACTTACCTGATAAAATTAAATTGGAATTATCATCATTCAACACTATTAAATTAGGCACATAATAGGCTAAATTATTGATTGAAAGGAAACTTGCTATGATTTCTACTATTAAATATTTTGAAATCAAAAAAGGAATTAAATATGCTCCAAAATTCAGAGAATAATTTGCAGCTTTAACTACAGAGCAATTATTAAGTGGAGAGTGGAAAGAATGTGAATATAAAAGCATTAATTTATGTGCTGAAGGGGAGAAGAGTAATTAGTCTAAGTTATATTTATAGTTTCTATGGGTAATTTGCATCCTCTTTTAAAAGTAAGGAAATAGTTTTCGTAAATATTGATTGGACTAGGATTTGAAGAAATGCCAACTAATTAATTTGTGGAATCTTCTTTCTGGAATTTCGATGCTCTATTTTAACCATAAAAACATCCGGCAAGAGATGCTCATGATACTTTCTTTTGCAGTGATCCAGAATTGAGCGAAGAAGTTGATATAACTCTTAGAGATAAGGTGAAAGCTATGCACTAGACAGGAGGTGTTGGTAGTATAGGCTATCAATATGAATGGTCGCATGAAGAAGCCAGAAAAAATATATTAAGAACACATACAACAGCTGTCTCATCAAAAATGTTATATAGAATTGCATAACAATATAAGGAGAAAGGTTACTTCCCTAAGAAATACTTTAGTATTGATAAAGTATTTAGAAATGAAACTTTAGATGCTACACATTTGGCTGAGTTCCACTAAATAGAAGGTGTTGTAATTGACAAGAATGCTTCATTAGGATAACTAATGGGTATAATTAGAGAATTCTTTAGGTAAATTGGAATTAATAAGTTGTGGTTTAAACCTACATATAATCCATATACAGAACCAAGTATGGAAATTTATGGTAAAATATATATATTCAAATATTATAGGGTATCACCCTGTTTTGAAAAAAAAAGTAGAAATAGGCAATTCAGGTGTTTTTAGACCTGAAATGTTGGCACCTCTTGGAATTCCAGAGGATGTGAATGTGATTGCATGGGGATTAGGATTGGAAAGACCCACTATGATTTATTACGATATAAGGGATATAAGAACTATGGTAGGACCTGAAGTCAAAGTTGAAACAGTTAGATCTAATGCATTTTGTGTCTTTGAAAGTAAATGATATTTTGTTATATAAATATTCAATAATAGGCATTTTGAAATATTTAAATAGAACTATAGTGGTTTCTTCTCTCCACTTCCACTTTATATAGTCTTATCTAATTACAAAATAAATCAATAAAAATTTTTGAGCTCTATAATTCGTTAACTACTCATAACATTAAAGAAAATGATATTAATTTTAAAATTTCTTTATTAATATTCAATTATTTTGGCTTAAAACATGTCACCAATCAGAGAAAATATATTGTTAGTCAATTTTTTGAAAGAAATTTATTTAACATGTCTTTATTATAATGCTTGGATCTTTTTGGTATTTTTACGAAGTAATTTTACTGAATCTGTAAAAGGCTTTATTGTATAGATAATTAATTAATAGCATGGTAATTAATTCTAATTTCAGAGAAATATTAATTTTTTTTATTTCGAGTATCCAATTAGAAATATATTTATGTATAGAATGAATTTGAATATTCTTGACTTAATAAAACCAGATGATCATTATTTTATTTTTTTTACTTATGGATCCTAAATTTCTTTATTTCAGAAGATTTATTTTCCGTAAATTATTCTTCATATGTCAAAAAAAAGTGTCTAAATTAACTTTTTTCAAATTGTGATTAAGATTGTAAAATACATTGCATTTTTTTTGATTATTTTAGCCTAGACTAAGTTAGACTAAAATTAATTTTTAATGTCAATAGAGATAGTAATTATTTCATGTCTTTTAATAAATGAAATCGATTTCTTATAATTATAGCAGAGTAATAAAAGAGTTAGAAGATCACAGGTACAAAATATAAACATGATATTGCTAATTTTCCTAGAATTTCAGAAATGAATCTTCTTGAAATTGCATTATTTTTTTAAGTTAATCGTCCTTTCATTAATTAAATAGATATGTAAAAATAATATTTCTGTCTTTATGATGAACAATATCCAAAAGTGTTTTTTTGGATGTTTAAACTCTTAGATTAATTTTAAAGTAAATATTCTTCTGTTTAACAAGCATTATTATTAAATTGTATGGCTTATTCATAATTTTAATAATTAAATGCATCAAAAAACATAAAAGATGTGTTGAATTTAAATTATTTAATCTCAAAGTATAACAACTGGGATATCTAATTGAGTTTGTCAAGAAAATAATCTCTGTTCCAGTTAAAAATTTAATATCAATTTTTATATCTATAATTTGAAGATTGGATTTTTTGCTTGCATCGAATTTTCTTCCAAATGTTATCATTGATTTCTCTGGCTTTTAGTTCGGTTCCTCTATATTATTTTTAAATTTCTTCAATTTACAGGAATAAATAAAATCATGAAATAATTAATCATTTACGAATTAAGATCAAATTTATCAATTAATATCCTGCTATAGATATCTCCCATTTGATTATTATCCTGATATAATCATTATTTAGTAGAATGGTGCTGATAAAATTTAAAGAATAAATTTTATTTAAAAAATATTATTTAGGTTAAAGTTCCTAATTAATCACCTTAATAACAATTTATTTTGTTATAATGGAGAATTATTTCATGATCCTAATGAATGGATTTATATATAAAATAATATTAATAGATTTTTTTAAAATAAATAATAATAAAATTTTCTTATTGACATTTGTATAATGTTGGAAAAGAGAGATTAAAGTAAAAGTTGAAATTTAAACAACGGAGATTTAAAGTTGAATAATCCTGAGCTTTATAACGCGGGATTAATGCGGGTAAAAAATATAATTAATAATTAAAAAGAGGCGGGTAATGCAATCAGAAGATAACCTAAAGAAGCAATCAAAGTTAGTTATAGATAATGTAAGTTCATAATTGAATGTAGTCCGATGAGGAGGAGATCTGTAAAAAAGTGAAATTAGAAGATCCATCTTATTCTGAGGAAGAAGAGGAAGTTGTAGATGTGGAAGAGTTAGAGGAATCAGAAGAAGAGGAAAAAGGAAAGAAAAACAAAAAACAGGAACCTATTGAGGTAATATTTGTAAAAATAATATATAGGATGTAGACTATATATATGTAGACAAATTGCCTAATTCTGAAGCAATGTTAAGAGATTTAAAAAAGCAAGTAGAGCAAAGAATTAAATATTACAAAATGAAATACATTCAAGAATATCAGGAGAATCATGCAAAATAGAGTTTCGTTCACAATGATGCAATTCCAATTTGCACTGATGTTAGACTAATGGATTTTTAAGTAAATTTAATTAGTGATAATTTAAGAAATTAAGAGATGAGTAATTGAAAATAGCAGGACAATTGTTTGATGTAATAATGATGGATCCACCTTGGCAATTATCAAGTTCACAACCATCAAGAGGAGTTGCAATTGCTTATTCTTCATTGGCTGATGAAAATATTAGTAAAATGCCAATAGAATCATTGTAAGAGAATGGTATAATCTTAATATGGTAAAATTATAAATTAATTATTAAGGACTATTAATGCTAAATATAAGGTAACTTGTAAGCTAATTGAATAATGGGGCTACAAATTGATTGATGAAATTATCTGGTGTAAGAAGACCGTGAATGGCAAAATTGCTAAAGGACACGGGTTTTACTTATAACATGCAAAAGAGAACTGCTTAGTTGGTGTAAAGGTAACTATTCACAGTATTTATGTAACCTAGGGCAACATAAATTTGGATCCCAACAGATTTAGAAAAGGTGTTGCAAGCGACATCATCTTTAGTGAAAGGAGAGGTTAAAGTTAGAAACCAGAAGAAATATATTAGTATGTTGAATAACTAGTACCAAATGGTAAATCAATCATTCTATTTAAGGATATTATTTAGAGATATTTGGTAGAAGGAATAATGTCAGAAAGAATTGGGTAACAATCGGAAATGAATTATGATTTTGTTTCTATTTATGGTAATTTTATTTTAATTTGGCTTCATAGTTTTAATATTATTTTATATATTTTAAGGAATTTTTGAAAATCTAAGCAACTTAGAAGATGGAAGAAATAGGTGATAAGTATTTAATAGGATTGTAAATTTTATCAAATTCTTTGTTAAACAGTATTTGATCAATACAATAAAAAAGTATTAGCTATAAAATTAAAAAATTAAATAAATGACGAATAATGAGTAGAAAAGTGCCTTTTTTATAAATTCATTATTGGTTGGAATGATTTTAGTGGGTACATTCAATACTTTAGTCTATAAGTATTAAAATACAACCGTCATAGATGGGGTTACATTTATCCACCCGTATATGCAAGTATTAGTAATATCAATCTATAGGCTTTATGTATGTTTGTAGGTGAAGCAACTTGTTTAGTTTTCTATTTCATATTTTAAATGAAATCTGAAAAAGATCCAAACAAAGAAGATGGAGGATTTAAAATATTGGCAATTCCAGCGTTGTTTGATGGGATTACGTCGTCTTTGCAACATGTCGCATTAAATTTCATTCCGTCATCTATTTATTAAATGTTGAGAGGAGGAGTATGAATATAACCATCTAGCTTATGATAGTAACAGCCGCATTTTCAAAATTCGTACTAAAGAAAAAATTGTCAAATCAGCAACAATTTGGAATTCTATTGGCAATATTAGGCATATTCATTGTAGGATTGTCAAACTTTTTATTTAGAAAAGCAACAACTGATGATTTCAGTTGGGAAATAAAATTGATATCAATTGCCTTAATTATAGTGTCCCTTTTTACTTAAGCAGCCCAATATATATTCGAAGAAAAACTATTTTAATAATATAATTATCATGTATTCTATGTTGTGGGTGTTGAAGGAATGTGGGGATTGTTATACTTTGGTATAGTTATGCCTATCCTCAATTTCATACCGTGTAACTTTAAAGAAGGATGTGTATTTCGAAATGGTTAGGGATATTGGGAATGTACTGATGTATTCTTTCAACAATTAGGAGCAGATGTATGGTTGACAGTATCTGTCGTTATGGGTATATTTAGTATTGCTCTTTTTAATATCTTTGGTGTTAATGTTACTAAGTATGTTTCAGCTTTGACTCGTACAGTCGTTGACACTATTAGAACAATTTTAATTTGGGGTATTGGACTCATAGTCACAGCTACAACTTCTAGAGTATGGGAAAACACATCAAAGTGGGCTAATTTGATGGAATTAATTGGTTTTGCTTTGTTAGTCTTCGGCAATTTGATTTACAAGGAGATGTTGAAAATCAAATTTCTCTAAAATAAAAAGCAAGTTTTAATAGAGGAACAATGATTAACAATAAGAATTATTTAAAATATACCCAATCTAATATATGATTGATTTCAAATTTATCCTGCCTATCTAACGCTTGAAGTGCCAGTTCTTACAGTTGATCTTGTGACTGTTGTAGTTGCAGTGGCTGCCTATTATGATTTTTATTAATACTCTGGCTTTCTCCTTCTTTAAGGCTTCCAATTCAATTTCGACGTTCATCAACTTCTCTTGAGCTTCATTATAATCATGATTCACTTCCTAAAACTTCCTTTTCCACACTTCAACTTCGCTATTATTCTAAGTCACTCTTTCTGTTATCAAAGTACTCTCTTATGCTTACTATAATTCGAATTGCAAATGTTAATTTTCCTCCTCAAGTTCCTTGATCTTACAATATCTTATTATTTGATACTCTTGCATAATCTATTTCCTTTATTACTTTGATTTCTTTCTTTTTTTCCAATTCCTTTATGACTGATTGTAGATATAGACATTCTTCTCTCCATGGCTGCTCAATTTCTTCTCTTGATACTATCACAACAGAAACAACCATCTATTATTTTGTACAGCATTAAAATTCACTATCAACCTATGTTTAAGTTATTCCACTTCCAGCATTATTTATTTGAAAGCTCTACCCAGGATTTATCACAGAACATGATCGATAATTTGTATTGAGTACTCTGCTGGCATAAGAATTATATTTCTCCTTTTTGTGCCAAAATTGATAAGCCTCTGGTCTCTCAATCTTCTTAACAGCATAATCTTCCTTTAACAATGTAGGTTCAGTTGTATATGATGTGTACTATTCATAGCGTTCAATTATACTTGTTTTACTGTCTCTGGTTGCTAAGTATTTATTTGTCTCTCTATAAAAGATTCCTATTTTGTCGATATAAATGTACTCATATCTTCAAAAAAAAAATTATTTCACAATTAATTCACAACATAATTTATATCATCATACTAATAATATATTGCTAGAATTTTGAATTGAAACTGATATTATAATTTATGTTATTAGACAGACTAAGTTTTTATTTAAAGTTAATATTGTCTTACATATAAAAACTTATTTTTAATTATTTTAAGCTATTTTTGTTGCAAATATTAGTTTTACTCAAATACTTCTTTTAGACATTAAAAACCTCTTATACCTACATAAAAATAAGTTTCATTCCGACTTTTTCCTTTTTCTAATTGCAATTCTATTAATGAAGCTTTTAAAATGAAAAAAGTGATGTTTTTAATATAATCAAAAAAGAAATCTCTTTCTTTAAAGACTAATCTTAATAGTAAAATGAATGCTATGAAGATATTTTATTTACCACCAAGTTGAAAATGATGATACAAACTAGAGTGCAAAATTTTAATCTTATAAACTAACATAATTATACAGAATGTTTATTCGTTAATTAATATTATATAATAAATTCAGGTAAATATAATCATTTTATAAACTTATACAATTAATTTGTATATTGATAAGTTAGGTAAATATAAATAATATATGATGCAATTAGAAAGGATAATTTAGAAATACATAATTTAAGCAATGAAAAGTGATATTTGTGGTACAATTTACGTCATTTACGAAAAAAAAACAGTAATAATTAATATTAAAAGTATATAATTTATGAAATGAAAATCATTTAAGAAACAATAAATTATAAATTGAATTCAAAAATTTTTTTAATACATGAAAAAATATTGTTGATTTTATATTCGGGTAGATATTGTACAAAGTTATAATTTTAATTAACGTATCAATTCAAAACAAAAAAGAAACAATTACCAAAATCAATTTTTAATAAACTCTCCTATAATGTTTAAGAGGTTGATTCCGAATCAGCTGACCAATTTTCATGTCTTTAAGTTTAAATCTAAATAACTTAATGTTCTTATAATAAGGGAACTTGGGGTGATAAAACCTCCAAAATAATGCAATTGTAGCCAGAGTTAAAAATTGCTGCCTTTGCTTCTTAAATTGTTATAAATCTATTGAAATGCAAACAATCACACTTATTTCAAGAAGCAAGCTTTGACTATTCATTATAACATGAATATGTATGTGTAAGAATAAAATTCTTTACTTATTTAACGAAGTATAAAAAGATAAAAGAAAAAAGAGAATGAGAATCTTAAGATACAAGGTTATAAGGAAAAGAAAGCATTCACGGCCATTTGAAAATCGATCACTATACACATCCAAATCAAATATGTTACTAAAAAATTATATTAAAACAATATTCCTTTATTTACTTAACCATTTTAAATTAAATTATTTATTGATGGCTGAATTTACGTCGAAGCTTTAGCATTTTATAATGTACAACACTTCATCATGAAACCAAGAATATCAGCGATTAACTAATTAGATCAATCTTAGCTGACTCCACTAATTGGATAGTAGAAATAGCTAAACCTTATAATTGGTGATTGATAAATTTCTTTACAAATGAAGAAATAATTAATAATGAATTTAAGCATAAATATTTGAAAGAGATAAACGTATTTATCAAAAATTAGGTAATTCAATTTATCCAGCCATGTCATGAATTTTAGGGACACATGAAAAAGAATTGAGGGAAATTATTACTTAAGAAATATTATCTCTTAGCAATTAAAATTAATTAATCTTAATAAAATAAATGTTAAACGTCCTTTCCTTCAATAAATAAAAACAGTATATAATATTGTATTTTAAAATGTTTAACGTTGAATTAATTTTATTTAATTCCTATATTTAATAAACTGATTTTAATAATATTTAACAAGAAATCATCACTTTTGTAATCTAATTAAATTAATAAATTACTTAATGTACAATGCAAATTATCATATTACGCAAGAATTGATTTGAATTTTATACATATATTAAAAGTTAGATTTTATAATAATTACTACTTAAATGATTTGAATTTGAGGTATTAATTAGGGTAATTTTACAATAAAGAAAACAGAGTTTTTATTCCTAACATATAATAAAACGAATTTTATTTAAATGATTTGCTAAATTTTGTGTATTTCACTTGATATTTTAAATTTTTTGTGTCTATCTCCACGACATTATCTTATTCGAATATAAAATTATTCGGGAGTAGTTAATTTAATTTACTTTTTGGGCAATTTAATAAAGTATGTATTATTCTGCTAACCAATCTTATAACTAAATTACAAATTCTGTATTTTTTTGTTTCCATTTACTAAAAGTACTTATGATTTGTTTAAGGATTCCATTTCAGTATTTTTTACTCCATATAAAACTAAGTAAATATTTTTACTTCAATGATTTGAACTTTTCAACATTAATTAAACGAATAATAATCTCATAACAATAATAAACCAAGTAACGAATAATATATCAATGTAGAAGTAACATTATTTACTTATTTATGATTATTGTAT